GACCCCCAGGTGGCCTTGTTCTCTGCTTGGTGCTGGTTTTGGGGGGAGTCCGGGTAGGAAATAGAAGGAGCCTGTCTCGAGGTCCCAGCAGATGTTGAGCGGGATCCCTATTGTTGGCAGGTTTGCTGGCCTTGTAACCTGGTGATGGTGCTGTCATCCCAGCTCCTGGCTTGGCCCCCGAAAATCCTTCAATCACCCAGGACCCGATGACCTAACTTCCCCTCCACAGTCACGCAACTTCCCCTCCACAGTCACGCGCCTTCCCCTTGTTTTGATCACCTTGTGTTTGCCAAGCGCGTGGCGGCTGTGTCCTTGCTCTGCTGCCGCCCCTCCCCAGAGAAGCAGGGGGCTGGAGCCTGGGCCTGGCAGAGTTGTCGGGCTGCATGCAGGGGGACTAGGGGACTAGTGTGGTGAACCAGCCTTGACCCCCCTGAGGGACCTGTGACCTTCCAGAACACAGACCAGCCTAAGTCACCTCAGTGTCCCCCAGGCATACACTGAGCCGATCTACACAGCGTGGGCTGTTTCAGTGCTCACTTCTAGGAGGGTGTACTGGGGGAGAGAACTCTCAAGGGGATGGGAGCCGACTGCCTGCGCTCAAACCTGGCATCACCACTGCCAGCTGTAGGACTGAGGTGTGGGTAAATAATGAGGTCCTTTGAGCCTCGGTTTTCCAATCTGCAGATGGGGACAAGCATAGAAGCCATCTCTGAGCCAGGTGTGGTGGTTGTGCTTGTTGTCCCAGCTACTCGGGAGGCTGAGGTGGGAGGGTCACTGGAGCCCAGGAGGTCAAGGCTGCAGTGAGCCATGATCACAGCACTGCACTCCAGCCAGCGACCCTGTCTCGAAAAAGAAAGCCCGAAAACCAGAAAGAACAGTGCGCCTCTCTGAGTTGCTCTGTTGAAGTGATACAAATTACTCAGTGCTAAGTGCTTTGGGCCTGGCACGAGCCTGGCAGGTGGTGTGCAGGTCACTGCCGCTATTGTAATGCACTAACCTGAGAAGTGCCACCTCACCGTCCTGGTGCAGCTGCAGTGGCTCATGCTTGGCCAGCCTGGGGTCCTGCAGGGCTGAGCTGGCGTGTACCGGGAGGTAGCGAGGGGCTGGGGGAGCTGCGGAGGAAGCAGCAAGGGTGCCTCTCCTTCCTCTGGTTGACTTCGGCCCACCCTGCCTCAGCCCCCAGGAGGTGGGAGATCACAGGATACTGGGTCCTAATTAGAGCAGGTTTGGATCCATGGAGCCTCAGGAGGGGTAGGGCTGGCGCACTGCCAGGCGGGCCAGGAGGGCGGTCAGGCATCCACGAGGGGCCAGGAGCTGGCAGGACAAGGAGTTCTGAGGTAGAGTTGCTCCTCCCTGGAGCCCCTCACTCTGGCCAGGCGGGACCTTAGCACTGGCTGCATGGTCTGCGTCTTGGACCCCTCTGGGCCTCTGCTCTGTCCTCCCCAGATGGGGCCATAGGGAGGGTGGACTCAAGGGCACAGGCTGGGGCTTGGGGAAGGGCTGACTGTGGGGTTGCTTGGATGGTGACCCCCCAGGTCTGGTTTTACAAAGCTCAGGGCCTGCTGCAGGAACAGAGCATGTCCGAGGGTGGGAAGGGGCTGGGGCTTGGCTGAGGAACAGAGTGTGTGGGGTGATAGGGGACATTATCACAGAGTCAGGTGTTGCATGACAACAGAAGCCATTTGGGAAGAGGAAGGGCCTGTCACAGACAGGGATAGGCAGGGCTGAGTCCCTGTCCCCATGGGCCAGCTCCAGAGACTTCTCAGAAGAGGACTTCACCAGGCAGAGGCCCTGGGCTTCGAGGTCTTGGAATGGATTGGGGGTTCTGTCCATGGGCAGAGGGTCTGGGGCTTTGTCCTCGAAGCCTTGTTCTGGGCGTGGGTTAGGGCCAGAGCAAGGGTCCCCTTTGCCGTCCCTTCCCCATGGGCAGATCCTGGGCTTCCTTCCGGAACCTCCGGCAGCACCTGTGCATGCCCTCGTCCGTTGTGTGGTCGGGTGACTGGTGAGTGACCGTGTGCTGGGCTGGCCTTCCGAAGTCTGGGACCACCCTGCTGGAAGGGGACAGCTGGGAGGAGGCAGGAGGGAGAGGCCCCCCCTTGAGATTGCATCAGCCAGAGCCTGTTACATAAGCAATGTTGGGCACCGCCAGGGTGTGGGGGTGGCTGTGCCCAGGCGGTCTCCTGCAGTGGCGGGGGAGGCGGAGGCTGGGTGGGGAGCGGGCAGGTGTGGACTGGCATCCCATCGGCTGTCCCACCATAGACACTCCCTGCCAGCCCTGCCACCGCCCCATTGATACCTGCTCTCCAAGATGACTCTGGGGGTCCCCATGCACGTTTTCAGCTGGTTTGAAAAATCCCCACCTTCCCACACCAGGGATCAGAGGAACTGGATGGGGTCAGCCAGAGCAGCCCAGCCCCTGCCCCTGGCTGTGTTGGGTCTGACCCACATAAACCCCCTAGGGGTGGCTCTTGCTGCCGGCTCCCCTGTGCGTCCTGGCCCTCCACAGGGTGCCCTCCCTCGATGGGAGCCCCAAGCACCTGGCCACCCTCGAGGGAGGCCCTGGTGCAGAGAGGCATTAAGACAGTGGTACAGCCCCCACCTTCCCCTGGTGCAAGCTGGCCCTGTGGGATGCAGGGGCCAGAGGGGTGTCTGCTCAGCCACCGGTGCCCCTGAGGAGTGGGGACAGTGGGGCTAGTGCTGCACCCATAGTGTGAGCAGCGAGAGCCTCAGAGACCCAGGGTGGGACTCCTGCCGTCTCCCTTTCCAGGCTTTGGGACTCTCTGGGGGTCCCAAGCCGGGCGGTGGGCCTGTGTGGAGGGTGAGAGGTGGGTGTTGGGTGTGTCCTGGGTGTGCATGCATGCCCATGCATCTGCACGTGGCTTCTCTGAGCCTGTGGGCCAACCTGGGGGATGCCCTGAGGCCTTTTTGTTGACCCACGGTGGTTATAATCAAAAACTTCCTTGGCGGAAGGGGCTGTCTGTCTCTAAACTTGATCCAGCAGGGATGCTCTGCCCCCTTCCTGGATGAAAGCCTCCTGGTGGCCCTGGGACCTCTCCTCCTCCTCAGGGTCACCTGGGGTCCCACTCAAGGGGATCTTCAGACTCTGAGTGACTCTCCCTGTTGTGTCTCCACTGTCACAGAGGGACAGGCTTGGGGGGTCCAGGGCAGAGGTTCTGAGGCTGAGAGCGTTCTCTTTGCTCCTCAGCTTCCCCAGCTGCTCCTGAGTGCACAGGGAATGGTGGAGAGGGGTAGGACAAGCTAGCTGGGACGCTGGGGCCGCAGGCTGGCATGAAGGGCCGGCTCTCTCGTGGGCCCTTCCTGAGGACTCTGGGAGGTTCTTCCCTTCTGGAAGCCTCCTTTGCCCCCACAGGCAGCAGTGTCTGTACTTTACATGGTTTGATTCTTGCTGCTGTGCCTGCCAAGAGGACCCTCCCCCTGACCCCTCCATGCCCATGTCTGGTGCATGGGAACTCCAGGCTCAGCTGCCCTTTCTCTCCCCTGATTTTTCAGATGAGGATCAGATCCTAGGTCACTGCCCCCACGCAGGGGTCTCATGTCATACCTTGAAGGACACGTGGCAGCCCTTCCTCTGAGTTGGAGGTTGGGTGGGGCAGACCTGGAGCTGTGGCCAGCATCTTCAAAGATATTCCCCTCCCGAGCCCGCCCTGCCAGGGCCCTTCGGCCTTTTGAGTCTCAGTGCAGGCGAGGGCAGCTCCTGAACACCCACGTGTGCTGGGCAAAGCGTCTCTCTGTGGACTGTCACAGCTTTCTAGTGCCCAGCTGGAATGTGCTTGACTTCCCGTTATGAGCCTGTTGGAGGTGGGGGAGTGTGGACCTGTGTGCTATGTGTGCACAGGGGCGGGGGCCAGGAGGAGATCCGATAGGGTCTTAGATTCTCCATTAATGCAGCATCCTGTCAAACCCATGGGGTATCCGGGCATCCTGCTTGTTGGGTTTGTCCTGCAAACTCCCGGGGTTCTCAGGTATGGGACCCAAGTGTCCCTGTGGTCCACAGTTCTCTTTTTTTTTTTTTTTTTTTTTTTTTTTGAGACGAAGTTTTTCTCTTGTTACCCGGGCTGGAGTGCAATGGCGTGATCTCGGCTCACTGCAACCTCCACCTCCTGGGTTCAGGCAATTCTCCTGCCTCAGCCTCCTGAGTAGCTGGGATTACAGGCACATGCCACCATGCCCAGCTGATTTTTTGTATTTTTAGTAGAGACGGGGTTTCACCATGTTGACCAGGATGGTCTCGATCTCTTGACCTCATGATTCACCCGCCTCGGCCTCCCAAAGGGCTGGGATTACAGGCTTGAGCCACTGTGCCCGGCCCTTTTTTTTGAGACAGAGTCTCACTCTGTCACTCAGGCTGGAGTGTAGTGGTGGGATCTTGGCCTACTGCAACCTCCACCTCCTGGGTTCAAGCAATTCTCCTGCCTCAGCCTCTGGAATAGTTGGGATTACAGGTGCACATCACCATGCCCAGCTAATATTTGTATTTTTAGAAGAGATGGGCTTCATCATGTTGGTCAGGCTGGTCTCAGACTCCTGACCTCAGGTTATCTGCTTGCCCCAGCCTCCCAAAGTGCTGGGATTACGGGCGTGAGCCATTGTGCCCAGCAGGTCCAGCATTCTCAGGCCTCCTCCTGGCCACACTGTGGTCCTCTCTTTGGAGGGCAGAGATGGGCCTCCTGACTTCTGCTGTGTTTCTCAGGGAGCTACGGCAACGGGGCTATTTGCTTGTTGCTCATGGAGGTTCAGTTTTCTGAACACTGCCTATTGGGCAGGTGCTTATTGTCGCATTTACAGAGGAGGGAAGGAAAGGCCAGGAGGTGAGGGAATGTCACACAGTCCCCAGAGCTGCAGGTCTGGGAAGGGCAGGGTGGCTGTGACCTGGCACAGTTGGGTGTCTGTGGAGCCGGGGATCCCAGCTTCCTCGGGGCTGGCTCTGTGTCCCTGAAAGAAGCTCAGAAGTAACCGCCGCCACTTTCTGATTCTTCCAGAAGAAGAAGATGGTGGTCTTGAAGCTTTCGATGACTTTTTCCCTGTGGAGCCCGTGAGCCTTCCTAAGAAGAAGAAACCCAAGAAGCTCAAGGAAAACAAGTGCAAAGGGAAGCGGAAGAAGAAAGAGGTGAGGGGCAGCGCCCCCCCGGTGAGCTGGGGGTCGGGGGTTGTGGCTGCGTCTGCCTGGTTTGGAGTTTGAGGGTTTCTGAGAACTGAGTTTGATGAAGAACACTGTAACCAGTTCTCGTGTGAAGCGTTGTGCATGGAAGCCTTTCTGAGACGTTTGTGAGCTGTCCTATTTCTGGAGCAGGATGTCGGAGCCTCATTTTTCCTTCCTCCCGTTGTCCTATCCTGTGCGGAGACAGGGCGAGATTCCCTCGCCATGGTGCCCCCTACCTCCTTGCCCCCCTCCCTGCTCCGTAGCTGATCTCCGTCCCTCTAAACTGAAGCGTGATGAAAGTGAAGTGAGTCAGAGAAGAGTAGCAAGGCCCGCTTAGGGACAGTCACCCGCTGGTGACCTCCGCATTCCCATAGCTTTCTCCCTGGCTCCTGGCTGGTTCTGGGCGGGTGAGGCTGCCACACGCTCCGCTGCCTTCGGTTGGCGGGTGTGACGATGTGAACGTGTCCCTGTCTTCCCACGCTGCTGACACATTCCGGGCGTGCTTCTCTGTGCTTCATGCGGGCTCACTGGATCCTCATGATCAGCCCTGGAAATTGGTGGGATGGGAAGGATGATCGCGGCTTGGCAGATGGAGAAACTGAGGTGGGCTAGGACATTGTGGTCTCCCTTTTTCTCACCGTATGCTGTCTGGTTCTTTCTGGGCGTCTCCTCTGATCCTCCAAGTCACCCTATGTTGACAGCAATGGTGGACACCTCCCTTCACAGATGAGAGCGGTGGCTCAGAGGTGAGCCGGCCCACGGTCACACAGTGGCGGTGCTGAGACCTGAATCCACAGCTGTCAGCTGTGCCAGCCCTCCCCGCCAGGCATGTTTCTCCCCTCCCGCCTGCCCCGAGGGGGCCTGAGACCAGCTCTCCACCTTTCTTTGCCCCTGCCTAGAGGAAACTGGCCCGGCCCCACCTTGCAGGCAAGAGGCCCAGGGAGGCTGCTGGTGAGGTGTAGTGGTGGGGAAGGTGCTAATGCCAAGGGGGTGCCATTGGCAGCACTGGGCCTGGATCCAGGCCTTCCTGTAGAGTAAGGTGGGAGGTGGCTGCCAGAAGACCCTAGGGGTGGATGCGGGGAACTTGTCCCAGGCTGGAGATGCTCCCTACCATGAGAGTTCCAGGAGCACCTGTTTCTGGGGGCACACTCTGGGCCTCTTCTTTACCCATGAACAAGGTGAGATCGCTGGAAGGCTTTGAGCAGTGGAGGGACTGACGTGACGTGACAGCCTGGCAGGCTCCCCTGGCAGCTCTGGGGCCAGGCCAGAGACAGGAGTGGAGCCCAGGGAGGGAGAGATGGTGGTGGTGGGGGGTGAGGGTCCCTGTCTTCACCTCTGGGCCTCAGGTCTGTGCCCCATTTCTACCTCCCTGGCTTGTTCGGGCACTTGGAGGCATTTTGGGGGGCCCTGAACTCTGCCTGCAGCATGTGGCTCCTCCTCTGGTCTGAGCGTCAGCCTGGGGACGTTGGAAGAGTAGAGCTCACCTCGGATGTGTCCTTGCTCAGGGACTGCAGGGAAAGGATGGGGCCGGGAGGTGTTGGCCCCATTCCTCTGACAGAGCTGCCTCAGATATGTCCTGCTCCTCCTCTCTTTGCTGGGGGCGTTGGTCAGCGCCACTCACTCACCTCCCACCCCCCACTCCTCTCCTGGCTGCTGCCTCACATGGCTCCTGCAGCCCCTGACTCTCCTGGGAGAGCTTCCTGAGTGTGCCCTGACCAAGTCCCATGACCCCTGGTCCAGAGCCTGTCTGGAGCCCCCACTGCTGCCCTCCAAGCCCCTGCCCCCACCCGCACCTGCTTTGCAGCCGCTCTAGCCCCTTCTGGTCCTCCGTGAACACGCGTGTGTGCATGTGACTATATGTACTACCCTGTCTTCCCCTGGAGAGACCCTGGCCCTTCTGGCTGATTCTGTGCATCTTCTTTGTTGCCCCTCAGCTCTGTGCCCCATCTGGCATGGTGTCTGGGATGGATGTGTGTCCCTTCCCAGGAACTACCCCTTACCACTGGGCCAGCATGGGGGCTGCAGGGGGAAGATGTGAGGTGAAGGGGAGGACCTGGTTCCTCGGAGCGGGATGTGGAGGCTCCTGCCTGGCCCATCATGCCCCAGAGACTTCCAGGCCTACGCTCTGAAGCTCTTACATCTTCCCCAGGTTCTCAAAGAGGGTGAAGCTCCCAGTCCCTGTTAATTGATGGGGAAGTGGAGCTAGGAGAGCGGAAGTGGGGATTGAGTGCCTGGAGGCCTACCTTGTGAAGGAGAGGCTGTGGGCCAGCTCCTTGGGCATGGGGCTCCCTGAATTCCCTGCTGCAGCTCCTGCCCTTCTCTTCCGCTGCTTCAGCCGCTGCCCCGTGGCCCCAGAGGTTGGTCCTTGTGCTGGGCAGAGGGTAGATGGCTCTGGGCTGCCAGGCCCTGGGATGAAGGCACCGAGAGTCTCTGGCAGAGGCTGTGATATCTTGCTCTGCTGCCATCCCCGACTCAAGCCTCAGACCTGGGCTCCATGGGCTCAGGGTGATGTGGATTTTAGGACCCTGGGGCTCATGACCCATGGTAGGGCCTCTTAGCTGCGAATCCTCCCCCACCTCCTCTGAATTAGAAGCTGGGTGGGAGTCTAGGCCAAGATGGGCAGTGTCACCTGGGCCTGGGTCTCAGGCCGCTGGGTTGGGTGGGCATGGCTCCCAAATGGAGATGAAGGACCCAGCGGGGTGCAGCAGAGGCCTGTGGGAGCCCCTGCCTTCCCCAGGTGGGGCTTGCTCCCCTCCCCTCTCCTGGGCTCAGCAGGGCTGGGAAGGAGGTCAGGGGGTGGGCAGCGTCTAGACAGTGGCGAGGCTTGGGGGCTGGGGGCCGGATGGTCTCTGAGATCTGGGAGGGCTGGTTCTCTGACTCTCATTCCCAGGGCTATGATCCCGCTGAGCCTTCCTTCTTCTGGTCTTCCCTCCTGCCTCTTTCTCTGACAATATATTTTTGTATTTGTCCAGGTCCCTATCTCTCTCTGGCTCTTGTCTGTCTGTCTGTCTCTCCCTGGGTCTCATATTGCGTCCCTCTCTCTGGCCTGTGCTTGGTCTTCACCTTGGTAACCTCTCTGCATCTCCTCTCTCTCCTTTGCCCTCTTTTCTCTCTTACCCTCTCCCCTCATTTCCCTCCATCTCTTTCATTTGCTCCACCCCTTCCTCACGCTCTCTCCTTCTCTACTAAGATGCAATTCTGGTTCTTGGAAGGGGTAGGGGGCTGGGATGGACAAGAGGCCTCCGGAGGCACTCCCTCCCCTGCATTCGAGAGCCTGGCTTGGGCCAGCTGTCAGATCTTAGGAGGTCTGGAACACGCTGTGGCCCAGCTGCTGGGTGCCCGCTGCCCACCTGCCTGGCAGACTTGGGGGCCCAGGATACAGGCAAGGGGATTTCACCCCTCTGCCCTTCTCTGTCTCCAAACAGGTGGCTCCAAGATGAAGGGCAAAGGACCAGGGCAGGTGGGCCACAAGCAGCAGTTTGTTGGTGGCAGGAGGCTGGCCGCGAGTGGTGGATTCTGATTTACATAAAATAACCGGGCTGCAGCCGGAACCTGAGCATATGTAGATGAAGCTCCCTGTCAGACCCTAGTGAGCGCAGGAGGGAGAAATGATTTCAACCTGTACTGCAGCGGTTACCATAGCAACCAATTATTCAGTGCTAAATTATAACTGTTTATAACACTCGTGAATGGGAAGGCTCCTATTTCATTCTTCCCTTTTCCCTCTCAATCTTGAAGGACCCCAAACGGAGAATGACCCACTCTCCACATCCTTCCTTTTGAGTTTAAATGTCTCCTTTTTCATGAGATGTGGTGCGTGTGCGGAGCATCCGGCCTAGAGGGAAGGGAGACGGAGGTGGGAGGCCTCTGCCGAGAAGCGTCTGCGGAGCTCGGAAGGAGGAAGGGCGGCGGGACTGTCCATTGGGATCCCCAGGGCCGCGATCGTATACTGTGTCCTCAGTAGGGTGGGGGCTCAGAGCACAGATCCCTCCTGCCTGCCTCTGCCTCCTGGCACATATGGGCTGGGCCTAACAGTCAAGGCAGCTTTGCAGGTGGATTCTGTGTGGGGACTTCATGTCCACTAAGATTCTTCTGCTAGCCAATGGAGTGTCCCCTGTAGCCACACCTAGGGCTGCTGCAGCTGAAAGGTCAGTGCCGAAGTTGAAGGCCAACTGTCATTCAGATCTTCATGCCCGCAGTATGGTTTGATTGCTCTCAAGCCTCAGGGCTGGGTTGGTTCGGGGGCTTAGCTAGGGCGTCATCGGTCTGTGTCTGTCTCCTCCGCTGCACATGGCCTGGTCTACGAGCCTCTCTGTATGTTTTGAGATACTGAACTGCACATCTACCTCTGGTTCTTGATTATTTGTTCCCTTCTTGCCCGTGGATGATGCTCCATCCCTCCAGGTCCCACTGATGGGGCACTGCTCTGCTAGGTGTTTTCAGAACTATTTTCAGCTTTCTCTGCAAGGAGAGATTTTGGAAAAACAACACAGAAAGGAGGCCTAGTTCTAGAGTGTTGAAACAGCTGGATGCAGGGTTCTGCCCTGTACCCCCACCCTTGGCCCGCCCCTGGTAGGGGAGGAGGGTGCAGGTGGGAGGCCCAGCCGTGGGGGCTCCATGTGGTGGAGGCAGGGCAGAGGCTCAGGGCCGGGGAGGCAGGTGGGGACTTGGGAGTCAGACCGTTCTGTTCAACTGGGCTCTCTCTAGTGCAGGCGGATGGAGGAGGGAAAGAAGTGCCTCGCCTCCAAGAAATGAGGGTTTTGTAGCTTACCTGAGCCCCAGCGGGTGACTTCAGGGCGAGGGCCACAGATGGGCGACAGATGTGCCTAGTGTCACCCAAGCCCGTTCCATGCTGAGGGTCTGTGCCCTGCTTAACCCTGAGTGGTTGCTGGGAGAGCCCTCTGTCAGCACTGGGTCCCCGGCCTTCTGCCAGCCCTGCTCTCCTGAGCTGGTGTGCTCTGCTGCTCCTGCCAGACAGTGGAGGCTGCTGGAGGCGCCTTCCCCTCCTCGTTCCTCCCTCCCCCGGCTCTCCCTGGGGTGCCTCTCCTGGTCTCTGCTGCAAGTTGCCAAGGGGCTTGCTTGCTGTCAGATGCTGGGCCGGCTCCTGGCAGACATTGCCACAGCAGCCCCTTCTTGTCCAGGTCCTGCTCCCTCTGCGCTGTGTTGCTGCCCAGCTGCTGGCAGCCTCTGTGCAGTTAGCTCAAGCCCAATCCCGATGGCAGAAACGTGGGGGTGAGGCTGCTGTGTTCCCTCCAGCTTGTCATCGTGGCTGTATCTTTGGCTTCCAAACAGAGCTGGAGTCATCATGGGTCGTTTGGGCATTTTCTGGGCATCATCAGAATCACAGAGGCCTCTGGTGTCTGTGCGTGGGCGTGGTGGTGTCAGGGGCAAGGATTCATTCTGACTGCAGCCTGCTCTGGCTTGGCCCAGTCCCCTGCCCAGGGCGCAGCAAGGTGGCCCAGCACTGGAGACCCGGGTGCAGGACCCATGCCCCCACCCAGCTCAGAGCACTGCTTCTCTGTGCTTAGGTTTCTCCCATGTCCGACATGTTCAAGGCATTTTCTTACACAGTCTCCCTGGTTCCATTCTTCCTGGCATCCCCAGTTCACAGACAATGAAGCTGAGGTTTAGCTGGCTACGGTGACTTGACGACGTCTCAGGCTTGCAAGGAGCAGAGCCTCTCCAGGGAGCCTAGGACTCCCTGGCAGCCCACGCAGGATTAATCATGGGTCCCCCAACTTCATCCTTGGTGGGTTTGTGGGGTTTGTTTTCTGGTAGCTGAAGGCCGCCTAGGGCCCCTTCCTCCGGGAGGCCCAGCCTCTGTCCGTGGTGCTGAAGTTCAGGCTGTCTGTCTTCCTTGTCCTTACCTTTGCTGGGGTGAGGGCTGGGAGAGAGCGTGTCTCTCAGCTCTCCTAAAACGTGGTCTCTTGAAGCTGGCCAGACTCTGGACATGGACATCACTGTCTGACCTCCACCTCCCTGAAGGACCGAGGCCGATCCTGGGAGCTGTGGCCCCAGGGCCCAGCATCTCCTCCAGCCTTGAGAGCAGGCTCCTAGCCAGTGACCACGTCAGTATTCCCAGAAACACCCGGGTTCCGGAAAAGCAAAGAGCACAGAGGCCCTGCTGCCTGCCAGCTGCCAGCGCTGCTGACTCTGGCGGTTTAATGGGCTAAGAGGTTTGGGAGCAGGGAGGCTGCCGGGCAGGGGAGAGGGAGCAGGGCTTCCAGGAGAGTGGGGAAGTGCAGGCAGTCTGTTGGGGGAGCTTCCCAGCTGGATCTCAGAGGGGGCCCCCAACCCCCCAGTCAGTGACCATCTCCCCCTCCACTAACTGATGGATGTGCTGTTTGGAGCCACTCTCCAGGGAAAAGGCCACACTTGACCCTGTGGCCTGAAAGGGCAGAGGTGGGCTGGGGGCCTCCCAAGACTATCCAGGCAGGCCAGACCTCAGACTTTGCTGCGCCCTCATCCTCTTTCCTTCTGTCACCCTCTTCTTTCCTTCTCCCTCTTTCTGCCCTCTCTCCTTCCCTCCCTCCCTCCCTCCCTCCCTCTTTCCTCCATCCTCCCCACCACTGCTGTTTCCTGAGCTCATTTTTTATCTCTCTGGTTCTCTCTCCATCTCAGCCCATGCCTCTCCCAGCTCACCCTGAAAACAGTTCATGGCAGTCCTGTGCATGGCCAGCCCCTCGTGGGGGATCATGGCAGTGCTGCCCGGCCCCTCCCTGAGAAGGGGCTGTAGAGGTCTAAAGGCCACAAGTAAACAGCTTTCTCTGAGGGACAGCGCCTCTCTGGTGGGGTGCTCTGGTTGTGGACGTCCCTATCTCCATATAAATGGGCCATTTTCTGCCTGTACAGACAGGAAACTAAATCAAGGAAGCCAAGCTTATGAGCTGCCTAAATTACCTTATCTCGTATGGAGAGGAAGTGGCCAGGGTAGGGGTGGGAGTGGGGAAAGGTGGGCATATGCCTTCCATAGCAGTGTCTGCAGAGTCTGCACACAGAGGAAGCTGGGATGTGCACCCTGCATTGATTACAGATCTCACCTGACGAACGCAGTTCCATGGAATGTGAACTTAAGTGGAGAGCTGCTGCACTGGGGCTCATGATGCAGCGGCTCTTCCCTGGCTGGGGCTCTTTCTTCTCTGGCTGGGGCTCTTCCTGTGCACTTTGCTTTTTGACTCTGGGACCACATCCTCCACCACCAGCTCCTGGGTCTGTGCCCCGGCATGTAACACTGGTTAAACCCCCAAAATGCACAGAAGCCTGATAATGACTGAAGCAGATCCTGAGTTCACCAGCAGGGCTGCAGGAGTGGGCCCAGCTGAGCTTGCCTGTGGGGAAGTTCTGCTCTCACAAGAGCCTCACTTTGCCTCACCTGCAGGCTCCACTGCTTCCTGAGGCATAGTCCCTGGGGACGAGACTTGGCTTAGGCTGGCTTGGGATTGCCCCTTTGGCTGGGCTTTGGGGCTGAGGCGTGAGCAGTGGCCCCTGATGATGAGTGGGGTGATGATCCCCAGTGTGGGTCAGGAGGTGGCTCTCAGGGCCATCTGCCGTCGAGGACTCTGGATGTTTCTGGGGCCTCCATTGCCCTCACTGTCCCCCTTCTTTTCCAGGGGAGCAATGATGAGCTATCAGAGAATGAAGATGATCTGGAAGAGAAGTCGGAGAGTGAAGGCAGTGACTACTCCCCGAATAAAAAGAGGAAGAAGAAACTTAAGGACAAGAAGGAGAAAAAAGCCAAGCGAAGAAGGAAGGAGGAGGATGAGGATGATAATGATGATGGATGCTTGAAGGTAACCACGGACGCCTGGCCGGGGGGACAGAGCGACATCGCCCTCGGAGGGGCCGAGCCTCCTGCCTGTCTGTTCTTTTTTTTTTTTTTAGATGAGTCTTGCTCTGTTGCCCAGGCTGGAGTGCAGTGGCTCATGCCTCAGCCTTCCAAGTAGCTGGGACTACAAGTGAACGTCACTCCACCTGGCTAATTTTTGTTTTTTGTTTTTTTTTTTTTTTTTTTTTGAGACAGAGTTTCGCTCTTGTTACCCGGGCTGGAGTGCAATGGCGCAATCTCGGCTCACCGCAACCTCCGCCTCCTGGGTTCAGGCAATTCTCCTTCCTCAGCCTCCCGAGTAGCTGGGATTACAGGCACACGCCACCATGTCCAGCTAATTTTTTGTATTTTTAGTAGAGACGGGGTTTCACCATGTCGACGAGGATGGTCTCGGTCTGTTGACCTCGTGATCCACCCGCCTCGGCCTCCCAAAGTGCTGGGATTACAGGCTTGAGCCACCGCGCCCGGCCTAATTTTTGTATTTTTAGTAGAGATGGGGTTTCGCCATGTTGGCCAGGTTGGTCTTGAATTCCTGGCCTCAGGTGATCTGTTTGCTTTGGCCTCCCAAAGTGCTGGGATTATAGGTGTGAGCCACTGCGCTGGCCTGTTCTCTGCCTTCTGACCTGAGAGCATGAGTCAGAAGGGCCAGAGCGTCCTTTCCCACCTGATCTGCATATGGGGCTGTGAGTGCGTGTGCTCACATGGGTGCATGTGTGCACGCACAGAAAGGATGGATGAAATTTAGGGCTCAGTGGTGGATCGTGCTGCATCTTGCTGATGTACTGGGTGCTCTGCCAACAGCTTGCCCGCTCGAGTGAGCAGCTATTTCTGGGGAGAGTGATAGATAATACGAGCTCAAGTTTAGTGTCAGGAACCTCTTGCTTGGAGCAATTTGGGAAAATAAAAGAACAAATGGAGTCTTTACCACAAGAAGTGCTGGACAGCTTTGTTTATGGTAGAAAGGGAACTTGTGTCCTGAAATCCTGCCCAGGTGGGCATTCCCAGAGTCTCCTACTGGAGGTGGGGCAGAGCAGCTACAGTGATAGGCCAGCTCTCGCCTAGGCCCAGCGTCCCCAGGAACATGGGAAATGACGTGAATCAAGCCAGGCCTTTATGGTCATGCTGAGGTGCTCTGGAGTCTCCAAAGCTGCACTGTGGGGCTCCTTGGGGAGGGGGAGAGGCCAGGGGTGAGGCTGGTAGGCAGTGGACGAATGACAATGCCAATCAGGAACACTGTGCTTGCTCCCTTTGTTCTTTTTTTTTTTTTTTTTTTTGAGACGGAGTTTCGCTCTTGTTACCCAGGCTGAAATGCAATGGCGTGATCTCAGCTCACCGCAACCTCCGTCTCCTAGGTTCAGGCAATTCTCCTGCCTCAGCCTCCTGAGTAGCTGGGACTACAGGCATGTGCCACCACGCTCAGCTAATTTTTTTTGTATTTTTAGTAGAGACGGGGTTTCACCATATTGACCAGGATGGTCTCAATCTCTTGACCTTGTGATCCACCTGCCTCAGCCTCCCAAAGTGCTGGGATTATAGGCATGAGCCACCGCGCCCGGCCCCCTTTGTTATTTTATGAGACACCAAGGCTTAGTTTGGGCTGGCTGTGAATTTAAAGATAAACGCTCTGTAAATATTAGTAGAACTGCTGTTGGGTGAGGCAGAAATCATGAATGTGCAAGACTGAAGTTGGGAGGTGCCGAAGGAGGAGTGGCTCTTCCTGTCGGTGTCCTCACACCTGGGGTGATTCTGTGAGTCAGTGGGGTGTTGTGAGTCACTGGAGACTGATAATCGCTGTGAGGCTGACAGTTCGAAAGCTTCACGTAAGGGAGTGACTCAGGGTCACCCTGTAACAGTATCATCCCCTTGCTCACCTGCTGCTCTGCTGTCCTGGGTGGGGGCCAAGGGGTCCATGTGCCATCAGGAATGGCCGTGTGTGTCCATGGGGGCAATTCAGCCGCGGAGGGGGCCCTGTGTGGGGACTTCCCTGAGCTATCGCAGAACAGGAGTCAAGAATGGGTTCTGGAGCCCTCCCGCAGCCTGCACAGACAGGCTGCTTCTCAGTGCTGGTTCTGGCAGCCTTCTGTTGCACGAGCAGAAGCCCAGCTCTGGGGCATAGGCAGTGGAGGGATGTGTGGGATCAGGGCCCTGAGAACTGAGAGGCAAGGGGCCTCGGGACTGTGGAACCCAGTGGTGTTATTGGGGGCTGTTTCTTTGCATCTTTCACTCTGCCTCTGCTGTGTCAGCACTGGGCTCAGGCTGGGCACCCTCATGGCTGGCACTCTCGTGGCTGAGAATGGCTGCATCAGCTCGGGGCATCTTGACCCCTCCAGCAGGAGGGAGAGCAGACCTCTCCCATCCAGGTGTGCAAGCGAGAGACCAGTATTCCCGGTGACTGGACTGGCTTAAGACATGTCTGGCCTGACCAGAGACTTTGACCTAGGGGTGGTATGTCTGCTGACTGGCTTAATGTATCAGGTTGGGTGAGGGCAGCTCAGGGCTGCCTAGAAGAAGTGGGGAGGAAGGCAGGTAGGTTGGGTGCTAACAATTGCTAACACATTTTGACACATCCTGTTCCAAGTCCAAGCTCCTGCATGAATTAATTCTGTTCTGCAAGGCAGGCGGTGCCATTATCTCCATTTTATGGATGGGGAAACTGAGGCAGGAAAGTTCAGTAACTTATCCACCTCTCATCACTGATATGTGGCAGAGCCAGGATTAGAACCAGCCCATGCCCATAGCCAGGACCTCCCTTTTTGAGCCCAGCAAGCCTGTGCTGCCTGGTCAGCTAGTCACCTGACCCTTAGGCTAGCTCTCCTGAGAACTCACTGTGCCCCTGGGATGTCCCAGGCCTCAGCAGTTGTTGGACCCTCTCAGGGCTCTGACCCCAGCTGGGTGCACTTTCCTTTCACTGGAACCTGGCAGTGGTCTGCCCTTCACAGGGGCTGACCTGGCTATACCTGGGCACCCCGGGGAGGCCTCAGGTCTTTTTTTTTTTTTTTGAGATGGAGTCTTGCTCTGTCACCCAGACTGGAGTGCAGTGGTGCAATCTTGGCTCACTGCAACCTCTGCCTCCTGAGTTCAAGTGATTCTCCCACCTCAGGCTCCCAAATAGCTGGGATTACAGGCGTGCACCACCATGCCCAGCTACATTTTGTATTTTAGTAGAGATGGGTTTTACCATGTTGGCGAGGCTGGTCTGAAACTCCTGACCTCAAGTGATCTGGCTGCCCTGGCCTCCCAAAGTGTTGGGATTACAGACATGAACCACTGCCCCTGGTCTGGAGCCCTCATGGTCTTTCTTTCTTTTTTTGTTTTTTTGAAACAGAGTCTCACTCTTGTTGCCCAGGCTGGAGTGCAATGGCATGATCTCGGCTCACCGCAACCTCTGCCTCCTGGGTTCAAGCGATTCTCCCACCTCAGCCTCCCGATAGCTTGGATTACCGGCATGTGCCTCCACGCCCAGCTAATTTTTGTATTTTTAGTAGAGACGGGGTTTCTTCATTTGGTCAGGCTGGTCCTGAACTCCTGACCTCAGGTGATCCACCTGCCTTGGCCTCCCAAAGTGCTGTGATTACAGGCCTGAGCCACTGTGCCCAGCTGTCTCATGTCTTTCTATAGGGCTTAGACAGCCCTGTAGCCCTGCACCCTCATCAGGGCCCTCTTCCTGGAAAGAAGCCAAAAGCCCTTTTCCACCTGCCTGACACACCGAATGCATTTATTTCCTCCCACAGGGAGAGCTCTGTTGTCCTGCCCTGGCGACCTGAGGCAAGATGGGGGCCTGGTCTTGGGCATCCAGCCTCCTTTCCCACAACTGGCTGGTTTTCCTTTCTGGAGGTTCTGGGCACACACATGACCTCTCTCCAAACCCTGACATTGAACACTTGGCCTGCACCCCCATGAGTGGGCATCTGAGACTCAGTACAGATCAGGGGCTTGGGGGCTTTGGGGCATGAGAGTATTTCTTAGGGTGGGTGAGAACAGTCAGGTTACGTTGCAGGCATGTCCCCTGCTCTCTCCCATATGCTGAAGCCTCCTAGGCAGAGACCCTGGGGATGGGGGTGCAGGTTAGACAGCCCCCCAACAGCTCTACCTCTGGCCTGGGTCTCTGCAGGAGCCCAAGTCCTCAGGGCAGCTCATGGCCGAGTGGGGCCTGGATGATGTGGACTACCTGTTCTCGGAGGAGGACTACCACACGCTGACCAACTACAAGGCCTTCAGCCAGTTCCTCAGGTGGGCAGGGGCCAGGGCTGCTCTCGAGGCCTGCACCGCCCCTGGGAGGGAGGCAGAGGAATGAAGCCTGGGCTCCTGGGGTAGGGGTGAGCTCTGTCAGACAGACTCAGCAACCTGGGGGAGCTGGAGGGAGGGGCAGGACGCCCTCATGCTAATAGACCGCCAGGCCTTCCCTTGCGGGGCCTGGCCCTGGGCCCTCGAGTCTCTTCCCCTTGGGGAAGGTGGTTCCAGTCTTTCCTGGGGCGTCATTCACCACCATGGCCTCTCAGCTCTGTCAGAGGTGGGATGGAGACTCTGAGGCCACTGTGGCCCCTCACGTCTTTTTTTTTGAGGCCGAGTCTCCCTCTGTCGCCCAGGCTGGAGTGCAGTGGTGCGATCTCGGCTCACTACAACCTCCGCCTCCTGGGTTCAAGCGATTCTCCTGCCTCAGCCTCCTGAGTAGCTGGGATTACAGGCACGCGCCACCATGCCCAGCTAATTTTTGTTTTTTTAGTAGAGACGCGGTTTCACCATGTTGGTCAGGCTGGTCTCAAACTCCTGACCTCGTGATCTGTCTGCCTCGGCCTCCCAAAGTGCTGGGATTACAGGCGTGAGCTACCATGCCCGGCTGGCCCTTCAAGTCTTGCAGCGCCTGAAAACCCAATGGGAAAATAGTCAACTGTGTGGACAGGAAGCTGGGTGGGCTGTGGTCAGCGGGTTTCCTTGCCTAGTTTCTCTAATCAGGAACCCAGGGCTCTGCCACAGCGTGGCAGAGGGGTGGGCCCTGCGGGGGGTTGGGTGGGCTTCTCATCCCACCTGGCCCTGCTCTCACCCTCCTGCCTCTCCCCACACAGGCCACTCATCGCCAAGAAGAACCCGAAGATCCCCATGTCCAAAATGATGACTGTCCTGGGTGCCAAGTGGCGGGAGTTCAGCGCCAACAACCCCTTCAAGGGCAGCTCGGCGGCAGCAGCGGCGGCAGCAGTGGCTGCAGCTGTAGAGACTGTCACCATCTCTCCTCCACTAGCCATCAGCCCCCTGCAGGCGCCCCAGCCTGTGCCTATCCGCAAGGCCAAGACCAAGGAGGGCAAGGGTGAGGCTGGGGGTGGGTGGGCACCTAGTCCTGCTGGGAAGAGGCCCCCTCAGACCCTGTAGGAGAAGCCATGGGCAGACCTGGGCACAGGGGGTGATTGGGACAGACCATTATGGGGGGAGGGGGGTGGCTGGGACAGACCCTGGTGGTGGGGGGCAGCTGGAGCACACCCCCAGGCAGGGAGGGGTGGCTGGGGCTGACCTGGGCAGGCAGACCCTGGCAGGGAGGGGCGGCTGGGGCTGACCTGGGCAGGCAGACCTGGGCAGGGAACAGAGGCTGGCTGTTCCTTATTCAGGGCCCTGTGCCCGTGACCTTTGATTGATGGGTTCTTTCTCAGCAGTGAGGCAGCATGGTCACCTCTGTTGTGCCTGCCTACCTTTTGGGGCTGGTGGAGCAGAGGCGGTGATGTGGGCAGAGGTTTGGGAGGTTTTAGCCTGGCCAGCCAGGAGGCCCCCTCGATGGGGCCTGGAGGGAGTGCAGAAACAGAGGTGGGCAGAGTGGAACCGCTCCAGCCCTGGGCTTCTGGGAGTTGGCAGGCTCTTGGGTTTGAGGCTGTGCCATTCCTGGGGAGGAGGAGGAGGCCCCAGTTGAGCCCATCTCTCCCTCTTGTCTGCACACCCACTGTGTGCAGGGTGGTTCTCCAGGCCCTTGGCCAGCGTAGAGCATGGAGGCCCTGCCCCTCCAGCTTTAGGATCTGGGAAGCAGGCAGGAGCTGGGGCAGGGACTGGGCACGGCCAGGTTTGGCTTCCCAGGGAGGCTGTTCTGGGACAGGCCTGGAAGGAGGTCAGACCCAGATTCTGCCTCAGTGGCAGGGCATCTGAGTGGGGAGGGTGGGGGCAGCAGAGGCCCCCTGTGACTTGCAGGCCATGGGGAGAGAGCTTTCTGGGCAGGGGTTTCTGGCTTTTTGGAGGTTGGGGACATTGATCTCCCCAGGGCTGTCAGTCACCAGCAACTCAGCTTGGGTGCCCTGATTCGGGTTTTTTTTTGACAGACTTTTCCTCTGTCTTCCAGGCTGGAGTGCAGTGGCATGATCTCTGCTCACTGTGACCTCCATCTCCTGGGTTCAAGCAATTCTCCTGCCTCAGCCTCCTGAGTAGCTGGGATTACATGCGTGCACCACCAACACCTGGCTAATTTTTTGTATTTTTAGTGGAGACGGGGTTTTGCCATGTTGGCCAGGCTGGTCTTGAACTCCCGACCTCAGGTGATCCGCCCACCTTGGCCTCCCAGAATGCTGAGATTGCAGGCGTGAGCCACTGCATCCGGCTAATTTGGGTTTGGATGGAAGGGTCTGAGGGGGCTTTGGGGATCCCTTCTTTCAGCCCCAGGGAGCTTTGGTTTCTGGGGGTTGTGTCTGGTACCATCATGCCAAGTCTCTGACGGGAGCCTGGTGGGCAAAATGACAAGGGTCAGAGCCTGTTCTCTGTCCTGCTCCATCTGTCCGGATCACCAGGATCTCAAAAGGGGTTCCCAGCCCGCCCCTGTCTGCCCAACCCGCCTTGTTTTCTCGTTTTCTCGTTTCCTCTCGGGCTCCAGCTGCTAAGCTATCGATTCCTTGAGCTGCTTATTCAGAGCTTGGAAAATTGAAATAGATTTTCTGAGGCGTCACACAGGGTACAGCTGGGCTTCTTGCTACATGTCCCTGTGTGTGGTGTGGCCAGAAGAGGGCCTGGGGAGAGGCCGCCTTCCTTCTGTGGTGCCTGCATCCCTGCCTCCAGGCCCCACTTCCTTCCTGGGTCATTACTCCAGGTAGTTATTGCCCTGTAGCCAGCTCCATAAAAGCAGCCTTTGCCCTGCTGGTCCTTTCTGGGGTTAACCGGCAGAGGTGGCGTGGTCTTGGGTGGGACCAGCATTGTCTGTCAGGCAGGTGGAAAAAGGGCTTTTGGCTCCAGGACGTCTCAGGCATGGATCACAGGTGGGCGGCTGTGCCTTCAGTGGCTTTGCTGGCTGTGGGGGCTGGCTAGTGCCTCCTTTCGGTGGGTGGAGACAGTACAGGGGCTCCTCCCAAGAGGCCACATTTCTGTGGGTCATGGACCGGGGGCAGCATGGTGGTCAGAGCCGCCTCCGGTCAGAGCTGTTATCTGGTTTTTGCCTCACTTGCTGTGTGATTTTAAGCAAGGGGTTCACCTCTCCAAGCCTCAGGCGTCTCATCTGAAAAGGGGTGATGGTAGAAATGACCCTTTCCTTATTGGGTAACTGAGAGCTCAGTGAGATGATGGCAGGAAGCAGCCCTCGGTGGTGGCAGTGGTTGGCTATGGTCACTGCTGTTTTTCAGGGCCTGGAGTGCGGAAGAAGATCAAAGGTTCCAAAGATGGGAAGAAAAAGGGCAAAGGGAAAAAGATGGCTGGGCTCAAGTTCCGCTTTGGAGGGATCGGCAACAAGAGGAAGAAAGGCTCCTCGGTGAGTGTGTGTATGTGTGCACGTATGAGCGTGTGTGTGTGTGCTCGTGGGTGCATACGTGCATACGTGTGCTCATATGTGCGCATGTGAGTGTGCATGTGTGCACGTGTGTATGTGCTTGTGTGTGTGTTTGTATGCATGTGTGTCTGCACATGAGCACACAGGGGTCAAGGAGGGCCTTCAGGTCATTATGAACTAGCTGAGGCAGGTCCTACCCTCCTCTACTTTCCTTCTGTCCTACATGCAGGCGTGCTGGGGCTCAGTTTCTCCATTTGTGTGGTGAGAGGTTTAGACTGAATCCTTCCAAGGACCCTTTTACCTTGGACTCTGTGTAGGAGTGCTCCCCTGGCTCACCCTCCTGAGCTGGGAGCTTCAGTCCTGGCTCCTGTTGTCCACAGCGCAGCTCCATTTGGGCAAGGTGGAGGAATCTGTCCTGGTGGGGCCTGGCCGCTGCCGTCTCCTCTCATGGGGAGTAGCTGCATGGGGGCTGGAGCCTAGGGAAGTGGCATGTGGGCAGGATCAGGCTGGCTGGAGCCCCAGTTATCTACCCCTGTCCTCAGGGCCAGCTCCGGGCCCAGGCTCAGATGCTAGGCCCAGGTCTCACTCAGCCTTGGGGCCCCCCTTTGGAGGGCATTTGCCCTCCTCACCCCCATGGGTAGCTGCCTCCCTTGCTCACCCCAGCCCTGCAGTTGGGTGGAGTTGGAAGCTCTTTCCCTGGTCCTTGGCAGAAGCCAGTGTCAGGTCTGGAGGGAAGCGTGGGGAGAAGGATTGGTCCGCCCTGGAGCTGACAGTCCAGTTCAGTTTAGCAGGTATTTGTTGAGCACCTACCGTGTGCCAGGCCCTCTGCTCAGCTGTGGTGGGCCCTGGTCCTGTGGCACTTGTCACCTGGCAGGCATGTTCTCTGGTGGAGAGCCTGTGATGTACTAGTGAGACAGGACAGGCCAGACCTGGCACACAGGCAGCCGCAATAGGTCCAGTAAAGGAGAGATCTGGGAAGACTCCTTGGAGGAGGTGTCCCTAGGGCTGCCTCTTGAAGGATGTTTAGGAGTTTGGCAGGACAGAGGGCAGGGTTTGGGGAGCTTTTCGGAAGTGGAAATTGTGGGGAGTGTCTGATGCTAGAGAGCAGGACTCTGGGAGGGTGGTAGGACATCAGGCTGTTTGAGTGGGCTGTAATGTGAGGTTTCCAGCTGTGTGGGAGGCTGAGGTGAATCACAGGGAGCACTGTGTCTCTGGAGCCTCTTCTGTGCTTTGTCCCACCCCACACTGCCAAAGCCAGTGAAGCCTCATGAGGCCCTGGGATCACAGGACCCTGTCCTCCCCTGCAGAGTGAAGAAGACGAGAGGGAGGAGTCAGACTTCGACAGTGCCAGCATCCACAGTGCCTCCGTGCGCTCTGAGTGCTCTGCAGCCCTGGGCAAGAAGAGCAAGAGGAGGCGCAAGAAGAAGAGGAGTAATAGGACTCCCCTTCTGGAGGGTTCTTGGTTTGCTGGGTGGATGTAGGGGGGCACAAGTAGAACTCTGTCTGGAGGGCTCTCAGCCTGCTGGGTGGATGTGCGGGGCATGGAACCTCCCTGTGGGAAGCAGGGGAAGGGCATCCTCATGCCTTGGCCAGGCGGGGCCCTTAGTTTCCCACACGACCCTGGTCTCTACTGTCTGGGGAGGGGCATCCTGTCCCAGTGAGGAAAGAATAAGGAACCTATGGTGGGAGCTATCCCAGGGCATTTGCATTGGTGACTGGAGAGGAAAGTACTTCATCCCATTGCCACCCTCCCATTCAGTCACCCCCACCCACTTAACACCCATCTGTCCCCTCAGCCCCCTTCCCATCCCTCCCTCCCTCTCCCTCCTTTCCTGTCACTTCCTTTTATCCATCCATCCATCATCCATCTATCCATCCATTCGTCCATCTATTTATCCATTCATCCATCTATCCATCATCCATCATCCATTCATTTGTCCATCCATCCATCCGTTCATCCTTTTGTCCATCTATTTGTCCATCCATCCATCCATCCATCCATTCATCTTTCTACCCATCCACCTCCTACCCTTCCTTCCTTTTCTTTTATCCATTTTCTATCTCCTCACCCTTTTACTACGGCAACCATCAGTCCATCCACCCACCCACCTATCCATCCACCATCTATTAGACATCTACTCTGTGCCTGTCTGGCCTGGGGTGGTGCAGGTGGTTGTGTGCTGGGAGTTCCATGACTGCCCCTCCCTCACCCTAGTTGATGATGGTGACGGCTATGAGACGGACCACCAGGATTACTGTGAGGTGTGCCAGCAGGGTGGGGAGATCATCCTGTGCGACACCTGCCCACGGGCCTACCATCTCGTGTGCCTGGACCCAGAGTTGGAGAAGGCTCCCGAGGGCAAGTGGAGCTGCCCTCACTGTGTAAGCCCTGACAGAGCCCCGGGCTGGGGGCGGGGCCATGCCTGCTCCCACACCCCTTTGTTCCCTTGTGGGGGCAGAATGCCTACAGGTACTGTGGGGGAGGGAGTTGGGGCCCTGGTGGAAGGGGTGCCTCCACCTGGCCTCCTCCCCCAGGAGAAGGAGGGGATCCAGTGGGAGCCGAAGGACGACGACGACGAAGAGGAGGAGGGCGGCTGCGAGGAGGAGGAGGACGACCACATGGAGTTCTGCCGCGTGTGCAAGGACGGGGGCGAGCTGCTCTGCTGCGACGCCTGCCCCTCCTCCTACCACCTGCACTGCCTCAACCCGCCGCTGCCCGAGATCCCAAACGGTGAATGGCTCTGCCCGCGCTGTACTGTGAGTGTTCCGCCCGCTCCGCGCCTGACGCCCCGCCCCACCCCAGGAACAGGCCCCGCCCCCAGAGGAAGACCTGCCCTTCTCGATAAGCCCCGCCCCCGCCGGCTCCGGCCACGCCCCGGTAGCCGATTTTGCAAAGCCCCGCCCGCGCCGCTCGAGACCCAGCTCACTCTAGGCTCTCCGCCCCACCCCCTCGCTGCTCCGCGTCTGACTGCCCTAGAGACCGGAGCCTTGAATGTGAGGACAAGGTGGACAGGTGTGGTGACCGTGCCAACACCACAACCACTGTTCAGTGACCACGTGCTCTGCAAGGGCTCCACATCCATCACAGTGTCTTTTTAACATTACTGGGTGTTCTGGCACCCGGCATTTTATTATTTCCTTTTTAGGTGAGAAAACTGAGGCTTAGGGAAGCAGAGTGACCTGCCTAAGGCCACACAAGGGCAGAACTGTCCACTCAGATTCAGGTCCCTGGAGCCACCCAGCCAGACCTGGCTCCTGTTCCAAGGCTGGGGTAGGGAGAGGGTAGGAGGCTTTTAGGGCCGAAGCCTCAGTTTCTGCAGGAAGAGGGGCACCCTCATCCTTCGATCCCCAATCACAGTAGACATTGAAAGGCCCCTTGTTCTGAGCTGTCTGCCCTGCCAGCCGCAGTGCTGGATCCCCACCCCTCAGGTCCTGGGCTGTGCCGCCGTTCGCCCTGGGCCGTCCCGTGTGCATCTGAGCTTGTGTTGTGTGTGTGTGTGTATGTGTGCGTGTGCATCTGTGCACATGCCTGTTCGTCTCTGTGTAGGGGCCTGGGGAGGATCTTTTTGAAGGGTTCAGCCTTCTGTGCTTTCCTACAACTGATGGAAGGCCCTGGGGATGGGAGGGAGGCAGGAGTGAGTTCCTCCAGCTTCTTCTGTGCAGGGTTGGGATGGGGCTGGGAGGGTCCACGGCCTGGGTAGGAAGGGTCCCCTCTTCCACTGTCTCCAGAGCCAGTGGAGGAGCCTCTCCTGCCTCCCACCTCCTCTTCCTCTTCTGCCTCTCGGCCTTTGCTGTCACCAAGGCCAAAGGGAGGCTTGCTGTGTAGTGTACATTGCACCTCCAGCATGCCTTCAGGTGTGAGGAGGCACCACAATCCTGGTAGGTGGAGGAAGGGGTGGGCCATTGTACAGATGAGAAAGCAGACTCAGGAGGCTTGGACGAGTTTCTGAGGACAGGCAGTAGCCGAGGTGGGACATGCTGTCCCCAACAGAGCTGTCTCCCTGAATCTGTAACCCCCGACCCTGTCTAGCCAGGCTCAGCACTGCTTCCTTGGAGGGCCGAGGCTGCTCCCACACCTCTCAGGGCACAGCATCTGTCAAGGCCCCTGCAGTGTGTCTCTGGGCTGCCAGAGACCGGGCCTCATTGTCCCAGCCCAGACGCACCGTGCCTGGGTACAGCCCTGCCCCGGGTGAGGGTTGGTGGATGTGGCTGCCGTGTCCTTGAGCTCCAGGCATGGGGCTCATGCTCCCTGGGTGCTGTGGGTCACGCAATGATGTGACCTCTTTTCAGAGGGCAATGAGCAGACCTAAGATAGGGAAGTCCAGAATCTCAGCTTCTGCTCCCTGCTCTGCTGTCCCTTGCTGAGGTGGGCCTCAGTTTCCCCCTTTGCCGTATGCATGTGGCAGTCTCACCTACCCTGGCTCAGATATTCTGGGTGCTGATAAGTTCACCATTGAGTGAAAGGGCTGTGTGGACTCACAGACCCCCACTGCCCGTGTCCTGCGTGCGTGGCACACGCGGCTCCTAAGGACGGATGGTTGTCATGGCGTTACTGTGGTGCTGTTCTGACTTGGGGACCATGCCGCTGATGGGAGGGAGGCTGCATGGCAGCCTGCTGTCATGGGAGCCTCAGGGTGGGGCCCTGCAGCTGAGCCCCACCTTGGGGACCCTTCTCTGTCCACAGTGCCCCCCACTGAAGGGCAAGGTCCAGCGGATTCTACACTGGAGGTGGACGGAACCCCCTGCCCCCTTCATGGTGGGCCTGCCGGGGCCTGATGTGGAGCCCAGCCTCCCTCCACCCAAGCCTTTGGAGGGCATCCCTGAGAGAGAATTCTTTGTCAAGTGGGCAGGGCTGTCCTACTGGCACTGCTCCTGGGTGAAGGAGCTACAGGTGAGTGTCGGGCAGGGTGGCTGGGCCAAAGCCCACAACCTGGTGAGCCCTGGACCCTCCAGGGCTGGTGGGAAGGGGCAAAGCACCTCTGACTGAGGGGTGCTGTTGGGAGTCAGGAGACTGCTGAGGGGGAGGATTGTCTTGCCTAGGACCTGGGCTGGGGCTAGGAGAGCTGGGTAGGGAGATGCAGGGGGCCACGGCCCCTCTCCCCTCTGTGACTTGTGCCTCCTCTGTGAGCAGCTGGAGCTGTACCACACGGTGATGTATCGCAACTACCAAAGGAAGAATGACATGGACGAGCCGCCGCCCTTTGACTACGGCTCTGGGGATGAGGACGGCAAGAGCGAGAAGAGGAAGAACAAGGACCCCCTCTATGCCAAGATGGAGGAGCGCTTCTACCGCTATGGCATCAAGGCAGAGTGGATGATGATTCACCGAGTCCTGAACCATAGGTGTGTGCCTGCAGACAGCCGCCCTGCCCATTGCTGGGGCCAGGCTGCGTCAGCTCCTTGGCTCTGTAAAATGGGTGCAGGGCAGGGCACGAGCGTCCTTGCTTTGGGGCTGCCATGCACAACCACATGTGGGCATGGCAGGGGCACAAGGAAGGGGCCCAGGGCTCCTGCTGCTGGAGATCTGCCTTACCTGCTGGAGGGGCTGTCCCGTGCACGTTGGCACACTCATACCCACGTGTTCACACCCTTGGTGGGTCGGTACTCTCATGCTGGGTTAGTGCTTGATTACCAGCAGGAGGGTTCTAGGATGCGGGAGGCCTGAGGTGTGGGGGTTTGTCCACATTTCCCCCACGTTTGTAACAGCAGCTGGCCTACCCCAGGAGGGAGTTGTCTTGTTTTCACCTCTGTTTTGCTGATGTGAGAATAGGCTGAATCACACAGCTATGGGGCAGAGCTGGGATTTGAACCCCATGCTTTCTGATGGCAGGACCTACTTTCTTAGCCCCTGCTGCATCCGCCAGTGCCCCAGCAGCAGGTCTTCCTGGAGCAGTCTGGCCATTTCCTGGGACACCTTAGCAATCAGAGTCTGCTGCAGGGAGCCTGAGGCAGGAGGCCCATGGGTCTTGGTTTTGATTTGGTGGATGGGGGGAACTCCTGCCGATTCTCGAGTTTAGGTGCTTGAGAACTGGTGGTGGCTGACAGATGGGCTTGTGCTTCTCACCCGGTGACCCTGTGGCCTCTGACTTTGAGGGGTTTAGCATCTAGTGGCCTCTGTCACTCAGTGCTTTTGGCTTCAGGCAGTTGTTGGGCAGAGCAGAGGTTCAGAGCCTGAGCCAGATGTTCAGATTTCAATCCTGGCTCTCGACTGCTGGGCTTTGAGGCCCTTGTGGGAAACAGTCTGGCATGAGGATGACGGGAGCTTGCCCAAGGCTGGCTGTAGGTGATCTTCAGGAGGAGGGGTGCGGAATTTTAAAAAGCTTCCCCCCTTCAACTCTGGGACCCCCTCTTTTCCTTCTCATTCCTCCTGAGAATGGCCCTTCCAGCGTCAGCTCCTATGGGAACCTGAGCCCAGAAGTGAACTGGCCCACGGTTTTCTACCTTTACCAAATTGCATGCTAAAAATATACATGGTAATTTTTCTCTCTGCCCCAAAGTGGGACAGGTGAATTCCTCCCAGATTTATTCCTGCAATCTGCAAAACAATCAATTATGTATTGGAAAACAAACAAATATCGGTTTCCATGGTAACTGGGGATGGGTCTTTCTCTTGGCTCACTGCAACCTCCGCCTCTCAGGTTCAAGCAATTCTCCGGCCTCAGCCTCCGGAGTAGCTGGGACTACAGGCGTGCGCCAGCACGCCCAGCTAATTTTTGTATTTTTAGTAGAGATGGAGTTTCATCATGTTGGCCAGGATGGTCTCGATCTTTTGACCTCGTTGTCCGCCTGCCTTGGCCTCCCAAAATGCTGGGATTACAGGCATGAGCCACTGTGCCCAGTCTGGTCTTTCTCTTAATGTCCCCCAGGCCTGCAGCACCTGCTTCTCACCTGGTCTGTGCACCTGTGTCAGGGATCCATGCCCTACCTCAGCCCTGCAGCACTCCTCTGGCCTGGTTGCCTTAGCCTGGGTGGGGTGGGAGGCCCTGAGGCCCCTCCCAATGGCCAGAATCAAGCTGTGTGCTGCCGGGCTTGGTCACTGGGTCCCTGTGCCCCCAGAAGAGACTGCCTCACCTGCAGGAATTGCATCCTTACCTACTTTGCAGAGACAGCTTCTCACCCTACATGGGCACTGCAGGAGTCCTCCAGGTATTTTAAGTTAGAAAACCGATTCCATGGGCAGGAAAGAGAACTTTCTAACTTAGAAATGCACAACTCCTGTGAAAATCCAGACCCCGTGCCAAATGGGATTCATCCCTGCCGCAGAGGCTGTGAAGGATGCTGGAGGCTGGCTTGTTGCTCTTCTGTTAGCTGGTTTCAGTGTCCCTCTCGGTCTCTGTCGAATCCCCTCTCATTCACTGTGTGGCCTCAGGCAAGCTGCTACACCTCCCTGGAGCAGCAGTACCCTCCTCCTGGCTGGGCCTAGGATCTGAGGGCACCCTGGGAGGTGCCCTTCATCAAACCTGTGTGGTGGCTACTGCCCTGAGCAACGCACGTCTATTCACTATGTTGCAGCTTTGACAAAAAGGGGGATGTGCACTACCTGATCAAGTGGAAAGACCTGCCCTACGATCAGTGCACCTGGGAGATCGATGACATTGACATCCCCTACTACGACAACCTCAAGCAGGCCTACTGGGGCCACAGGTGGGCCTTGGGGATCGGCTGCTGGGCACGGGCTGCCGAGGCCTGCTCCTGGGCTGCGCCCTGCTCACCTGCGTCCAATGCCTTTTCCCAGGGAGCTGATGCTGGGAGAAGACAGCAGGCTGCCCAAGAGGCTGCTCAAGAAGGGCAAGAAGCTGAGGGATGACAAGCAGGAGAAGCCTCCGGACACGCCCATCGTCGATGTGAGTGGGGAGGGCAGGGCAGCAGTGGGCGGGGTTGCCAGGGCCTGCCCACCCCAGACTGGAACGTGCAGTGGGGGCGTGTTCTCAAAAGGACGTTTTCTTGGGCCCTCATGGCTTATGCACACGTGCCCACGTAGGCTGGGACAGCTGGAAGGTCCCTCCTAGCACCGCAGCAGACACGCTACTTAGATACCACTCTCAGCTGGGAGGAGACCCAGGGTGACTCACTCAGCAGAGCTCCCTGGGTGTCCGCTAGCGCCTGGCCCTGTGTTGGCCCTCAGTAGAAGAGGGGCAGTGAGCCCTGGGCAGCTGTTTCAGAAGACACACTGTCTTCTAGGGGCCTGTGGCAGGTATCCACAGAACTCCGAGGGCCTGGCCTGGGACTATCCCATGCCTGTTAGATGCTGGGGAAAAGCGGGTGGGTCTGGTCCATGGGGAGGACTGCATGGGAGCCATGACCTTGAGCAGTATCAAGAGGCAAATGGACCAGGCACGGTGGCTCACGCCTGTAATCCCAGCACTGTGGGAGGTGGGAGGACCGCTTGAACCCAGAAGTTTGAGGCAACATAGTGAGATCCCACCTCTGCAAAAAATTAAAAAATTATCCAGGCATGGTGGTGTTCCTGTGGTCCCAGATACTAGGGAGGCTGAGGTAGGAGAATCCCTTGAGCCCAGGAAATTGAGGCTGCAGTGAGCCATGATCGTGGCACTGCACTCCAGCCTGGGCAACAGAGACTCTGTCTCAAAAAAAAAAATAAAGCAAATGTCTGGATCAAGTGGAGGAGCCAGTTACTGGGGGCATTGAGAGTGCCCCAGATAGACATTTGTTTTTCTTGTTCACCCAACGAATAGTGAAGAAGTGACGCATGTCCTGTATGGGGCTCTAGAGGAGGTGGTGAACAGGACCAAGGTGGTGATGACAACCTGGGCTCAAAGTCAGAGAATTCAGCAGCTGAGAAATTTCCCTGAGAAGGAGAAGTACAGGGCCGCCATGGGAGGACATTGTAGGAACACTTCAGCCGGGGTGGGAGTCAGGGAGAGCTTCCTGGAGGAAGAGGCATTCCATCCAAGATATGAAGAAGAGTTAGAAAGACAGGGAAGAGTGGGAAGAGTGTTCCAGGCAGAAGGAATTGCATGCACAGAGGCCTCTAGGGTGGACTCTGGTGGCCCAGGATCTGGGGCGTGTCTGAACCGCTGCCTCTCTTGCAGCCCACGGTCAAGTTCGACAAGCAGCCGTGGTACATTGACTCCACAGGCGGCACGCTGCACCCATACCAGCTGGAGGGCCTCAACTGGCTGCGCTTCTCCTGGGCCCAGGGCACTGACACCATCCTGGCCGATGAGATGGGTTTGGGCAAGACGGTGCAGACCATTGTGTTCCTCTACTCCCTGTACAAGGAGGTGGGCAGGTGGGATGGGTGGCCAGGAGGTGGGGGCTGGTCCTGGCCGAGGGCGGGCAGTCTCACGGCACTGGCCTCTCTCTCCAGGGCCATTCCAAGGGGCCCTACCTGGTGAGTGCGCCCCTCTCCACCATCATCAACTGGGAACGCGAGTTTGAGATGTGGGCGCCCGACTTCTACGTGGTCACCTACACGGGGGACAAGGAAAGCCGCTCTGTGATCCGGGAGAATGAGTTTTCCTTTGAGGACAATGCCATTCGGAGTGGGAAGAAGGTGTTCCGCATGAAGGTGGGGGCTCGCCATCCTTGGAAGGACGGTAGAGAGGCCCCGGGTCTGGTTCGGGGACCACAGGTGTCCTGCACTCCTTTGGGGTCCCTCGACCCGGGAGGGCTACTGAGGCTAGCAGGCTCTGAAGGGCTTGTCCTAAAGGCAGAATTACCACATGTCAGTTTTCTGGGGCTCCTGTAACAAGTGTCACAAATGGGAGTGGCTTCAAACATTCTGGAGGGCCTTCTGCCTCTGAAGGCTGTAGGGGAGGACTCTTCCTTCCTCCTTCCAGCTTCCTGGTGGCAGCAGACATTCACTGGCCTACAGCTGTGTCAGGTCAGTTTCTGCCTCTGTTAGCACATGGGGTTTTCCCCTTCATGTCTCTCTTGTCCTAGAAAGACATCATTCATACTGGATTTAGGACTCACCCCAATCCAATATGACCTCATCTTAGCTAATTATTATTTTATTTATGTATTTATTTTTCTGAGACAGGATCTCACTGTGTTACCCAGGCTGGAGTGCAGTGGGACCATCTCAACTCGCTGTAATCTCCCACCTCAAGTGATTCTCTCACCTCAGCCTTACCAGTAGCTGAGTCTCCAGGAGCACACCATCACACCTGGCTAATTTTTGTATTTTTTTGTAGAGACAGGTTTCACCATGTTGGTCAGGCTGGTCTTGAACTCCTGACCTCAAGTGATCTGCCCTTCTGAGCCTCCCAGAGTGCTGGGATTATAGGAGTGAGCCACTGCCTCTGGCTCCAATTAGTTATTATTATTTTTTGAGACAGAATCTCACTCTGTTGCCCAGGCTGGAGCGATCTCAGGTTACTGCAACCTCTGCCTCCAGGTTCAAGCAATTCCCATGCCTCAGCTTTTAGAGTGGCTGGGATTCCAGGCATGTGCCACCATGCCCAGCACATTTTTTGTATTTTAATAGAGACATTTGGTTTCCTTGTCCTCCACACATGACCTGTGTCATCCAGGCTGGTCTCAAACTCCTGAGCTTAGGCGATCTGCCTGCATCAGCTTCCCAAAGTGTTAGGATTACAGGCGTGAGCCACCGTGTCCGGCCTGAGCCTCTACATTTCTAAACACTCTCCACATTGAGGAGCAAGGACTTGCAGCCGTTGGCCCCTGGAAAGATGAGTGCTGCAGCCTTGGGGGCTGGTAGACCCTCTCACAGGCTCTTGGACTCTCCCATGTCAGCTTTCTCCACCGTCTCCTGCTAGTTGTGGCACTTAGGAGATGCTTGGAAACTGCTGAATGAGTGAATGAATCCGTGATCCCACAGGTGACTTTGTAGATGGATGAGCCCCTGGATCAGTTAGACACAAAAAGAACCTCCCCTGAGCCCCCACGGGGATCCTGCTGTGTGCCAAGCACTTCGCTGATTTGGCTTTTCTATTATATTTACTATTTAATTATTTAATTGTTAAAAGTTGTGGTAAAAAACACATGTTGTAAAATTGACTGTTTTAACCATTTTTAAGAGTACAGTTGAGCCGGGCGTGGTGGTGTGTACCTATAGTCCTGGCTACTTGGGAGGCTGAGGCAAGAGGATTGCTTGAACCCAGGAGTTCGAGGCTGTAGTGTGCTATGATTGCGTCTGTGAACAGCCATTATACTCTTGCCCGGGCAACATAGTGAGACTCCGTCTCTTAAAAAAAAAAAACAACAGCCAGGCGTGGTGGCTTATGCCTATAATCCCAGCACTTTGGGAGGCTGAGGCAGGTGGATCACCTGAGGTCAGGAGTTTGAGACCAGCCTGGCCAACATGGTGAAACCCCATCTCTACTAAAAATACAAAAATTAGCCGGGTGTGGTGGCATATGCCTATAACCCCAGCTACTCAGGATGCTGAGGCAGGAGAATTGCTTGAACCTGGGAGGTGGAGACTGCAGTGAGCCGAGACTGCGCCACTGCACTCCAGCCTGGGCAACAAGAGCAAAACTCCGTCTCAAAAAAACAAAACAAAAAAACCCAACCAGAAAAAAAAAAAGCTCAATAGTGTTAAGTACATTCACATTTTTTGGGTTTTTTTTTTTTAAACAATAACTCTGGAGAATATACCAAGTAACATTCACATTGTTATGCAGCCAATCTCTAGAAATCTTTTCATCTTGCAAAATGGAAATGCTGCCTCCATTAGACATGAGCATCCTCCGCCACCTCCAGCCCCTGCAGCCACCATTCCACTGTCTCTATGAGGTTGACCACTCTGGGTACTTCATATGAGTAGAATCAAGAAGCATTTGTCTTTTTGTGACTGGCTCATTTCACTGAGCAGAACGTCTTTGGGGTCCATGCATGTTGTAGCATGGGTCAGAATTTCCTTCCAAGGCTGGAGAACATTCCATCACACGGACAGACCACGTTTTGTCTGTTTGTCTGCTGAGGGGCACACGGATTGCTTCTAGTTTTATTGGCTGTTAGTGATGCAGAAGGGAAGTAGTATGGATGTGCGGATATCCCTTTGGGTCCCTCCTTTCACCTCTTTTGGGTGGAGCTGCCGGATCATATGGAAATTCTTGTTTTGACTTTTTGAGGTGCAGGCTTAGCCCTTTGAGTTCTTGTTGCAGGTAAGCTGTGATGGCACCCCTGCACTCCAGGCTTGGGGGTGGGAGTGAGACCCTATCTCACTGCTGCTGTTAGGAGAGGAGGCCATCGCTGTTGCATTCTGTTTCCTTCTCCTCCACAACCACCCTCTCTCAGGGCTGTGCTCTGGGCCTCGGTGGATGCCCCTCTGCTCGGTGGCCAGCATGTGCCCCTCTGGTCCCAGGCTGGCCGGCCGGAGGCTCCCTGGAGCATTTGTGGCTCATGTGCCCGCCTCCTTCTTGGTTCGGTCTCCTCGGACTGTGATCCGCCCGCTCTACTCCCAGCCGTCTCCTCCCCAATGCCCCTCTTTTCTCCAGAAAGAAGTGCAGATCAAATTCCATGTGCTGCTCACCTCCTATGAGCTCATCACCATCGACCAGGCCATCCTGGGTTCCATCGAGTGGGCCTGCCTGGTGGTGGATGAGGCCCACCGCCTCAAGAATAACCAGTCCAAGGTAGGTGGCACCAGCCGCCAGACCCCAGAGCCACCTGGGGTGAGGGGCCGCCTAGAGTCCCCTGACAGGCCCCCTTCTCCTCTCCTCAGTTTTTTAGGGTCTTAAACAGCTACAAGATTGATTACAAGCTGCTGCTGACAGGGACCCCCCTTCAGAACAACCTGGAGGAGCTGTTCCATCTCCTCAACTTCCTGACTCCAGAGAGGTTCAAGTGAGTCACGTGGATCCAGCTGGGGAGGCAGTGGTGGGGCTGGGGTGGCTCCAGTGAAGACGGATCAATAGCCCTTCCCGGCTGTGAGATCTGCTCAGCTGTAACTTCATTAGTAAAATGAGAGCGTTAAATGATGTCCCTGCTTTGACCTCCTGCAGGAGCAGGGTGTTGGGGCGGGTGGCACAGGCAGATGAGGGTGTCTGATAAATAGAAACTGCTGCTAATACCACGACTTTTCTTTAGCTCTGCCCTAGACCACCCGGGGCCCCTCCTGGGCTCCTATCCCTGCCTCTACTCCCCTGGCAGATTCCCTTCCCTCTGCTGAGACCCAGGTGATTCACATGGGCAACTGTGGTGGAGGCAGAGGCAAGTGCCTGGGGGGCCGGAACCCATTGCCCCAGCCTCCTCATCTTCTTCACCTACCTCCATTTTCCTGCTCAGAATTGGGGGTTCAGGGTGCAGAGTGCCGAGTTTGGAATCAGGAGATGTAGATTTATTTATTTATTTTTTAGAAAGAGTCTCACTCTGTTCCTCAGGCCGGAGTGCAGTGGCGTGATCTCAGTTCACTGCAACCTCTGCCTCCTGGGTTCAAGTGATTCTCCTGCCTCAGCCTCCCAAGTAGCTGGGATGACAGGCGTGTGCCACCATGCTCGGCTAATTTTTGTGTATTTTTGGTAGAGATGGGATTTCACCATATTGGACAGGCTGGTCTCGCACTCCCAACCTCAGGTGACCCACCCGTCTCTGCCTCCCAGTGTTGGGATTACAGGTGTGAGCCACCAGGAGATGTAGATTTGATGGCAGGTTTTGGCACAGCTGGACTGTATCAACTCGGGCACTCATCAGACTCAGTTTCCTCATCTGTTATCTGGGTAGCAGAGAGCTCCTGTCCAGGATGGTTTTGAGGGTGGAAGGGTGTCCAGTGTCGCTGAGGAAGAGAGGGCTGTGATGTATGGGGGCGACACAGGCTTAGACAGAAGTTGAGATGACAGCCAGGGCTCCCTGGTCCACCAGCCAGCCAGCCGACATGGGCTGGGCGCTCAGCACCCTGCCTCTTCTGCCCGGGTTCTCTGTTCCTGGTTGTTATCTCAGCTCTTTGTTGCAGCAACCTGGAGGGCTTCCTGGAGGAGTTTGCTGATATCTCCAAGGAAGACCAGATCAAGAAGCTGCATGACCTGCTGGGGCCGCACATGCTCAGGCGGCTCAAGGCTGATGTGTTCAAGAACATGCCAGCCAAGACCGAGCTCATTGTCCGTGTGGAGCTGAGCCAGATGCAGAAGTGAGTGACAGGCTGACCGGGAGCAGCCTGTGTGCCCCTTCCCCTGGCCTGGTCTCCTGGGTTGCTCTTCAGCCTCACTGAGGCCTGGGCTCATGCTTTACATACGCTTTCTTCCTGGGGCTTCCTCTCAGGTTTTAGTGACCAGAGTTTGGGCCGCTTGAGTTCTAGCAGTGTCCCCCAGTCATTTGCAGGGGACTCCAGGCCAGTGGCTTCCCTTCTTGGGGCTCCCTTGAGTCTCCCTATAAACGGGTGCTTGGCCACCAGCTTCCAGTCCCGCTACAGAGCAGAGGCGGGTCTGATCAGGTACACCCAGCCTGCCTTTCCCCATGCCCCGCTGCAGGAAGTACTACAAGTTCATCCTCACGAGGAACTTTGAGGCGCTGAACTCCAAGGGGGGCGGGAACCAAGTGTCGCTGCTCAACATCATGATGGACCTGAAGAAGTGCTGCAACCACCCCTACCTCTTTCCTGTGGCTGCCGTGGTAGGTTCTCCCCACCCATCATGGCAGATTCTAGGGGGCCGCTGTGCTAGGTGCCTGTGGCCGCTGTGGTAGGTCCCTGTGGCCGCTGTGATAGATTCTCTGGCGATTGTGGCGGGTTCTCTGTGGCTGCCGTGGTAGATTTCCCTGGCCATCATGGTAGGTTGCCTGTGGCCTCTGTGGTAGGTGCTGGGGAACCTATCGTGGAACCCACCGTTGTGGTAGGGTTGGTGTGGCTGTGCGCCATGCCTGGGAACAGGGGGCCTGGAGCCAGGGCCAGGGACCCACAGTCTACCCCGCACTGTGGAGCCTGGCCTGGCTCAGGTGTAGGTCTTATATTCAGTGGGTCAGACAGGCCGTCACCCCATTGCTTGGCACCTGTCTGTTCCCTGCGGCCCCTTTGGTGCAGAGTCAGAGAGGAGAGGGAAGCCCACCAATGCCCCACCTCCTGCTGTGTCTGCAGGAGGCCCCCGTCTTGCCCAATGGCTCCTACGATGGAAGCTCTCTGGTCAAGTCTTCAGGGAAGCTCATGCTGCTGCAGAAGATGCTGAAGAAGCTGCGGGACGAGGGGCACCGCGTGCTCATCTTCTCCCAGGTGCATGTCCCCGCCCCCTCCGCCCTGGCTCCATGCCCCACAGAGGGCGTCCTGCCCTGATGCTTGGGGGCACAATCTTGCTGGCATCTCTCAGGTCTCAGTACTGTTCCCATGTGGGTCATGTGACCGTGTGTCAGGGGTCACTCCTGTGCCCTGGCGTGGTGAAGCTGAGGAGCTCAGAGCACATTTGCTGTAAGGAGCACCTGCCCTGTCTGTAACAGGTCCTGAGGGGCCACTGGCACCTGGCTTTTTGGCTTGGCAGCAGGGCTGCCGGCCTCTGGTGTGTTCATTTCTTCCTCCATCCCTTTGTTTGCATCTGTCATAGTCAGGCTCTGTGCTGGCACATGGGTGCAGGGACCAGTGATCTAGTCCCTGTCCTCCAGCTGTTCAGTCTACTGTAGGAGACAGTCACGGGACAGGCACCCGACCCTGTGGTCAGCTCTGTGTTGGAGGCCACAGTGATGATCCTGCAGAGTCATGGGATTAAAAATATCCCTCTCAGCCGGGCGCGGTGGCTCACACCTGTAATCCCAGCACTTTGGGAGGCCGAGGCGGGTGGATCACAAGGTCAAGAGATCGAGACCATCCTGGTCAACATGGTGAAACCCCGTCTCTACTAAAAATACAAAAAATTAGCTGGGCATGGTGGCACGTGCCTGTAGTCCCAGCTACTCGGGAGGCTGAGGCAGAATTGCTTGAACCCAGGAGGTGGAGGTTGCAGTGAGCCGAGATCGTGCCATTGCACTCCAGCCTGGGTAACAAGAGCGAAATTCCGTCTCAAAAAAAAAAAATACCCATTTCGTGGCCGACTGAGCCTGGCTGGGCTATGGCTCCTCGTGCACAAACATCAACTGAAAGCGGCGTCCGCCACCTGCAGCCTCAGGTCACCCTGCTAGGCTGCTGCAGCCTGAAGAATACTGGAAAGCAGGGCAAGCTTGAGACCAGGGGCTGAGCCAGGGAGTCTGCTGGAGGGGAGATGGCTCCACATCCCCCCCACACCTTGGTACCAACACGAGACACAAATCTGGTCAGAGGCCTTGAGAGACCAGTAACGGGAACCACACAGCTTCTAGACACGCAGGACAAGCGACAGAGACAGGGCCCTCCTGCCCAAAATGAGCCTATGAACTCCAGTTCCAAACCCATAGAAAAGTGAATGCCAAGACATTCACTATTTTATTTGGACTAGAATCCAAATAAAAAAATAAGGGCTGGGTGCAGTAGCTTACCCTGTAATCTCAGTGATTTGGGAGGTTGAGGCAGAAGGATTGCTTGGGCCCAGGAGTTCAGGGTTGCAGTGAGCTATGATTTTGCCAGTTCATTCCAGTCTGTCACAGAGCAAGATCCTGTCTCTTTTTTTTATCTTTTCTTTTGAGACAGAGTCTTGCTCTGTTGCCTGGGCTGGAGTGCAGTGGCACAATCTCAGTTTACTGCAACCTCCGCCTCCTGGGTTCAAATGATTCTCCTGCCTCAGCCTGCTGAGTAGCTGGGACTACAGGCTCATGTCACCACACCCAGCTAATTATTTTGTATTTTTAGTAAAGACAGGGTTTCACTATGTTAGCCAGGATGGTCTCGATCTCCTGACCTCATGATCCACCTGCCTCTGCCTCCCAAAGTGCTGGAATTACAGGCGTGAGCGACAGTACCCGGCCCTGACCCTGTCTCTTAAAAGATAGAGAGAGAAAAAGAATAACATAACCTGAAAAGACTATATAGACATGTTTAAGATCCTCAAAAATAATGGAGTAATTGAAACCCTAAAATAAGAAATTAAGCAAAAGCAGGAAGAGCTGAAATAGGAACAATTGGATGGAAACATGATATGCATGAAATTGAAATAAAACATTTCAACAGACTGGACAAACTGAACACTGTTGAAGAGAACATTGATGAATTGGAACCTGGTGCTGAGGCATTTCCCCAGAATGCACTGTACAGGGACAAAGATAAAACAGAGAAAACATGGAAGATACCTTGAGATGCTCCAACAATCATACAATTGGAGTTGTAGAAAAAATAGAAAAAATGGTGAAGAAGTTGGATTTGTTGAGCATTTGCAGACCTAGAGAGATGTGAGGTCTCCGATCTGGAGTTCATTCTAGAGTACCAAGCAAGATAAATACAAATAAATGAACCCCTAGACACTTCAGAACCCCCAGGTACTTTAGACCTAGTATCTACAAAATAAGGGCAACCAGATTGTTCTCAGACTTCTCAGCAACAGGTGGCAGAGACTATGGCAAAATCTCCAGTGCCCTGAGGGAACATATGTGCTGATAGTTTTATATCCAGCTAAACTATCTTTCAAGAATAAAGGGAATTACATGGGGTGATGGGAGCTCAGAAAGGACTGCTTTTCTTTTCTCATGGAGAGGAGTGAAATCAGGGAAGACATCACAGAGGTGATGTTTGTGTTTTCCAGGAAGAGAGTCAGGTAGTTTGGAATGGCTGGGAGCTATAAAGGAGCATTAGTCCTGCAGAGCCTTGAATGCAGGGCAAGGAGATGGAACTTAATTCTGTGTGGTGGGAGCAGGGAGGCTCATGTCAGAGCCCTGATTTAGGCAGGTCACTGCGGGGCTGGTTGGGAGGATGGATTGACTCTGAGAGGTGAGGGTGGAAACTATGTTCTTCCCCAGAGTCCTGCATTGGGTCTGCCTGGGTCTCAGCTGTTTCCCTATCCAGCAGGCGGCTCTCTTCTCCCCTGGCTGTGGTGGGGTCCCTGCCCATGGCCTATTGGGCCCCTTGCTCCTTGGCAGTTCCTCACGTGCCTGTCTCCTCTGCAGATGACCAAGATGTTGGACCTGCTGGAGGACTTCCTGGAGTACGAAGGCTACAAGTATGAGCGGATTGATGGCGGCATCACTGGGGGCCTCCGACAAGAGGCAATCGACAGATTCAATGGTACCCCATCCTGCCCAGGGGCTCTGATTGGGACCCTTTTTTGGCTTCTTCTCCCAGGCCAGGTTCTTAGCCAGGCCACCCAGCCAGTGTTGTGTCATCAGCCCCACACATAGCTGAAGACAGCAGGCTAGTCCTGAGATCGCGGTAGCTTCCCGAGTTTCCAGTGTTGAAAGGATTCTTCCCATGGAATCAGAGTTCCGAGGGGCCCAATAGATAACACCTGTTGGGAACGGAGTTAGAAACAGACAATGAGAAAGGCAGATGGGGACCTCTAATACTGATACGAGGTGAGCCCCAGTTATAAGCGGTGCTGGACAGAGCCTGCTGTATGGTGAATGGTGGCAGGAGGTACAGAGATGCACATGCTGCCTGGGGCCACTTCCAGAGGCAGGACAGAGTGAAGGGCCAGGCCACACATGGTCAGGTTCTTCACCCAGACTCACCCATGCTTGGTCTTCTCCACCTGGGAAGGAGAGGCGAGGGTAAAGGCCAGGAGGGTCTTGCCCATGGAGCTCCCTCTGTAGCAAAGGAAACTTCTGGTGTGGGGAGCAGTCAGCTGCAAGCTTTAGGAGCAAGTCTGCAGCAAATAGCAACAAGCTTTGTTTCCCTGGGGCTTTGGGCCTTAGAAAGAGGCTGGGGCCACACTCCCCAAACAACCAAAGCAGTGCTTCCTCTCACACACTCGTGCCAGAGAGCCAGGAGGAATAGCAAGTTCAGAGTTTCAGGGTCTAGACGTGGCCCAGCTACATGTGGAAGCAGGAGGTGCTGAAGCCCTGGGTGAGTGGGGGCCTGTTTGCAGCTCCAGTGGGGGCTGTGGTCAGTCCCAGGTCACTGAAGGGCCCTGAGGGGCTGAGAACCAGCCATCCTGTGACAGGGTTGCCCAGCAGGGCAGGACCCCAGGCCCCAGAGCTGTGCCTGAGTGTTCCCTGGCCACCCTGATGGCATCGATGGGCTAAGGGAAGCTGGGGGTGGGGAGCTGGGGGGACATGGAGGACTGAGCTCTCTGGAGGCTCTGCCTGTACTTGCTGGCTGCTTGCACTTCTTTTATTTATTTTTTTTTTTGAGACAGAGTTTCACTCTTGTGAATGGAGTGATCTCGGCTATGCCCAGCTAATTTTACATTTTTAGTAGAGACAGGGTTTCTCCATGTTGGTTAAGCTGGCCTCGAACTCCCAACCTCAGGTCATCCGCCTGCCTCAGCCTCCCAAAATGCTGGGATTACAGGAATGAGGCACTGTGCCCGGCCAAACAACCACTTTGTTTTTTGCTCATCTGGGATTTGAAAATTGACCTCCTCTTCATTCTAGCACTCTCCCATTGGGCCAGGGCTCAGAGCACCGCTGGGGACTAAGCGGCCTTGAGCGGGCTTCCTCTGGTTCCCCTGAGTGCAGCTGTGGCCTCTCATCTCTGATGAGGTCTCTGGCTTTGTAATTCTCTGCCAGCGACCTGTTGCTGTAGTTCCTTCCCTCTGTTCTCACCCCCAAAGGTGAACTCCCTCAAACATCCCATCTGCTGGCCTCTTTTTCAGCCCCCGGGGCCCAGCAGTTCTGCTTCCTCCTCTCAACCCGGGCAGGTGGCCTGGGTATCAACCTGGCCACGGCGGACACTGTCATCATCTACGACTCGGACTGGAACCCACACAATGACATTCAGGTCTGTGTCACTGCTGCCACCCTCCCAGGGCCCTCTTACCCTGGGCTTCGGGCAGGTTCTCCTGTCCTTCATGCCTTCCTGGACATGACCTCCACACCTCCCCTGGTGCTGTGGGCCTCCCTCCCTCATGGAGTCTTGGCCCCATGAGGGGCCCTGGGAATGAATGGAAGCTTGGGCCCCATCCCTCCAGCTCTGTCCTCGTCCAGAGGAGAAAACAGTCTTGGAGAGGGCAGGGGAAGTGTCCAAGGGCACACCGCAGTTCATGGTGGCCACTGATTCTGGTCTTTCCCATCACCCTCAGGACCAAGGCCATGGAGGGAGGCAGGATGAGGGAGTCCTGGGACCCAGAGGGGCATATATTTTGGAGGGGATGGGGAGCATAGAGTGGGCCTGTCAGAGGTGGGGGGAGGATGAGATGGTGCAAGGGGCAGATGGGGTTGACAAGGAAGGATGGGAGGGATGTGGGGGGCGGGGCTATGGGAATAGAGCTACCCTGACAGCCCTGGCCACCCCACTCGGGGGCTGGGACACACACATCAAACTCTTACACATGTAGGGGAACACATAAAAAGTGATGTCTCTCATTCATGTTTGTGCGCCCGTGGACACACACACATATGCATGGTCACATCCAGATCACCTCATGCAGGGCTGCAGAGTCTGGCACTTCCCTGTATTATACTGGGCAGATGCAGCTCCTTGCTGCCCTCGGAAGGTGGCTGCACATCTCCAGCACATGGTCTTGTGGTTCCATTAGTGGCTCGATCACAGGGAAATGCAGCCCCCTACCTCCCCAGGGCCCCCATGAAGCTCTGTGTGATGTCAGTTACACCTAGCACACTGGCTGTGTCATCCCTCACACACTGTTGCACACCTGCAGTCCTGGCTGCTTCCACTGGGAGCTTTTCCACTCCCAACCCAGCCCAGCACCCTGGCTCGTGGGAGGCTTCGCAGTCTGGGAGGGAGCCCAGCTGCAGTGGTGCAAGCCTGCACCACATGCCTCTCCCTACCCAGTCATGCAGCCCATTCCATGCTCTTGAGCTCATGGGTGTGACCCCCTCCATTGCCTGGAGCCTGGGTGAGCCATGGGTGCTGAGCTGCAGGTCTCCCCAGGCCTTCAGCCGTGCCCACCGAATTGGGCAGAACAAGAAGGTGATGATCTACCGCTTCGTGACTCGGGCCTCAGTGGAGGAGCGCATCACGCAGGTAGCCAAGCGCAAGATGATGCTCACCCACCTGGTGGTGCGGCCTGGCCTCGGCTCCAAGTCGGGCTCCATGACTAAGCAGGAGCTGGACGACATCCTCAAGTTCGGCACGGAGGAGCTCTTCAAGGATGACGTGGAGGGTGGGCCTCTGTCCCGAGGGAGTGTGGTGGGGCCTGGGGTCATGCTGCTGAGGCACCCATCCAGGGCTTGATGGGGTCCCTGCCCATTCCAACACTCTTCCTCTCTCTTGCACCCCCACTGGTGTCTCCTGGCCAGGGCAGCCCAGGGTGGTGTCTCTGGGCACTGCCCGCCAATCCTGCAGCCCTCTGTGCTCCTGCACCAGCGCCCTCCTCCTCTGCCCAATAGGCATGATGTCTCAGGGCCAGAGGCCGGTCACACCCATCCCTGATGTCCAGTCTTCCAAAGGGGGAAACTTGGCTGCCAGTGCAAAGAAGAAGCATGGTAGCACCCCACCAGGTAGGGGCCAACCCAGCCCAACCCCAGCTCCTCCTCCAACCAGGAGGCTGCTCCTGGAGAGGGGTTCCCCGACACACCCTCACTTGGGTGTCTTGGGACTGCTGGGTGGGCGGGGAATGGGGCTGTTACAGCGTGATTTCCTCTTTCGGGTCAACAGGCCCCTCAGCTGCAGCCCCTGGGATGGGAAGGGCCATTGTTGGGAGCCTGTTCCCAGGTCCCCAGGATGGACCAGGGCAGTCTTTGTCCCCACACTGCACTTGCCTTCTCCCCAGGTGACAACAAGGATGTGGAGGACAGCAGTGTGATCCACTATGACGATGCGGCCATCTCCAAGCTGCTGGACCGGAACCAGGACGCCACAGACGACACGGAACTACAGAACATGAACGAGTACCTGAGCTCCTTCAAGGTGGCGCAGTACGTGGTGCGCGAGGAGGACGGCGTGGTAAGGTCCCCGGCCCGCCCTCCAGCCGCAGCCCCGCCCTCCACCGTGACCACGCCCTCCCCTGTGATCCCGCCGTGCCGCCGCAGTCCCGCTCCTGCCTCCGCCCCGCCCTCCAGCCTCCGCCCCGCCGCAGCCTCAGCCCCGCCCTCCACGCTTTAGCTCCGCCCTCCAGCCTCAGCCCCGCCCCAGCCGCAGCCCCCCTCCACACTGTGACCCCGCCCTCCACGCTGTAACCCCGCCCTCCAGCCTCAGCCCGGCTTTCCCTGCTGTTACCAAGGCGTCCCGGCCGCCGCAACCGCGGGCTCAGCACTAGACACAACAGAGGGAAGGGACGGAGGCAGTGCTGAGGGCAGTACAGCCACATGGGCCGGCCACTGCCCTTGCACACATCTTCAGCCTCCTGCTCCCTGGCGTCGTCCTAGCTCCAATCCAGCTTCCCCACTTTCTGAAGTGCAAGCTGACCTGCCACCCCGCTGTGCAGAGCCCTGTCCCCCGGGTCCAGTGTCAGTCCCTTCCCGGCGCGGTGTGCCCTCCCGCCCCTGCCTCAAGGCCTACATGTCCGCCCTGCACCTGGACCGCTAGTGTTCCAGAACGCCCCGCACTTTTCTTTCTTTAAATAGAGTCTCGCTCTGTAGCCCAGGCTGTAGTGCAGTGACGTGATCTCGCTCACTGCAACTGCCGCCTCCCAGGATCAAGCGATTCTCGTGCCTCAGCCTCCCGAGTAGCTGGGATTACTGGCGTGCACCACCATGCCCAGCTAAGTTTTGTATTTTTAGTAGAGACGGGGTTTTGCCATGTTGGCCAGGCTGGTCTTGGACTCCTGACCTCATGATCCGCCTGCCTGGTCCTCCCAAAGTGCTGGGATTACAGACGTGAGCCACCACGTCTGCACTTTTCTCCCTTCTCCACCTGGCAAACCCTAGCTAACCCCAAGAAGCTTCTCGGATCTCTCCTGGGGACCTTTCCCTTTCCTCCTCGGTTCCTCCACCCTCCGTGCATGACCTTTTCCTCTGAAACCAGGAGCTTCCTGAGGGCAGGCACCGGGGCTTATTAAACTCGGTACCTCAGTGTTTGGCATGAGACCATAAAATACTTGCTTTGTGAATGGATGAATAAGGAAATGATTGACTGGACAGGGGCAGGGAGAAGAAGGCCAGCTGGGGCCGGGGTGATCAGAGAAGGCTTCCTGGAGTAGGCAGTGCATCCCATTAATCCTTGAGCCCCAAGGGGGCAAAAGGCCAGGTTGGGTGGAGGGAGCCTGAGGCTTCCAGGAGGGCAGGGATTGCCCTGTTCATGGAGCCGGTGGAACCTGCATCCCCAGGAGGAGGTAGAGCGGGAAATCATCAAGCAGGAGGAGAATGTGGACCCCGACTACTGGGAGAAGCTGCTGCGGCACCACTATGAGCAGCAGCAGGAGGATCTGGCCCGCAACCTGGGCAAGGGCAAGCGCATCCGCAAGCAGGTCAACTACAACGACGCCTCCCAGGAGGACCAGGGTGCGTGCTGGGTGGGAGGGATGGGTGCCCCTCACCAAAGGTGGAGGGTTGTCCCTGTGCAGGACTCCCGGGAGGTGCGGGCCGGGAGACCTGGGTGATTGTGCCAGGAGGGATGGGTGCTCTATACTTGGAGGCAGAAGGTGGGGCAGGATTCTGTCAGGGCATCCCTGTGCAGGACCCCTGGGAGGTGTGGGCTGGGAATGCCGGGCAGTGCCAGATGGAGCTGGGAGGCAGCTGCTTGGAGGAAAGGGGACTACGGGCAGGTGTAGGGGTGCTGGGTGTTTGGGGGAACAGGTGTGGCACCAGTTCAGTGACTTCACCACTGCTCATGACGTGGCCTTGGGCAAGCCCCTTGCACACAGTACAGTGTGTTGTAATGTGTGGGTGCGCATAGTCCCCTTAGTGTACTACTAGGTGGTGCTGGGATTATTAAATGAGCCCACAGGAAGTACCTAGGCCATTGTCATCGTCACTGCTTTCTTACCGGCTGGGGTGCAAGGGCTTGGCATGGTCCTGGGCATGCTTGAACTTGAGGGTGGGCTTCGTTTGCACAACTCACTCCATGCTCCTCTGGCTCGCCCCTACAGAATGGCAGGATGAGCTCTCCGATAACCAGTCAGAATATTCCATTGGCTCCGAGGATGAGGATGAGGACTTTGAAGAGAGACCAGAAGGGCAGAGTGAGTCTCTGTGCTGGTGGCCTGGGCTGCCGCTGAGGACGTGTCAGGGGAGCTGATGGCAGCAGGGGCAGGGCTGGCCTGGGGTCCTGCTGCCTTTGGGGTCAGAAGAGGGGGTCAGGAATCTCTGGGCTCCCACCTGAGAAGCTGTGGCGGGCTGCTCCCCAGGTGGACGACGACAATCCCGGAGGCAGCTGAAGAGCGACAGGGACAAGCCCCTGCCACCTCTTCTCGCCCGAGTTGGTGGCAACATCGAGGTGGGGCCTGTCTGTTCCCACATCTTTCTGCCCCCAATTCCTGCTGCTCCTGGGGTATGGAGGAGGGCTGGGGAACTGCCGAGGGCCTCATGCCAGGTAGCGGTGGGGCTGGTCTGGTATTCGCCACCAGAGTCCTGCTCCAGGTGGTGGCCCCTGCCTTTTCTGTGCCTCCTTCCTGCCTTTTCCTCCTCCCATACCTTTCTTCCTCATCCCAGAATCCTCTGTTTCTACCCTGTCTCTGCCCTGGGCTCACATTCCCTCACTCCACCCGCCCAGGTGCTGGGCTTCAATGCCCGACAGCGGAAGGCCTTTCTGAACGCCATCATGCGCTGGGGCATGCCCCCGCAGGACGCCTTCAACTCCCACTGGCTGGTGCGGGACCTTCGAGGGAAGAGCGAGAAGGAGTTTAGGTAAAGGGGCTAGGTGGTAGCCCAGGGCGTGACCACCTGCCTCTGAGGAGGGCAGGCTCCCTCGGGTGAGCCTCACAGAGGGCAGTGTCTGCTCCCACCAGGATAAGGCCTTCTGGAAAGTTCACTGCTGTTTGGTCTTTGGGTGGCTAGAGTCCTGGTGCTGGGCAGGGCTGATGTGCAGAAAACACTGACCATCTGCCCCTGCCCAAACCAGCTGGTGTTACGGTGGCGAGGAAGATCCCAGTCAGGGCTGTTCTAGCCAGTCCCCTTGCCAGGGAGGCCGTCTCTGTCCTTTCCCAGGCCTAGCCCAGGAGTCCTGAGTGGGAGGTGGGCATTGGTTGATGATCAGCCAGGAGGTCCCCCGGGGTCCCGCCAGCCTTCTCAGAGGGTTCTTGCTGGCCCCCCACTCCCTGAGCCCCAGTAACCCCCCACCCCAGAGCCTATGTGTCCCTCTTCATGCGGCACCTGTGTGAGCCGGGGGCGGATGGCGCAGAGACCTTCGCAGATGGCGTGCCCCGGGAGGGCCTCTCCAGGCAGCACGTGCTGACCCGCATCGGGGTCATGTCACTAGTTAGGAAGAAGGTGGGTGAGTAACTCTCTGTAGGGCCCTTCCTGGTGACTACCTGGGGTCCTGGCACTGTCCCTTGGGGGTCAGTGGTCAGAGAGCAAGCGCCTGGCTCAGGCCACACAGCTGCCCAGGGTCTGAGTCAGGCCAGAGGGACTGACCTGGAAAGCCTTTCTGGGTGAGGGGCCTGAGGGTAGAGGCCAGGATGGTGGATTACAGTTGGGGGACACAGTGGGTGGGACAGTGGGCAGGGGAGCAGCTACCCCAAGCCTGTGACACCCGCAGTCCCTGTGGCTGCCCCGAGGCCCTTAGGGCTGAACCACGACCACCACCCTGCCTCTTTCGTTCCCACCTTCTCTCCCGCCACCCCAGGTTCAAGAGTTCGAGCATGTCAATGGGAAGTACAGCACCCCAGACTTGATTCCCGAGGGGCCCGAGGGCAAGAAGCCGGGCGAGGTGATCTCCTCAGACCCCAACACGCCAGTGCCCGCCAGCCCTGCCCATCTCCTGCCAGCCCCGCTGGGCCTGCCAGGTCTCTGGGCTGGGCCGGCCAGGGAGGGCACTGGGGTCATGGAAAGTGGCAAGGTCACAGCAACCCCCAGTCTAACCCACACCCCATAGAAGACGGCCTCTCCTTCCCCAGTGGCCCCTGTTTGCTGAAATGTCACTCTCTAGAGTTTTTCATTTTAATGACAATTTTGAGATATAATTTACATACATACTGCAAAATTTAGTCTTAAAAAGTTGGCTGGGCATGGTAGCTCACACCTGTAATACCAGCACTTTAGAAAGCCAAGGCGGGAGGATCACCTGAGCTCAGGAGTTTGAGACCAACCTGGCCAACGTGGCAAAACCCTGTCTTGGGCCGGGTGCGGTGTCTCACGCCTGTAATCCCAGCACTTTGGGAGGCCGAGGGGTAGATCACGAGGTCAGGACATCGACACCATCCCGGCTAACTTGGTGAAACCAAGTCTCTACTCAAAATATAAAAAATTAGCTGGGCATGGTGGCATGCACCTGTAGTCCTAGCTACTCGGGAGGCTAAGGCAGGAGAGTCGCTTGAACCTGGGAGGCAGAGGTTGCAGTGAACCGAGATTTCACCACTGCACTCCAGCCTGGGGTCACAGAGCAAGACTGTCTCAAAAAAAAAAAAAGTGCTATTCGGTATTTCTAGTATATTCACAGGGTGTACAACCAGCACCACTACCTAAGGCCAGAATATTTTCATTCCCCTCGATAAAGAAACCCCTTACCCATTAGCAGCTACTCCCTATCCTCTGACCCCAGGCCTGGGCAGCCACTAACTTGCTTCCTGTGTGTGTGTATTTCACGATGCTGGATGTTTTGTGTATGTGGTACCGCACGGAATGTGACCCTTTTGGTCTCGCTTCTGTCACTCAGTGTGGGGTTCCAGGTTCATCGCATTGCTGCGTGCGTCCGTGCTTCATTCATTCCACCTTATGGCTGATTACATTTTCTTTTTCTTTTTTGAGATGGAGTTTCACTCTTGTCACCCAGGCTGGAGTGCAATGGCATGATCTCAGCCCACTGCAACCTCCGCCTCTCAGGTTCAAGCAATTCTCCTGCCTCAGCCTCCCAAGTAACTGGGATTACAGGCACCCACCACCACACCCAGATAATTTTTGTATTTTTAGTAGAGACAGGGTTTCACTATGTTGGCCAGGCTGGTCTTGAACTCCAAACCTCAGGTGATCCACCTGCCTTGTCCTCCCAAAGTGCTGGGATCACAGTTGTGAGCCACCGTGCCTGGCTGATAATGTTCTCTTGTATGGATTTACTGCATTTTGCTTATCTATTGCTCTGTCAATAGATTTTGGGTTGTTTCTACTTTTTGGCTACTGTGAGTTATGCTGCTGTGAATTGGTGTGTTTTACGTTTTTGTGTGGACATAGGTTTTTAGTTGTTTTGGGCAAATACCTAGGAATGGAATTGCCAGGCTGTGTGATAACTCTGTTTACCCTTGAGAAAGCTACTAGACCACTTTCCAAAGTAGCTGTACCATTTTACGTTCCTGCCGGTGTTGTGCAAGCGCTCCGGCCCCTCTGAGTCTTCCTCAGTGCTTGCTCTCTGCCTTCATGGTTCTAGCCACCATGGTGAGCATGAGGTGGCGTCTCACTGTGGTTCTGATTGGCATTTCCCTGCCTCCAGTGATGTTGAGTGTTGTTTGGTGTCTTATTGGCTATTTGTAGACTTGTAGGAATGTCTTTTCAGACTCTTTACACACTTTTAATTGGGTCATTTGTGCCTAGGTGTCTCTTTGGTGACCCAGGTATTTATTCGGGTGAAGCAAATACCTGGTAAATACCTGGTCCCTCAGTTGGGGCTCACAGGCCTGGGGCAGGCATAGCTATCCCCTGCTGATGGCTGAGACCAGGCCCTGAGATGCTCAGCACCTCCAAGCACAAGTGAGCCTTGGAGGTGGACACGCCTTGGTTTGCTTCTTGGCTTTGCCCTCAACTCTGTCTAATCTTGGGCAAGTTAGCTAACCTCTGTGAGCCTCCACTTTCCCAGCTGTGATGCACCTACCTCCCAGGGCTTCTCAGAGCCACGTAAGTGACCAGCACTTTGCGGCAGCCGAATCAGCAGGCAGGAAACTCTCACTCTGTCCAGAGGCACACAGCCAGCCAGCCTGCCCGAAAGCTGGGACCAGGCCAGGCGTCGTGGCTCCCAATCTGTGCCTCCATCTGCTTCACCTCCTTCCCTCCAGATGAGCAGCCACTGCTGTGTGCGGGCCCTTCCTGACTGCCCTTCATTTTGGTCTCACTGGGTTCAAAGGTCCTCCAAGCACCCCTGAGTCTTAGGCCCAGCCTGTCCTCTCTGGCTTAGCTGGGGATCCTGCCCGTCTCTCCAGGGGATGCTTGGCCTCAATGGAGCCTCCTGAAGGCCAAGCCCCACCTCTCCTCTCTTCCACCCGCCTCCCTGTCCTAGCCCTTCCCGTCTGAGTCCACCTGTCTCACCTGTCTCACCTCTTTCTCTTGATCTTTCAGACAAAATGGAAGCCCAGCTGGGCTATATGGATGAGAAGGACCCGGGGCTGCAGAAGCCACAGAAACCCTTGGAAGTCCAGGTGTGGAACTTGCTGGTGTCTGGGCCTGTGGTGCGTGTGGGGTGGAGGTTGGGTCTTAGGACCTTTTCAGGCCCTGCACAGCCAGGTGGAACCCAGGACTTCTGGGTCCCTTTTCAGGCCTCTGGGTCTTCGGGAGCAGGCTGGGAGCAAGCGATGGAAGCCAGGAGAGTGGGTTCCCAGCCCAGCACACGTTCCCTGCCCTCTGTTCCTGGTGAGGTCCCAGGCCCTACAGCTTACCTGGTTTCCCCTCTGCAGGCCCTGCCAGCTGCCTTGGACAGAGTGGAGGGCGAGGACAAGCACGAGAGCCCAGCCAGCAAGGAAAGAGCCCGAGAGGAGCGGCCAGAGGAGAAGGAGAAGGCCCCGCCCTCCCCAGAACAGCTGCCTAGAGGTTGGGGCTTCCCGCAGGCCGTCCACTCCAGTGCCATGTCTGGCCTCAGCAGGCCTGGGTCAGGGAAGGGCAGGTGGCTGTACTTCAGCTCATTTCTCCCTGGCAGAGGGGTAGACTCCATTGCTCTGCAGGCCCCCTGGTGAGGGGAGGGCAGGCGCTCAGTTCTCTATACATGGGCTTATGGACTGTAACTTTTACTTTTTTGGAGAAAGGGTCTTACTCTATCACCCAGGCTGGAATGCAATGGCACGATCATGGCTCACTGAAACCTCTGCCTACCGGGTTCAAGGGATTCTTGTGCCTCAGTCTCCGGAGTAGCTGGGAGTACCATGTACCACCACACCCAGCTAATTTTTTTTCTTTAATTTTTAGTAGAGACGGAATTTAACCCTGTTGGTCAGGCTGATCTCGAACTCCTGACCTCAAGTGATCCATTTACCTTGGCCTCCCACACCTTGGGATTATAGGTGTGAGCCACCTCGCCCGATGGTCTTTAACTTTTCTTTATCATACAGAGATTGGGGGTTATTGGGCTACTTTTTTCTTAGTGATTTCTGACTCAATTGCATTTCGGTCTGAAAACATGAGTCTGTCTGTATGAGGTTGTTGAAACCTGCTTTCTGGCTTGATATAGTCAGATTTTGCAAATGCTGTATGTGTGCTTGAAGAGAATGTCTGTTCCCTAATGGCTGGGTTTAAGGTTCTAAATATATGTTTTAGGGCCAGGCATGGTGGCTCATGCCTGTAATCCCAGCACTTTGGGAGGCTGAGATGGGTGGATCATCTGAGGTCAGGAGTTCGAGACCAGCCTGGCCAACATGGCGAAACCCATCTCTACTAAAGACAGAAAATTTAGTTGGGTGTGGTGGTGGGCGGCTGTAGTCCCAGTTCTTCAGGAGGCTGAGTTAGGAGAATTGCTTGAACCCAGGAGGCGGCAGTTGCAGTGAGCCAAGAACATGCCATCGCACTCCAGCCTGGGTGACAGAGTGAGACTCCGTTGCAAAAAAAAAAAAGAAATATATTTGCCTTAGATCAGTAGATAATGGATGCTAATTATGTTGTTCAAGTTTCTAATACCTTTACTAGTATTTGGTTCGCTTTGATTAGTCAGTTTCTGAGAGACTTGTGTTAAAATCTCTCATTTGGTTACAAATTAATCTCTTTCTTCTTATAATGCCAGATTTTGCTTATTTGAGACTGGGTTGTCAGGTGCACATTTGTTCTGGTTCTTCATAGTTTTCTTGTGAGATGTGCTTCTAGTTATTGTGTAATAATCCTCTTATCCCTGTCTACACTTTTTGCTTAAAAGTGTATTTATGCTGATCTGGGCGGCTCTTTTTTTTTTTTAGTATGTATTTGTTACGCTTTTCTCTATTCCTGTTTTTTTAAAAAATATAACAGTTTTATGATGACATAATTAACCTATACAGTTGAGCCATTTTATTTATTTATTTATTTAGAGACAGAGTCTCGCTCTGTTGCCCAGGCTGGAGTACAGTGGTGCGATCTCAGCTCACTGCAACCTCTGCCTCCTGGGTTCAAGCGACTGTCCTGCCTTGGCCTCCTGAGTAGCTGAGACTACAGGCGCGTGCCACCACACCTGGCTAACTTTTTGTATTTTAAGTAGAGATGGGGTTTCACCATGTTAGCCAGGATGGTCTCAATGTCCTGACCTCATGATCTGTCCACCTCGTCCTCCCAAAGTGCTGAGATTATAGGCACGAGCCACCTTGCCCAGCAAAGCCATTTAAAGTATACCATTCAGGCTGAGAGCTGTGGCTCATGCCTGTAATCCCAGCACTTTGGGAGGCTGAGGCGGTGGATCACCTGAGGTCAGGAGTTTGAGATCAGCCTGGCCAACATGATAAAACCCCATCTCTACTAAAAATACAAAAATTAGCCATGGTGGCAGGTGTCTGTAATCCCAGCTACACAGGAGACTGAGGCAGGAGAATCATTTGAACCCAGGAGGTAGAGGTTGCAGTGAGCCAAGATGGTGCCACTGCACCCCAGCGTGGGCGATGAGATAGAAACTGTGTCTCAGTAAATAAATAAATAAATAATGTATACCATTTGTGGCTGGGTGCAGTGGCTCAGGCCTGTAATCCCAGCACTTTGGGAGGCCAAGTTGGGCAGATCATGAGGTCAGGAGTTTGAGACCAGCCTGGCCAGCATGGTGAAACCCTGTCTCTACTAAAAGTTTAAAAAATTAGCCAGGCACTGTGGCATGTACCTGTAGTCCCAGCTACTTGGGAGGCTGAGGCAGGAGAATTGCTTGAACCTGGCAGGTGGAGGTTGCAGTGAACCGAGATCATGCCATTGCACTCCAGCCTGGGCGACAGAGCAAGACTCTGTTTCAAAAAAAAAAAAAGAAAAAGAAGAAAAGATACCATTTGTTATTTTTAGCACATACAGAGTTGTGCAACCATCACTATTATCTGATTCCAGAACATTTTCCTCACTCCAAAAAGAAATTCTTCTTACCCATTGGCAATCACTCCCCATTTCTTCCTCGTCCTCCCAGCCCCTGGCAATCACAAACGTACTTCTGTCTCTATGGATTGGCCTATTCTGAACATTTCATACCAATGTAATAATACAATACATTGGCATTTGTGTCTGGCTTCTTTCACTTAGCATGGTGTTTTTATTTTATTTTATTTATTTTGAGACAGAGTTTGTTCTTGTTGCCCAGGCTGGAGTGCAATGGCACAATCTCGGCTCACTGCAACCTTTGCCTTCCAGGTTCAAGTTTTCTCCTGCCTCAGCCTCCTGAGTAGCTGGGATTATAGGCATGCACCATCACACCAGGCAGCTTTTGTATTTTTAGTAGGGATGGAATTTCTTCATGTTGGTCAGGCTGGTCTTGAACTCCCCACCACTGGGGATCCACTGCCTTGGCCTCCTAAAGTGCTGGGATTACAGGTGTGAGTCATCATGCCTTGCCCTTTTTTTTGGTGACATAGTGTTTTTAGCTCATCTATGTTGTGGGATATATTAGTACTTCATTCCTTTCCTCCTCGTCCTCCTCCCTCCTCCTCCTCCCTCCTCCTCCTCCTCCTCCTCCTCTTCTTCCTTCTTCCTTCTTTCTTCTTTCTTCTTTTTCTTCTTCCTCTTCCTCTTCTCCTTCCTTTTTAGACAAGCTCTCGCTCTGTCATTCAGGCTGGAGTGCAGTGGCGTGATCTTAGCTTACTACAGCCTTAACCTACTGGGTGCAAGCAATCTTTCCACCTCAGCCTCCCAAGTAGCTGGGACTACAGGTGCATATGCTGACACACCTGGCTAATTTTTGTATTTTTTTTAGAGACGGGGTTTTGCCATGTTGCCCAGGCTCGTCTTGAATTCCTGGGCTCAAGCAACCCTCTCACCTTGACCTCCGAAAGTGCTGGGATTACAGGCAGTACTTCCTTTCTTTTTATGCCCAAATAATATTCTGTTGTATAGATCTACTATGTTTTATTTATCCATTCATAGTGATACATTTGAGTTGTGTTTCTACTTTTTGGCTACTGTACACATTTGTGTACACATTTTTTTTGTGGGTATAGGTTTTCAGTTCTTGTGGGTATATATCTAGGATTAGAATTGCTGGATCATATGGTAATTCTCTGTAACATTTTCAGAAACTGCTCGATTGTTTTCCATGCCTATTGCATCAGTTCACATTCCTACCAGCATGTGTGAGGGTTTCATTTTCTTCACATCCTTGCCAATACTTGTTATTATCTGTCTTTCTGATTGTAGTCATCCTAGTGGGTGAGAAGTGGTATCTCATTGTCATTTTGATTTGTATTTCCTTTGTGCATTAAGATGTTGCATGTTTTTTCATGTGATTATGGCTCATTTGTATATAATATGTTGAAGAAATGTCTTTTCAGATCCTTTGTTTTACAATTGGCTTATCTTTTTATTATTGAATTATAAGAGTTCTTTTTAGTTAATTTAACACTTTTAGAGACAGGATCTTACTCTACTGGCCAGCCTGGCTTTGAAGTCCTGGGCCCAATAATTCTCTGGCGTTAGCCTCTTGAGTAGCTAGGATCACATGGGTGTACCACTGTGCCTGACTTATATGAGGTCTTTCTATAGATTCATGTTCCTCATCAGATATATGATTTACAAATATTTTCTTTTATTTCTTCACTTTTAATCTCTTTGTAATGTTTTAGGTCTGTCTTTTGTAGACAGTGTATAGGGGATTCATCATTTAAAATCTAATTATAGGGTCCTGGTCTTTTAGCTGGCAAGTTTATTCCCTTTACATTTATTGTAATAGCTAGATATGTGGTGGATTTCTACTGTCTTATTTTATCCTTTATATTACCCTTCTCTTTCCTCCTTTTTCCTCCTTTCCTGACATCTCATGGATTGATCAAATTTTCTTTATATCTATATATTTTTTATATCTCCTCTTTTCTCCCTCAACTCATTTGGAAGGCTTATAGTCAATTCTATTCTGTACTCTTAAATTTTTCTGAATAATATGAGGACTTTAGATAGCTTTAGTACTAACTCACTTCCCTTTCATCTGCCATGTTGCTATTGCCCAGTATTTTAGTTTCAGTTTGTTTTTACTTTCCCAAATTTGTTGTTATGCTTATTTCTAAATCTTTAATCCTTTTTCAGATCTCCTCACGTTCTTACCAGTTTGTGTTTGCTTATTTGTTCATCATTGCTTCGTTCAAATCCTTCCTAAAGCACACCTTTAATGGGGCTTTCGGCACATTTTCGGGAATGGTAAATTCTCTCACTGCTTGTTAGTTCTTTTACTCTTGAATAGTTATTACAATTCTATATGGGATAGGGATCTTCCCTCAGCACTTTGAAGATATTCTTCCTTTTTTATTTGGCATTCATTATGCCAAGAAGGCTGCTGTTGGTGTAATTGCTGCTCCTGTGTAGGAAATTTCTCATTTCTGTCTTTTCTCACATTGAAAGACTGCTTTTAAGACATTCTCTTTGTCTTTGGTGATATGTGGCTTCACCACAATGGAGGGTATTTTTGTTTTGTTTTTAGAGTGACATTTTTATTTATCTGTGTGTGACTCACTGTGATTCTTAAAGCTGAATATTTATGTTCTGCATCAATTGTGGAAAAATTCTCATTCTCTCCTTGAATATTTTCTTTGCCCCCATTATGTTTATTTTCTCCTTCTGGAATTTCTCCTTCTGGAATTCCTATTACTCATTGATTGGTTCGTTCATCCAGCAAACATATATATATATATCTGTAAAGCCTGCTGAGTATCAGATGCTGTCCCAGGCATTGGGGACACAAGCAGTGAACCAAAACAGCTGAAAGCTTCATTCGTGGAGTTTGTATTCCAGTATGGAATACAGGCAATCAACAATAAACAAAAATACGTGTTGTTCAACCACAGACTCCAAATGCTCTGAGGAAGAAAGCAGAGTACAAGGTTAGCAAAACATGGGGGCTGGCACGGTTTTTATATCTTGTGCTTTTTTTTTTGTTTATTTGTCTGCCAGGCTTTTTGAGTAATCCTTGGATCAAGCTTCCATGTATCTTTTCTTTGCACAGCTGTTTTTCAAACCATTCCCATTTGTATTATTTTGCATGGCTGTGTCACAAATTGCTGCATCCATAGTAGCTTAAAACAGCACTCACCGTGAGCTCACAGTTTGGGGCCGACGCCTGGCGTGGTATTTTTGGGTGTTCTGCTCAGGATATCACAAGGTTGAGGGCACCAAGGTATTGACTAGGTTGAGTTCTCATCTGGAGGCCCTGAGGAAAAGTCCACGTCGATGCTCACTCTTCGTTGTTGGCAGAATTCAGTTCCGTGAGGCTGGAGGACTCAGGTCCCATTTCCTTGCCGGCTGTCAGCTGGGTGCATTGTCAGCCACAGTCCTGCCATGTAGCATAGTCTGTCTTCAAGCCAGCAATGGTGAACAGAAACCCTTCCATGCTTCGAATATCTGACTTCCTTTTCTGTGACTGGCCAGAGAAAAGGGCTCATGTGGTCAGGTTAGGCCTACTCAGGTCCTTGCTCTATTTTAAGCTCACCCGTGCCACAAAACGGAAGCTGTTCTGGGGAGTCTAGTCCATCGTCTTCACCATCCAGGGGTTTTTGCAGGGCATGGACACCAAGGACCAGAAGTCTTGGAGCACATCTTAGAATTCTGCAATGAAAATGTTAATGATTGTGCATTTCATTTCTTTTTTTTTTTTTTTTTTGAGACTGGGTCTTGCTCTGTCACCCAGGCTGGAATGCAATGGCGTGATCTTGGCTCACTGCAGCCTCTGCCTCTGGGTTCAACCGATTCTCCTGCCTCAGCCTCCCTAGTAGCCAGCATTATAGGCACCCACCACTACACCGGGCTAATTTTTGTATTTTTAGTAGAGATGGGGTTCACCATGTTGGTCAGGCTGGTCTCAAACTCCTGACCTCAAGTGATCTGCCCACATTTCTAGAAATTTTATCTGTTTATTTTTTTCTAGGTTTGAGGGAGTCTTATTCTTTCCCTGTGGATTCTCTTCCTTCTTTTTCTTTTTTCTCTGTCTTTGGTCACTCTAGATATATTTATTTCAGAGCAAGCTTTTTCAACCTGTGGCCCATGGGCCAAATATGGCCCAGGATGGCTTTGAATGTGGCCCAACACAAATTATAAACTTTCTTAAGACATTTTGAGATTTTTTTTGGTGATTATATGTATATAACCAATATGTATATATGCATATCATATATATTTCTCTCTCTCTGTATATAATATATATGTATTTTAGCTCATCAGCTGTCATTAGTATTTAGTGTATTTTATATATGGCCCAAGACAGTTCTTCTTCCAGTGTGGCCCAAGGAAGCCAAAAGATTGGACACCCCTGTTTGAGCGTCTCTGATGCTGTCCTGTTACCCCAGGGTGCTGGTCTACTTCCTGTGTGTCTGCTGGTGGGGGTGTCATTGTTTTCTGGGTTTGGATTGGTGCATCCTTGGGTGACTTTTATCTGCAGGAGCCCGGTGTCCTCTGGGGAGTGGGAGTGTCGCCCCTTTCGTTTCTGGAGGCTCAGGCCAGGAGGCTTCACAGGCAGTCCGTTCTGGGAGCCGTTTTATGATGCTGTTTCTGCCTAGGGTGGCCCAGTTCAGATACCACCCACATGAGGACGAGGCTTTGGGTGTGGGTTCCTGACAGGAGACCTTCTTTTCCCTGATCCCATGGTGGAGACGGGCCTTCTCGCTCCCATGGTCGGTGGCTAGAACGTTCTTTCACAGAGACCATGGTGTTGGAGGCCACTGGCATCATGCCACTTCTCTGCATCTTTTGGGCTTGAGGCCTCACCTGTCCTGCCTGGGTGTCGAGACACAGCCAGTTCTAAGCTTTCCAGGCCTCTTCCTGGTGTCGGATCACCCCTGCCTGGGTGCCAGCTCCTGCCTCCCTAGCTTCAGTTTCCCCTTCCCTCCTGTCACCTGGTGATTTCCTTCTCTTCTTGGGAACTCATCTTCTGTGTGCTTTTTTTTTTTTTTTTTTTTTCCTGGAAACAGGCTTTTGCTCTGTCACTCAGGCTGGAGTGCAGTGGTGGGATCTCAGCTCATGGGAGCCTTGACCTTCTAGGCTCAGCAGTCCTCCTGCCTCAGCCTCCTGAAGAGCTGGGACCACAGGTGCGTGCCACCAAGCCCAGCTAATTTGTTGTCTTTTTTGTAGAGATGAGATCTCACTATGTTGCCCAGGCTGGTCTTGAACTCCTGGTCTCAAGTGATCCTCCCGCCTTGGGGGAGGATCCTCCCAAAGTGCTGGGGTTACAGGCTTGAGGCACTGCACCCAGTTGAGGGGAGTTCTTTTTGGTGTCAGCTGTTGCACTCTGCAGAACATGTGAATGGTGGAAAACCAGAGTCCTCTCTGCTTTCTGGGACCCCACCCCACACCGTGAACCTTCTTGTCTTGCAGAGGAGGTGCTTCCTGAGAAGGAGAAGATCCTGGACAAGCTGGAGCTGAGCTTGATCCACAGCAGAGGGGATGGTGCTGACTTCAGGCCAGGTCTGGGGCTCTTCTGTGTTCTCTGCCCATGCCCTGTGGTCCCTTGAGGGTGCCCTCTGGACCCTGTTCAGCCTCCCACAGTCTCCCAGGCACCGTCCCCTTGGCCCCAGACCTGATTGAAGCTAGCATCTGGGAGCCTGGACTCGCCAGCCCCTCAGAGCCAATGCCAGGGGACAGGCTCCCCTCCTCTCCCCTGAGTCCTGCTGTGCCCAGCCGCTGAGAGAGAGAGGAGGGCTGGTCATAGAGCCTGGCCTGGGGGATTTGGGGCTCAGCCAGCAGCTTTGCATACCCTAGGCACTGGAATGTTCTGGAATAGTTGTCCTCAGATCAGCCCCCTCAGGCAGCTCTGTGTCTTTGAACTTGAACTGCACTTTCATACTGCTGTCCTGCCCTGCTCCTGGGTGGTCCTGATGTGCTGGGGGAGGAGCACTGGACCTGGAGCTAACCTCCCTGCTCAGGACGGCTTGTTAAAAACTCTTCTGCATGGCGAGCCCCCTGAGGACAAGGAGATATGCTTTCTACTTGCCTCCTGGGTCCCAGTTTTTGGCAGAGAGAGGCCCTGGGTACTGCTTTTGGGATGGATGAATGAATGTGATATGTCCCCAGCAGATGACACCAAGGCTGAGGATAAGGAGCCCATTGAAACACAGCAAAATGGTGACAAAGAGGAAGAGGACGAGGGGAAGAAGGAGGACAAGAAGGGGAAATTCAAGTTCATGTTCAACATTGCGGATGGGGGCTTCACAGGTACTGGGCCTGGGGGGTGGGCAGAGAGCTGAGGCTTCCTGACTGTGGGTCCCAGGAGTCTTGACCAGTGGTGACTTTATACTAGAGTGTGACTGGTTGCTAAAAGTCCATTGTCTAACCTTTCTTAGCAACACTGGATCACCGGACCTCTGGGGGTGGAGGCAGGGGCAGGAAGGGAGGGAGCGGCTGTCCAGTCCTGCCTGTGTGTCACAGCCGGGGCAGTTCTCATCCTGCTCACCTTGGCTCGTTTCCCAGAGTTGCACACGCTGTGGCAGAATGAGGAGCGGGCTGCAGTGTCCTCGGGGAAAATCTACGACATCTGGCACCGGCGCCACGACTACTGGCTGCTGGCAGGCATTGTGACGTATCCTTGGCCAGGCCAGGCTGGGCAGGCACTCACCTGTTCTTCTGTGGACCTTGGGCAGAGTGCTCTCAGGGCTCCAGGGAAGCCTTCCTTGCTCTTCCTCACTCTTCCATGCTCTTCCTTGCTCTTCCTCAAGTCTGGCGGTGGCTAGAAATCCTTGGCATTGCTGTGTCGCCCGCTCCCTGCCACTGTCATTATGGTTTCTTCCCTGTGTGTCTCTGGGTCCAGATTTCCCTCTTTTTTTTTTTTTTTTTTTTTTAGATGGAGTTTCACCCTGTTGCCCAGGCTGGAGTGCAGTGCCTCAATCTCAAGTCACTGCAACCTCCACCTCCCGGGTTCAAGTGATTCTCCTGCCTCAACCTCCCAAGTAGCTTGGATTACAGGCATCTGCAACCACATCTGGCTAATTTTTGTATTTTTAGTCGAGACAGTGTTTCATCCTGTTGGCCAGGCTATTCTCGAACTCCTGTCCTCAAGTGATCCACCCATGTCAGCCTCCCAGAGCGCTGGGATTACAGGCGTGAGCCACTGTGTGCAACCCTTTCCTTCCCTCCTTCCTTCCTTCCTCCCTTCCTTCCTTCCTTCCTTCCTTCCTTCCTTCCTTCCTTCCTTCCTTCCTTCCTTCCTTCTTTCTTTCCCTTTTCCCTTTCCCTTTCCCTTTTTCCCTTTCCCTTTCCCTTTCCCTTTCCCTTTCCCCTTCCCTTCCCTTCCCTTTCCTTTCCTTTCTTCTTTCTTTCTTTTTGACATGGAGTCTCACTCTGTGGCCCAGGCTGGAATGCAGTGGTGTGATCTCAGCTCACTGCAGCCTCCACCTCCTGGGTTCAAGTGATTCTTCTACCTCAGCCCCTCGAGTAGCTGGGATTGAGGCGTGTACCACCGCGCCCGACTAGTTTTCGTAATTTTAGTAGAGACGGGATTTTGCCATATTGGCCAGGCTGGTCTCGAGCTCCTGGCCTCAAGTGATCCACCTGCCTTGGCCTCCCAAAGTGCTGGAATTACAGGCATGAGCCACCACGCCTGGCCCCAAATTTTACTCTTCTTATGATGATACCAGTCATTGGGTTTGGGGTCCACCCTCATCAGGTATGACCCTTTCTTAACTTGATTACATCTGCAAATACCCTCTTTCCAAAAAAGGTACCCATTCTCAGGTGCTGGGGCAGGACTTAAACATATCACCCAGGTTTTTGGGTGAAGAGTTAACCCTCTGAAGCCCCGGGCTGTGTCTGGTGCACCCAGGGCACCCGTCAGTGTCTGCTGATGCTGTCGCTATCCTGTTGTCGATATGCTCATCTTGCAGCTGGGCTTGAGGACTCACCTGAGAGTGTACAGCCAGGATGCCGACCCCCGGCTGGCCCCTCCCCCTGCCTGAGCTACCTCCTCCTACAGCCCCACCTCTTCTCATGGCCAGGTTTGCCCTTAACAGTGCCCCACCCAGGCACGGCTACGCCCGCTGGCAGGACATCCAGAATGACCCAAGGTACATGATCCTCAACGAACCCTTCAAGTCTGAGATTCACAAGGGCAACTACCTGGAGATGAAGAACAAGTTCCTGGCCCGCAGGTTCAAGGTCAGTTTTCTGCAGGGCCAGGGGCTACAGCGGGCAAGGAGGGACAGGTGTCAGGAGGGTCCTGGGCAAAGGAATTTGAGAGCAGCCACCCCCACCATATACCTGGGTCACACTGCCAGGAAGCAGTCAGTAAGTCCATCAACTAACAGTGGTGGCTTCTTGCTCTGGCCCCAGCTGGGGAGTATCTGCTGCCCTGGGTTGATGGGTACAGAGAACCCAGCTTGGCGACAGCTCTAAGAGTTGGCCGCGGCCAGGCCAGGGTGGGCAACAGATGGGAGTATGTCCTGTTTCTCTCCTTTCTGCTGGGAGCCTTAGCCTGGGGTGGGTGCTGATGGAGGATGGAGGGTAGCCATTCAGGGGGAGGGGCTGGGCCAACTCTGTCCCCCTCCCCCAGCTGCTGGAGCAGGCACTGGTCATTGAGGAACAGCTCCGGAGGGCTGCCTACCTGAACATGACCCAGGACCCCAACCACCCCGCCATGGCCCTCAATGCCCGCCTGGCTGAAGTGGAGTGCCTTGCCGAGAGCCACCAGCACCTGTCCAAGGAGTCCCTTGCTGGGAACAAGCCTGCCAATGCCGTCCTGCACAAGGGTGAGTGAGCCCTGCTCCCCGCAGTGTGGCCCATGCAGCTTCCTCCTGCCTGGCGAGTGCTCTTGGCTGTAGGTAAGGGCACTCTGGGGTAGGGGCTGGGGACAGATGTCAGCCCAGAGTGCAGTGGAGTTCTGGGCCAGCATGGGACAGTCCTGTCATCAGACTCCTCATCTCCACTGCAAGGAAGCAGGCTGCTTGCATCTCCAGCCTGTTTCTCAAGCCTGCTCTGTGTAGGCCATGGCCCAGACTATCAATACAGAAAACCATGAAACTGTAAAGGCTTCTGAGTCTTGACAGTGTGCCTTAAATGCATTGTGTCTTTTTTTGTTGTTGTTTTTTGAGATGGAGTTTCACTCTGTCGCCCAGGCTAGAGTGCAGTGGTGCGATCTTGGCTCACTGCAACCTCTGCCTCCTGGGTTCAAGCAATTCTCCTGTCTCAGCCTCCCAAGTAGCTGGGACTACAGGCAACACCCTCATGCCCGGCTAATTTTTTGTATTTTAGTAGAGATGGGATTTCACTGTGTTGGCCAGGCTGGTGGCGAACTCCTGACCTCAGGCAGTGCATCCGTCTCAGCCTCCAAAAGCTCTGGGACCGTGAGCCACTGTGCCCGGTCGAATTGCGACTTTAGCCCTGGCAACATCCATTCGCCTTGAGCCTTCTCACCAGCCCTGTGCGGGAAGGGAGGACTGACTGAGATCTCCGCTGATTCAGACCTCTGGTGCTTGCTGCACATCTCTGTTGGGTCACGGGGCACACTTCTGCTCTTGGGGCTCCCGGCTGGCCGTGGAGGGTGGCCCTGTGGCGAGTTGCTGGACCCATCCCTGTGCCCTGCAGTCCTCTCTGGTGTGCTCCGACCCTGTGCCTAGCTGGGCCTGGGACTGCAGGCCTCCCCGAGGACCCTTGGGAGGGAAGCCCTGTGTCGGCCAGTGTTTCTGGCTTGCTTGTCTACAGCCTGGAGGCCCCTGTCCAGCCCTGAGGGACCCCTGGGAGGAGTTCTTTGGAAGCTCCTGCTGTGTCCCCACTTGGCAGTGTGGCCTGGTAGCCGGGGAGGGCCCGGTGCACAGCACCCCCTGGTGCCCACTTCTGGCCAAGTGCAGTCATACACCCTCACAGATAAGCCCCAGCTCTCCTGCTGTATCCCTGGCACAGCCTTCCATCCCTCCACCCCTCCATCCCTCCATCATCCCTCCACCCCTCCATCCTTCCATCATCCCTCCACCCCTCCACCCCTCCACCCCTCCATCCCTCCATCATCCCTCCATCCCTCCATTATCCCTATCCCTTCATCCCACCATTTTCCCTTCATTATCCCTATATTATCCCTCCATCCCTCCACCCTCCATCCCTTCATCCCTCCATCCCTCCTTCATCCCTCCATCCCTCCACTCCTCCATACCTTCATCATCCCTCCATCCCTCCACCCCACCATCCCTTCATCATACCTCCATCCCTTTATCCCTTTATCTCTCCATTCCTGCACCCTGTCATTCCTCCACCCCTTCATCCCTCCATCTCTTCATCCCTCCATCCCTCCATCATCTCTCTATCCCTCCATCATCCCTCTATCCCTTCATCCATCCATCATCCCCATCTCTCCACCCCTCCATCATCCCTTCATCCCTCCATTCCTCCTGCCTTCATCTCCCTCCATCATACCTCCATCATCCCTCATCATCCCCCATCCCTCCATCATCCCTCCATCCCTCATCATCCCTCATCCCTCATCATCCCTCCATCCCTCCATCATCCCTCCATCCCTCCATCATCACGCCACCATCCCTCCATTCCTCTATCCCTCTATTATCACTCCATCATCCCTCCATCCCACCATCATCCCTCCATCATCCCTCCATCCCTCCATCACACCATCATCCCTCCATTCCTCCATTCCTCCATCACTCCATCATCCTTCCATCATCCCTCCATCCCTCCATCATCCCTCCATCCCTCCATCATCACTCCATCATCCCTCATCATCCCCCATCCCTCCATCATCCCTCATCATCCCTCCATCCCTCTATCATCCCTCCATTCTTCCATCCTTCCATCATCCCTCCATCCCTCCATCATCCCTCCATCCCTCTATCATCCCTCCATCATCCCTCCATCATCACTCCATTATCCCTCCATCCCTCCATCATACCTCCATCCCTCATGCCTCCATCATCCACCCATCCCTCCATTATCCCTCCATCCCTCCATCATCCCTCCACCATCCCTCCATCATCACTTCACCATCCCGCCATCATCCCTCCATCCCTCCATCATCACTCCATCCCTCCATCATCCCTCCATCCCTCCATCATCCCATCATCCTCCATCATCCCTCCATCCCTCCATTATCCCTCATCCCTCCACCATCCCTCCATCCCTCCATCATCCCTCCATCCCTCTATCATCCCTCCATCATCCCTCCATCATCATTCCATTATCTCTCCATCCCTCCATCATCCCTCCATCCCTCCATGCCTCCATCATCCACCCATCCTCCATTATTTCTCCATCCCTCCATCCCTCCATCATCCCTCCACCATCCCTCCATCATCACTCCACCATCCCTCCATCATCCCTCCATCCCTCCATCATCCCTCCATCCCTCCATCATCCCTCCATCCCTCCATCCCTCCATCATCCCTCCATCATCCCTCCATCATCCCATCATCCCTCCATCCCTCCATCATCACTCCATCATCCCTCCATCATTCCTCCATCTCTCCATACATACCTCCATCTCTGCATCATCCCTCCATCCCTTCATTCCTCCATTATACCTCCATCTCTCCATCATTCATCCCTCCATTATCCCTCCTTCTTCCCTTCATCTCTCCATGTCATCATCCCTCCATCCTTTTGCCCCTCCATTATCCTTCCATCCCACCATCTCTCTGTCATCCATCCCTTCATCATCCCTCCATTCCTCCATCATCACTCTATTGTGCCATCCCTCCATCATCCCTATCATCCCTTCATCCCTCCATCTTCCCTCCATTATCCGTATATTATCCCTCCATCCCTCCACCCTCCACCCTCCATCACTCCATCCCTCCATCCCTCCAGCCCTCCACCCTTCCATCCCTCCACCTCTCCATCCTTCCATCCCTCCACCCCTCCACCCCTCTATTCCTCCATCCCTCCACCCCTCCACCTCTCCACCCTTCCACCCCTCCATCCTTCATCCCTCCATCCCTCCATCCCTCCACCCCTCCACCCTTCCATCCTTCCATCCCTCCACCCTTCCACCCCTCCATCCCTCCACCCCTCCATCCCCCATCCCTCCACCCCTCCACCCCTCCATCCCTCCATTTCTCCACCCCTCCATCCCTTCACCTCTCCACCCTTCCATCCCTCCACCCTTCCACCCCTCCATCCCTCCACCCCTCCATCCCTCCATCCCTCCATCCCTCCACCCCTCCCTCCACCTCTCCACCCCCTACCATCCCACCACCCCTCCATCCTACCATCCCACCACCCCTCCACCCCTCCATCCCTCCACCCCTCCACCCCTCCATCCCTCCATTCCTCCACCCCTCCATCCCTCCACCCCTCCATCCTTCCATCCCTCCACCTCTCCACCCTTCCATCCTTCCATCCCTCCACCCTTCCATCCCTTCACCCTTCCACCCCTCCATCCCTCCACCCCTCCATCCCTCCATCCCTCCATTCCTCCATCCCTCCATTCCTCCACCCCTCCATCCCTTCACCCGTCCACCCTTCCATCCCTCCATCCCTCCACCCCTCCATCCCTCCATCCCTCCATCCCTCCACCCCTCCACCCCTCCCTCCACCTCTCCACCCCCCACCCCTCCATCCTTCCATCCCACCACCCCTCCATCCCTCCACCTCCACCCTCCACCCTTCCACCCCTCCACCCCTCCACCCCTCCATCCCTCCATCCCTCCATCCTTCCATCCTTCCACCCCTCCATCCCTCTACCCCTCCACCCCTCTACCCCTCCATCTGGCCATCCCTCCATCCCTCCACTCCTCCATCCTGCCATCCCTCTGCCTCCTGCCACAGTCCTGAACCAGCTGGAGGAGCTGCTGAGCGACATGAAGGCCGATGTGACCCGGCTGCCATCCATGCTGTCCCGCATCCCCCCTGTGGCAGCCCGCCTGCAGATGTCAGAGCGCAGCATCCTGAGCCGCCTGACCAACCGTGCCGGGGACCCCACCATCCAGCAGGTCAGGTTCGGCCTGTGCGCCCCAGCCCGAACCCCCTGGCGTGCCCCTGGGTGGAGGCTGGGTGGGGGGCCTGAGGCCACCTGTGAAGCTGAGTCCTTGCCTCCAGGGCGCTTTCGGCTCCTCCCAGATGTACAGCAACAACTTTGGGCCCAACTTCCGGGGCCCTGGACCGGGAGGGATTGTCAACTACAACCAGATGCCCCTGGGGCCCTATGTGACCGGTAGGTGCCCGTCCACTCTGGGCAGCATGCACACGGGTGCCCGCCGGGCCGGGCCTGCCTGCTGCCGCCGATGCCAGGCAAGCCCGGCTCCCCTCTCTTTCTGACAGATATCTAGCCGTCCTCGAGACTTCCCTGTGCCGCAGCGCTCATTTCCAGCTGAGGTGAGGGCTGCTGGGCCCGCTGTTCCTCCCACCACCCCACTACTGGCCAGTCAGGCCTTGCCACAGTCAGCCCCGCCCTGTGCTTGACTCCTCTCCCTAAGTCCTGGAGACTTTACTGCCTCTGATGGCCCTGGGAGCCACCCTCCTGCCTGGAGCCCCTCTACCCTGCCCCCTTGGCCCTGGGACCACCTTGTGGCCAGTGTGTCTGTCCACTGGGGGGCTGGAGTGGCAGGACATGAAGGAGTCGGTGGACTTGGGTGAGCTCCTCTGTGCACGTGTGCTCCCGTTTCACATGTGTTCCCGGCGGAAGTCAGAGACTGCTGCCCCTGCCTGGAGCCCTGTCCTGCCACTGCTGTCCTGCTGGTGGCAGACATCACATCTAACACCTCACTCCCTGCCTGCGACCAGGAGGGTGGCTGAGGGTTTTGCGGAGGTTATTGGCCAGGAGAGGGGGCTTATTTCAGAGAAACTGCCAGTTCACTCTGGCCTTCTTCTCTGGGGCCTCCAGCCTCCACCACGCTGTGTCTGTCCCTGTGGGAACTGTGGCTTGCCCAGCAGAGGCTCCAGAGGGGCTTCCTGGCTGGCTGTCCCTGCCAGCTGCTGCTTCCTGGGCGCTCTTGACACTCTGGGTGTAGCTCATGGCCTGACCCGGTAGCCTCTGGCTGGGGAGCCCCTGGTCCTAGCTGGTTGTGATGGGCAGTGAGGGGAGCAGCTGCAGGCTGTGAGTGCCACCCTGGTGCCGCTGTACCTGGAGGTCTGGCCGCCCACCTGCGTGACACACTTACTTGCCTTTTGCAGCCATGCCTGCCGGGTCACCTGCCCGATCCCCATGGGAGAGAAAAGCTGCCGCCTTTTTAGGAGCCAGCACCACCTTGGGACAAAAAGGGAAACCGAGTCATGCCATCACATGGAGGACGAGGCCCAGCCCGGCGGGGCCAGAGCCCAGAAGTGCCACGTCATCATAATTCAAGTGTTCTTCCACACAGCGTTGCCCCCACCACCACGCCGGACGTGCCCCTGCCACCTATTCCGACGACTCTTAGAAGAGATCTCGTTATTTGTACATCTTTTGCACCTTCCTATTGAAGACTTGAACACGTTTGTCTTGATAAAAGTCAGATGACGTACGGGAGGTTTGAACCTGCAGTGCTGACATCTCTCTTTACTGATGGGTTCCAGACACAAGGAAGCCCTGGCGCTACCCTGTGGACTCAGCCCAGCTGGGAGGACACGCCCAGTGCCCTGGGAGCCCTCAGCGTCTCCTGCCTGTCCTGTCTACACCTGTGTGACTGCCCCTTCTGCTCAGGCCCCCTGCCTACTTGGAGCCTCCCCGCACCAGGCAGGGCAGGTTGGGGAGCAGCCATCCAGCCCAATGGTGAGACCCGGGCTGACATTTCCTCTCCTTCCTGCTGAGGCTGGAGGCCGCTAGGTGTTTGCTCTCTCCTTGTGGGGAGGAGGATCCTCTGCCAGCAGATGTGTTCCTGGCCCCGTGCGTCTTGAAGGCCCTGAATTCTGTTACCAGTGGGATGCCTGTGGCCCTGGCTGTTGTGTTCATGGCAGGCAGAAACGTGTGACTCCAGGAGGGTGGGCCGGGAGGGTCAGCGCTTGCCTCAGAGCCACTGCTGCATTTGGGGTTTGCCTCCTGCCGGAGGTGTGCTTAAGTGACAGCAGGTGCCCCAGCAAGGAGGGTCATTGTCCCTGAGCTGGCCCAAGAGACCCTGGCCCCACCCTGTGCCCTGGGATGCCTGCCCCGCCCACCTCTGGGGGTGGAGCTGGGCTGCCCCTGGGGGCCTGGACTTGTCCCATTCTCCTGTCCCTGAGAGGCCTTCCTGGGGTGCTTCCTGCCTGAGGCTGCACCCTTGGAGGGCGTGGGGAGAGCTCTGCCTGGAGGGGACTGGGCCCAGTGCCCTCTGCAGACCCCTCCCAGTTGCCACACTGAGGGCTTGCTGCCTTGTTTCCTGCCAGGAGTGCCCTGGAGTCCCAAAACCATCTTCCCACATGTGGGCTCTTGGAATCCCACCCACTCCCCAACCCCTGCCCCTCCAAGCTGGGGACGGAGACGGGGAGCAGTTCAGGCCCTCCCTAGGCCTGTCTGTGTCTGATCCTCCTCCTGGTCCCAGGTCGGTCTGGAAGGCATTTCTGAGTCTTGAACTGGGAGCTTCCTAGGGAAGGTGCCTTGGGGTGCAGAATCCTGGGAGTGTTAGGAAGGGGTGGGTGTGCCGCAGGGGCTGGGGCTCTGCTCCCCGGGGAGGGCCTGCCTGGGACTGGGTCAGGACTCACTGGCTTGTGTTACAGACAATGGAGAGATTCTCTAAGGCCCAGATGCCTCCCTGATAGTGAGGCTCTCTCTGAACCCCAGAGGGCGGGACCCCAAGACCCTTTCATCTTGGCGCATTCCCACACTCCAGGCTGGATCCAGGTCTGCAAGGCCAGCCCGACCCTGAGGTTGCAGGTGGACATAGTGGGGAGAATGCTGGAGTGGAGATGATTGTCAGCAGGCTCACATGCGGCCCGGACTCCGCCATGCGTGGACGGCACCCAACGTTGCCTCCAGGAAGGGCGGCCCTGAACCAGCCGTTTGGTTTATCCACACGTGTGTTGTGTGATCTGCAGTGCCACCCGGCAAAGGCTCCTGGCTCGGGTCACAGGCGAGGTGACCTGCCATAAGCTCACTCCTGTGACCCTGTCCCCAAACAAGCAGTGGCCAGCGCTGGGTTGGCCCTCTTTGGGAGCAGTGCCCACCTCCCTTGGCCCACAGAAGATAGGTCCCTGTCAGCAGGCCTGGAGGTGTGTGGGAGTCAGGGCAGGGGTCCGTGTCTCCACCTCAAGGGCTGATGTTCCCTTCCCTGTGAGCCGCTCCTCCCAGGCAGCCTTGCTCTGTCCCTTCCTCTCTGCTTCCCTCCCAGGCCTTGCCAGGGCTCCCTTCTCCTCTGCCTGGTTAGACTTGGGCACCTAGGAAAGCCTGGCCAGAGCTCCTTCGGGCCCGGGACCCTGCACTGCCTGGTCCAGAAGGGGTGGTGCGCTCCGTGGCTGGCAGCCTGGAGGCCCGGGAGGGGTGGGCTGCTGGAGTCAGAGCAGGTTTGGGGCCGACCAGTTTGGGAGAGAAGAAAAGATCTTCGAATGTCTTCTTGGCTTGTCAATCATCTCTGCCAAAAGTGGTGATGGTGTTATTGGTATCTTTGGCATCTTCGGGTTGGGTTTGGTTTTTGCTGCTGGCAGAATTAGGGGTCTGGGGCATGAGTGTGAGCCCACAGTACCAGTCTGTGATTGGAGATTTGCAGCCACTTTATTTAAACCAATGCTGAACAGGGCTTCTGCAGAGCCACCTTTGGGCCACGGTCTTGGAAGGCATTACCCCATGGGCTCAGGTGACTCGGGGTGGAGTGAGCCGGTCTGTGGGAGCCTCATACATGCCTGAGGCGGAAGCAGCATCCTCCTGAAAGCCACCTTTCCGAAGCTCCTGTGTTTCCTGCAAACTTGGCTTCTGCCAGGGGTGGGCCGGACTTTCCCTGCCCCAAACGATCGATCGAAGTCCTCCTGCTTTTGGGAGCTGCCTTCTCAGAGTTCCCCGGGTGCTCCTCCGCCCAAGTCAGGGGCTGACCAAGCCTTGGCCTGGTGACTCCTGCAGCCCTCCTGTCATTCCAGGACACTTGAGGGCCCAAGGAGGTGGACTGGAGAGGAGGCTCGGGGATGTGGGAGCCAGAAGCCGGTGGAGTTGGTCAACTGTGGGTCACTTGGAGCCTCCAGTGTGCACCAGGGTCCGTGGGCAGGGGATGGGGCATGGGTGAGGGCCAAGGCTGGCATGCCACCTTGGTGACCTGGCCCCGTCCCCTCCCGCAGGGCTCTCCTGGGGCAGGCTGGGCATCAGTCGTGGAGGCCGGCTCTGGCCTGTTTTCGTGTCTGGAAGTTTACAGGTTGTGGTGCATCAGCCCAGTCATTGGTGTTCTGTTTTTGTTTCCTTTTTCTTTAGTTTTCAGATTTCTTTTTTTTAACAAAGTATTTTTTTAGGTGCGATAACCCAGAAAGGGCCTGTTGGGTGTGTGTGTGTGTCCCGAATTCCTCAAGCCAAGATTGCAGCCCAAGTACCCTGGAGAGGAGGAAGGGGTCCCACTGGCACGTGGGGTCTGAGTTCAGGGGAGGGAGGGAGCAGACCCCACCGGCCCAGGCCCAGCTAAGAGGGGGCCGACCCCTTTCCCCAGGCACAGTCTACGCTGGCAGAGGGTCCTGGGCTGGGTGCAGGGCACGTCAGGAGTCCCAGCCAGGGTGGCCCTGGTGGGGGTGGGGTCGAGCTTTGGAAGCCGAGCTCCTCTGTGAGCCGTGGCTTGTCCAGTCTTCACCCGAGGGAGACCGGACAGAGACCGAACGACACAATCACCTTTACTTTGTACTCTGTGTGTATGTTTTGGTTTTCTGTGTTTTAATAAATCCTTTGGGAAAGGATTTAATCAAAGAGTTTTTTTTTTTAAGATTCAAGGTTTAGAATGGGAATGCGGGCCATGGCCAGGGAGGAGTGGTGGGGGCTGGGTGTGTCTCCAGAAGCCTTCTTCTCTTGCCTGGAATGGTCATTTCACGAGGCTCAGGGCTCACTGGGAATGAGGGGAGCCCAAAGCAGGGGTGTGCTGGGGTGAGGCCCCTCTCACCTGCACCCAAACACGCACCGTGAGGGCTTTCCCAGGCCTCGATCTCTGTCCTCATGAGAACAGCAGCCAGCCAGGTCCCCAGAGGGCACAGCAGCCTCCCAGCAAGCATCTCTGACCCTTGGCGCTGATGAAAGGATGTGTTGGGGGTGGCAGGGGAGACACCCACCCTCCGTGGGCACCTGGGCTGACTCACTTGGGAGAGATCTTCTGACCACCCTGTCTGCAACCTCTGTCCCTTGATCTCTCTCTCCACGGGCCCTTTCCAACCTACCGGCCCTCAGCTGCAGGCTCAGGTTTGGGGGAGGCCCCAGCCCCCGGGCCCCCAGCGCCAGCAGCCTTTCCCCCACTCCTCACCCTGGCCCAGCCCTGACCCCGAGGACATGAGAGGAGCAGAAAGTCGCAGAGTCCGATGGGTTTGGGCTTTATTTTGCCATTCCATAAATACGGTGGCTGTGTCGTGGTCTGAGTCTTGTTTGGAAGCTCAAGGCATAGGACAGTCTCTGCCTAGGTAGGGAATGCAATTAGCTGAGGAACCACAGTCGGTTAAAAAAAAGAGGGAAAAAGCACATTATTTACATGATTGGACAAGGACAGAAGATGGGCGGAAGCCGCCGTCACTCCTTGGGACCTGGGGTCTGGCCACAAGGCTGAATGGGAGGGAAATTGGGGGCTCTGCAGCGGCCAGCGCCACCCTTTCTAGACCTTAGCTTTGGCCTTCTGTACTTTCTCAGATGGTTCCACCCAGCACCCCCCTCTGGAGTGGGCGAACCTGGCCCCAAGAGGCAGAGCACCTCACACCCTCGCTGTGGTTTGGTGTGGAGTAAACCAGACACCCAGGAGCCAGGTTGTGGGAAGAGCTGTGCCTGAGGCTGCCTGCATCCTGGTACCAGGGCCTTGGGCCTTGGCCAAGCTCACCAGGGGCCCAGCCTCCCTCTATTTGGCAAACTCGAAGCCTTCCGGGGCTCAGCTGCCGCAGGTGTGGCTCGTATTAAGCAGCAGTGACCACCGCGGGCACCACCTCATGCACTCCTCCCTCTTCAAACAGTGGGTGGGGCTGGGGTGGCAGTGGGGATGGGGCCAGCCACCCTCCCTGCAGGCAAGGGCGGGCCACCTGCCCTCCAGCACCACTGGCCACTGCAGGACCCAGTCGTGGAAGGAAGCAGGCGACTCCTACCTGGACCCAGGCCAAAGGCTGGGACCTCTGTTGGGAGAGGACTTCCCCGCCCCACACCTACAGGGCTGCTTCTGGTGAAGCCGGCAGCAGGACTGGTGGAGACCCCAGGAGTTGGTCTACGAGGAGGAGCCAGGGTTTAGACGCCAGGGGCAGCATGAAGGTGGGTTGGGAATGGCAGAAGCTGTGTCCCTCTCCTCCCCAGGGGCAGCATGAAGGTGGGTTGGGAATGGCAGACGCTGTGTCCCTCTCCTCCCCTTGACCCAGCCTCTCCCCGCTGGTTTTGTGGCTTTCACACGTAGCTTCCCAGACCTCGGCCTGGCCAGGATGGGATAGCAGGTCCCTGCAGGATGGCAGGGTGGAGCCTTCTGGAACAGAGGCTCCTCCAAGACAAGTGGGAACAGAGGTGCCCGAGATGAGGTTCGCCCTGGGGGCAGGAGGCACAGGCTTCCCTGTGGGGCCTGCTGGCGAGGGGTGGGGGTGGCTTCGGTAGAGCCCTGCCCTGCACAGTCAGCAAAGCCTGGGTACTGTTTGGGACACAGGCCTGGGACTCTGGATGGCACCTCAGCACCTGCAGACATCCTGGCATCCCTAGCCCTCTGGCCCAAACTGCACAGGGGCATCACTCTGGCTTGCCCTGCCCTCCCTCCCCTCTCCCTAGTCTGTTCCAGGCACTGGGCAGTGGGAGGTGCTAACCCATCCTGGCCATCTTTCCAGGGAGAGGTTCCCCGAGGTCTTTGCCTACATTATTGGGGCTGCAGACCCCCCAGTCCTGGGCACACAGCACAGAAAACCCCAAGGGCCCTTCCTTACTGAAAGGGTCCAAGCATGCTCTCTGCAAAACCCAAGCCCACAACCTTGGCGCACAACAGTGGCCTGGGGCAGAGGGCAGCTTTAAAGGAGGTCTACAGGGGCCAAGAGGAATGCGTCCTTGTGCACAGGGCCCTCCTGCTGCCACGTGTCGTGATGTGGCCAGCAGCCACCATCCAGCTTAGAGTATATGACCACAGGGCCTTCCAGGGCCAGGACAGAGGGGTGGCCGGACAGAGGGGCCTGCCCCACTGTGACCCCTCCCAAGTGCTCCAGGCCTCGCTGGTGTGAGGCTCATCATTGGTGTGTGGATGGAAGACAGTGGGATGCTGAGCTGTAAATCAGACCTCTACACTTTTTGTGGCTCCCAGACTGCAGAGCCAATCCCCCTGGGTCCCTGCCCCTGACAGCAATGGTGGGGGTGGGTGGGGGTCAAGGGCCAGCTAGAGCTTGGTAGGCATGGCCCCTGTTGGGACCCAGTGGGGCAGGTTGGAGCAGAGAAGAATGGGGGAGGAATCTGGGGTCAGGCCCCCTAGACTGTACCTGGAGCCCTTGGCAAGTGGGAGGCAGAGGAAGACCCCCAGTGGGGAGGCCCTGACCCAGCAACCAAGGCTCCGGCAGAGGGGCCCCTCCATGGGCCAGACCCCTCTCCCCCCACACCAGGTAGGGATTCTCAGCAGAGGACAGGCCGGCCCTGCCTGCCCCAAGGACCCGGTTCCTCCTGGCCTTGACTTTGGGACTCGTGGCTGTGGCTGGGAGAAAGCTGGGTGGTCTCTTCTTGGAAGATGAGAGGACGCGACAGGCTTGGGTGGGACGGCTGGAACGTCCTTTCTAACCAATGCTGTCCCCGGCACAGGTGGGACTTCGACATTGTCCGGCGAAGCAGTGGGCGGTGTCTGGCAGCAACTTGGGAGATTGTTTCCCAGTGACATCACAGTGTGGTGTTTCTCTTTGATGCAAACCACACTCTTTACTTGGCTTCGAAACAGCTTAAGCGAGCGAACAGAGACTGGAGGGAACGGGAACTGTCCGAGCAGGTGGGGGTGGCTTAGGATCTGTAGTCTTTTTTGCTGTAGGGTTTATTGCCCAAAATACTATCAATCTCGTGGATAATGGAAGACGACAGCTTTGGAAGGACCTGCATACAAGAATAAGAACGAATCAGAATCTCGCCCACAAGACGGGCCTGGCCTGGGGAGGAGGTGGGGTGAGGCTCCCCTCAGTGGTCGTCTGGCAAGGCCTGGGTTACCCCATCACACCTGGGCTCCATCTGAGGCAGGTGGAGGCTGTGCTGCTTTTGTGTTCCAGAAGGTTTGGGGCAGAGAGGAAGCATGCCTGGGCCTGTGCACTACCCCTCAAACGCCAAGGCGCTCTAGAACCTTCCTGTAAGGGTGGAGGCGGCAGTGCCATAAAATGCAGACTCCAAGGCCAAATGCTGGACTCCACATCCCGACTGCTCTTTGTGGCTGTGCCTGCCTCAGCTGACAGGACCGACATCCTTCCTGGTGATACAGCCAGGGGCCGACGTCCACCTCGCTTTCTCACCCCCAAACTGACAGACATCAGGTGGTCAGCCAGCCACACGGTCCCGCCTTCCCAAACGTCCATGATCCAACCACCACTCTGGTCTCCGAACTGCAGCGCCTCGTCCCACCAGGGCCCTCTATCTCGGACCGTGCTTCCCAAAGCCTCCAGGATGGAGCAGTGAGAGCAGGCTCCCTTTCCAGGCTGAGCTGCAGCTCGCCCTCCTCTGCCTACAATTTTGCCCAGCGTCCCATCTCACTCTGAGGCAGCACGCCAGTCCCCGGAGGGGTGCAGTGCCTTTCGGATCTGCCTCTCTGCCCCAGGCCTTCTCGGGCCTTTGCATTGACGGTTCGGGTTCCCCTCAGGCATTTGCATGGCTCACTCTGCACCTCTTCAAGGCTTTGCTTGAGCACGACCTTCTCAACAAGCCCACTCGAGGGCCTCCTTGAATCTGGGTCTGCAGTGCCACCGTCCCTGGCCCCAGCTCCTCTCCCCTCCCCTCCCCTAATCTCCGGCTTTTCCCCTGTGGTGCCCATCCACTCCCAGCACACACTGTAACCTCCTTGTTCCTTGCAGTCAGTGTGTATGTCTGTTCCTGCTGGAAAGCAAGCTCTCCAGGAGAAGAGCTCTGATGGTTCACGGATGCATCCTGAGCACCTAGAATTGAGCCTGGCACGCAGGATGAGCCTGGACAGGGCATGGCTGGGATGGGGACTCTGCCCAGCAAGGCCTCTCGCACTCACCTGTATTGCCCCAATGTTCTCCATGAGCTGGTCGGCATTGGAGGCCCCCAGGAGCACGGAGCTAACTCCCTCGTTCCTCAGGCACCAGGCTGAGTCGGTGAAACACGAGGTGAGGAAGAAACAACCACTGCAGGGGCCCCTGATGTTTCTGCCTTGCCCCTGACTGGGCCCCCAGTGTCTTGGTGTGGGGGCTGAGGGTGCCTAGGAAGCCTAGCAGTGCTGGGCAGGGGCTTTGCCTAAGAGGTGGCTGGAGGGGGCTTGGGTGGAGAGGTGGCCCAAGTGCTCAGCACTCCCTATCCTCTTCCCATGAAAGTGGTAGCCCCATTACCATGGCTGTCGGGTGGAGGGGGTGGCCCAGGTCCTCAGGGACTCCTGACATCACCTTAGAGGCATGGGGTCCCAACCGTTCCCCTTAGAGCCCTGTCACCTGTGCCGGCTGGGGGCTGATATCCAGGGATCCCTCCCCTCTCTCCCCAGGGACACTGGTCCCTTGGTGCCCCCAGGCCTGTTACCTATGGCCAGCTGGGGCAGGGTGCAGCCCAGGCGCTCGGCAAGTGCCTGCAGCTCCTTCAGCTTGGCCTGCTGGCGCCGGCCCTCCTCACTCAGGATCTTGTCCTTCAGCCACTGATAGCCCTGGTTGGGGGGAGGAGAGCAGGTCACTGGACCCCAAGCGCAAGGGGCCAATGGGCTTATTCCTTCTGGACCCTTCACCCTCAGAGCTCATCTCATCATGAAGCCAGGACATTGCCCCTGCCCCAGGCCTCTCAAGTAGGGAGAGTGGACAGTGGGCTGGGCACAGGCAGGTGGATGAGCGGGGCCTGTCCAGGCTCTGGAGTGCAGAGACTGTGGTGCTGGCCCAATCCCCAGCCAGGACAAGGAGGTGAGGTGCTGGCCTTCCTTCTCCTAGGAAGCTTGGCAGCCTGGGGTCTTGGCTGCCACCTGCGGCCCAGAAGAAACTCCCGGCCCTAGGGTAGTGCCCCCTCCCCAGCCATCCCTCCCAGAGGATTGCAGGGCTTCCTGGGGGGCGTCCTGCCCTTGCCGTGGGATGGGAGGAGTGGGGGGCCTGGCCATGCTGCTGGAACCCAGGCTGTGGGCCCCAGTGCGGAGTCTGCTGGCTGGGCACGCTTTCTTGGCCTGCTCCTCATTCCCCAGATCCTGTAGAATGGGGACCCTCCTGAGTACCCACCAGGAGGTTGTGTGGTGGGAAGAGGCACCTGTTTCAGGGTCACCTCCGTGGCTCTGCAACCCCTATCCCTGCGCCCAGGCCCAGAGGTCAGTGGTGGCCGAGCAGCAAGTGCTTAACTGTGGTGAGGGGCAAAGGTGGGGGGTATGTGAAGGGGCCCCCTCGCTGGGGCCTGTGCCAAAGGCTGGGCAGCCCCTCTAGACATGGGGTCAGGCCAGAAGGGGCTCCATGTTCTCATGCCAAGGATCCCGTCCCCAGCAGACCAAAGTGGGAGCAGCTTCAGCCCCCAAAGCCCCACCCAGCACCAATGCGGTTGGCCCAAAGGTCCCACCCCTCCAAAACGCCGGTCCCCTGCCCGTCCCTCCCCACCAGGCCGTTCCTTCACCTTCAGGGAGGCTCTTGAGTAGGGCGGGATGCCACTGTCGTACTTGCCAGAAACGATGCCGCAGGCCAGAGGCGACCAGGTCATGGCGCCCACTCCTGAGAGTGGAAAAGCAGGTGGAGTCAAGCCCTGGGCCGGAGATTGCGGGGTGGGGCGAGGGTCCGAGGGTGGGGGCGGGGCGAGGGTCCGAGGGTGGAGGGGCGGGACAGGGCGAGGGCCCAAGGGTGGGGGGCGGGGCGAGGGACCTGAGGGTTGGTGGCGGGGCGGTGCGAGGAACCTGAGGGTTGGTGGCAGGGCGGGGCGAGGGTCCGAGGATGGGGGCGGGGCGAGGGTCCGAGGGTGGGGGGCAGGGCGGGGCGAGGGACCTGAGGGTTGGTGGCGGGGCGGGGCGAGGGCCCGAGGTGCCCACCTATCTTGTGGAACAGCTCTGGCAGCTGAACCTCCACCTTCTCGCGCTGGAACATATGGTACTCAGCCTGCTCGCAGATGGGCGGGGTCAGGTTGAACTGCCGGGCCACCGAGTAGGCCTCCTGTGAAGGCAGAAACGGGCCCCAATGGCCCCTGACCTTGAGCAGGTAGGGGAGCTTCTGGGGCAGCCAGGGAGGGAGCACCAAGGTGTGCCCCAGACAGGCTGGTCTGGCAGCTGCAGCCCGGGCTCCCCACTGCTCACACTCCTAGCTCCCTGGGAGCCGGGGAGGCCCTGGTAAGCTGGGAAAAGGGGGTGGATTGTGGGATGTCCAGGCTGGAGGGTTCAGATATGAGCAGCCCAGGCTCTGAGCCACACAGCCTGGATGCCGATCTTGGCCCAAGCTGTGTGACCTTGGCATGTTACCGAACCTCTCTGTGCTGCAATGTCCACGTCTGAAAAATGGGCTGCCTGTGGCATCAACTGGTAAGGCACTGTGAGGATGGCATGCAAGTGGGTCCCTGTGCAGCCCTTGAAACTAACAGCGCCTGGCACATCCCAGGAGCCAGTGGAAGTGGCTGGTGTTGTTATTCAGTGCTCACTGAACTCTAGGATGTCTGCTAAGAGCTTCACACCGGCTCTCTCAGGGACTCCTCAGAATGGCCCCATGAGGACTCACCCAGCAGACGTGTTCTACAGATGAGTAAACAAGCTCAGAGAGGTTAAGCCATTTTTCCAGGGCCACACAGCTCTGGGATTCACGTGGAATCCCCGTCTTCGAGGCCTGCATACATAACCACCATGCTCCACCATCCTGTCCCTCCCTTAGCTCCCAGGCATCGGTGCAGTTGGGACCAAAGGCACAGATCCTGCCAGAGCCTTGGGGTCTCCGTGGGCAGCCCATGCCAGGAGCCTGTGCCTGGACACACACACACTGGGAGGCCACCGTACCATGATCTCCATGGAGCTCCAGCGTGACGTGCCCCAGTACATGGCCATCCCCTGGTTGATGACGTGGGTCATGGCTCGGACGGTCTCTGTGGTGAGAGAAGGTGAAATTGCAGGTGGGAGGTGGCTGGGGCTCTGGGCCAGCCTCGGGACATTCTGCAGATGCAGGCAGGAGGCTGGGAGGAGGGACGGGGCTGCAAAGATGTCTTGCAAGCAGTGTACTTCTGGCTCCGAAGTTGGGTGTGGGAGGGGCTTTTTGGGACGAAAGAGAAAAACGAACCACAATCCTAGAAGCTGGTCATGAAAACCATTTCCCTGACTGGTCACAGGCCCATGGAAATGTTGAAAAATGGGTTATGGATGGACTGTGATGTTTCTATGGCAGATTAGAGGGGACATCAAAGAATGAAGGTGGCTCTGGATTCTAGAATTGGGGCTTCTCTGGTCTCGGGAAGATTCTAGGGCCCTGATCACTTAGGAAGGACCAGGTGAATACATTCAAGCTACCGTCAGATTGGCAGCAGGAGGGAGACGTGTTTTCGCCTGTTTCTGGACTCCTACTTTGGGCTATCCCAAATTCTCATTGGAATAGAGAGCAGACTGGAGAAGGGGAAGCGGCAGGACTGGGGTGCCGTGTGGTCCTGGAGGACAGGGCTTCGAGCCGAGCTCCTCTCATGTCCAGGAGACTGAGAAGTGGGCATAGAAAGCCCAGGTTCTCAAAGCAGCCCAGCACCAGGCCAGAGGCCCAACCCACCCGTCCCTGGCAAGGGGTGATCCCAGGGCCACAGGGGTCTGGGTGCTCCTCCTATAAGGGGCCATGGCCTGGAGTGGAACAGTTTTGAGGCTCCACAAGCCCTGGGAACAACCTAAATCATGGATGGCAGAGACACCTAAGCCTTGAGTACAGTCTCGGAGACTCCATGCTGGCCTTTTAAAGAAGAGAGGAGGGACCCTCACCCCAGCGACACAGTGGATTCTTCCCAGTATTCAAAAATGTTTTTGAGACATAACAATCTGCTGGTTATAGCTCCCTCTCAGCCTCATAGGGATGTGATTTTAAAAACAGAACTTGGCCTCAACATTTCAGATTTCAGAAGCCGCTTAGCTTTTCGGGGTGACAGACTATGCCTCCAGTTTCTCACGGGTTGGATACAGTGCTTGCAAGTTGGACTGCCAAAGGCAGTGTGGGAGTGAAGTGGGGTGCAAGTGTTTCTAAAAACAGCAATGACATTGACCCTGGAAAAGCCCCGGCTCTCCCTAAGTGCCTGCTTGTCCTCTGCCCATGCTGCGGGGAAGCTAAGGTCCTGAAAATGGCTGGGAGTGGGGCCGATGGGAAGGAAGGAAGGATGGAGGATGCTGACTTTGTTCTGCAGGCGCCACCTCGGAATGGCAATGAGGCCATGGAGTGGCAGCGCTGGTTTCCCGTCCACTTCTGTTTTTGGGGTTGCTCCAAAGCGCCCCTTTATTGAGATCCCCCCTGAGCAGAACCTGGGGTCTCCTAAAGGCTAGAGCTGAGGCCACTGGGGTTTCTGGAGCGGTGGTCTCAGCAGACTCACCCAAGACCCCTGGTAAACCCCCCTCGGTTTCCACGCTTGCAGGCCCAGTCCTGCTTTCTGCTTCCTTCCAAGGACAGAGGTTGTTCCCAGAGGCTCCTGGGAACTGTCTCTGTCCCCTCCTGGGGGTGGAGATCTGGGAGGGAGTCTGAACTCTCAGGGCCACCTCCCTAGGCCATCTGCGTTAACAGCCAACACTGATAGACCTGCAGGAAGTGTCTGGTGGGGAAGGTTTGAGGAGAACCTGAGGCTCCCAGGAGGATCTCCGACTACATCCTGCCCCGGTCCAGACTCCGGGCCTGGCGGCCTCATGAAGATTTTTAGAAACACTCTGGGGGCACCTGTGACCATGCAGCACCTGTTCCTGGGTCTGTTCAGCCAAGGCTAAGGTCCACATGCTTGAGAGAGGGAAGCCAAGGCCCCCAGGCCAGCCCGTTCCCTCACTCTCCCTCCCCGGCAGCTGTCTCAGGTCACCAAGGTCCCAGCCAGTGAAACCGCACACTGCCCTGGGGCGCCCCTTCCATGCAGCAATGGGGAGACGGGGCTGACGGGCAGAAGCCTGCAGGAGCCCCTGGCTGTCCTGAGGTGGGGGGGTCCTAGGCAAAGGCCCCTGGGCTCCCTGGAGGATCTGGGCAGAAGCAGGCTGGACAGGGGCCCCGAACAAGGGAGCACCCTACGCTTGTGCCCAAGCGTGGTATCAGTGGCCCCAGATGCAGGGACAATTAGGGACAACTGTCCTGCACCTCAATATTTAATGCTGCGGAACAGAAGTAGGAGGACTGAATCTTTCTAGCTGCTGCCAAAACCCATGGCATCTCCTGCCAGGTCACAAATAATACATGGGGGGGAGGTCAGGTGGCAGTGCCAGTTGGCAGGGGCCCAGGCCCAGGGAGACCGACGCCCGCCCTTGGGGTGGGGTCCTTGGGCCCTTAGCTGTGGGAAGGGCAGAGAGGCCATGTGTGGCCCGAGGCCGCTCCCTGGTTTCAGAAGTCCCTGGTTATTCTTCCAGGAGGAGAACGACTCCATGTTGATGGAGAGGTTTGGCCACCTGGTGAGAGGCAGGGGCCCTGCCTGCCGAGGGGATGCACAGCCAGCATGCTGTCCGAGGAGCAGCGTGCCAAGCCAGGTGTTCTTTGCCTCCAGAAGAGACAGGAGCTTAGTGAACACACACCGTGGAGGAGCTAAGACTCAGTGAGGGCTACATGTTCTGGGGTCCCTGACAGGTTTGCGCCTTGTGGAAACCTGGTCTTCCCCAACCCTTCCCATGGCACCATCCAGGGTCAAGGCTCCAGGTGAGGATCGCAGCATCCTCCGATCAGGAGGACCCCCGGCCGCCACGGAGCTCAGCAGTCAAGCCCAGGGGTGGGGGCATGCACGGGAGCGGGGAGGAGGAGGAATGAGATGACGGGGGGTGGGGGCTGGGGGCTCCAACACCACTTTGCTTTCCTTCACTTGCAAGGTGTTCTCATAGGGTGCTCTTTCCCCGCTTTATGCATTTTATGGAGAAGTTTGTCATGGGGTGAAAGAATCATGTACTTAAAAATACTGTCTCATAAAATGCAGCTTGGACACAGAAGTCAATAGTCAGGCTGGGGGGCACTGTGTACCTTCTATGATGAATGTCCTTGACTTGGAGGAACTAAATGGGTCCCCTGGTGATAAAAGAAAGATTTAAAGAGACCAGAGTTGATAGCTGGGAGCACTGAGAGGCGGGGCACGACAAAGGCGCAGGAAGGAAGCACAAACCCCCGCGCGGAGCACGAGTTTAGTTAAAAAGGAAAAAATATATCCACACTCGCACGTGCGTGCTCACATGAACATATAAAAACAATAACTGGAACACAACTTAATTTTCAGGTCCCTGAAGCAGCAAAGCAGACATGGAAAGACACCTGTAGCAGGAGGATAGGGGAGCGGAGGGGCTGAGGTCGCAGGAGGAGAAAGAATAAAAACCGTCAAAGTAACCAAAACCATGAAAAGCACGGAAGTTTTTCCCCTCTATTTATTCCCCAGAGCAAAAAAAGACCCCCAAGCCTCTCCACGGATCATGATTGGAGACAATACTGCAGTTGGAGTCCCCACAAGCGACTTCACATAGCTGCAAAACAGCAGCTGCAGGGGGAAGGGACAGTTCCAGTGCGGCTTTGACTGGGAGGGTGGGGCGGGGTGGTGGGGATCGGCTGGGGTACAAAGCAAGGACAGGGACTCGGCTGGAGGTGGCTGGCAGCCAGAGGCTGAGCTCACCCCCACTGTGGGGAAGCCTGGCCCCTCGCCTCCCACCCTGGACCCAGCCTCCTCTCATGGCTCACCCAGATGCCCAGCAGGGCCCATGCTGGTGGCCTCCACAACCCCAGGTTCAGACCCTTTGTACGCTGCCCAGGCCTGACCTGCAGCGGCACCGAAGACCACCTACCTTCCATTGGGGTGTTGGGGTCTGGGCGGTTGGCAAATACCACATCCACATACTCCAGCTGCAGCCGCTCCAGAGAAGCTTTCAGACCTAGGGGAGGACGGGGCAGGGGCGTCACTGCCGTGGCTGCATCTCCACAGACACCTGGGCCGGTCCATTCCATGCCCGGCTCAGGGAACAAGAGATGGAGAAGAGGCCCCTGGCATCTGGAAGCTTCCGGAAGCTTCTGGAGGTCGTGAAATGCCTCAGCACAGGTGGGGAGTGGGGTGGGGGGGTCTCGCTTTCAGGAGAATGTCGGGGCCACAGGCCACACGTCCTTGACTAAGTGAGAGGAGCCCCTCCTCCCCCTAGACAGCATGCCCTCCTCTGAGGCCACTCTGTTACAACAGGGAGAGCACGTCATCTAGCACATGTGGAGGGAGGAAGGCTACACTTGCTACCCCTCCCACCAAAGACAATAGTGTCTATGGCCAGGCACCGGGGCTCTTGCCTGTAATCCCAGCATTCTGGGAGGCAGAGGCGTGGGGACCACTTGAGGTCAGGGGTCCGAGACCAGCCTGGCCAACATGGTAAAACGCTATCTCTACTAAAAATACAAAAAAAAAAAAAATTAGCCAGATGTGGTGGCGGGCACCTGTAATCCCAGCTACTCAGGAGGCTGAGGCAGGAGAATCACTTGAACTCAGGAGGCGGAGGTTTCGGTGAGCCGAGATTGCACCACTGTGCTCCAGTCTGGGCGACAAGAGTGCAACTCCGTTTCAAAACAAAACCAATGGCAATAGTATCCAAAATGCCCAAGCCACCCGTGAGTGCTCAGAGCAGCTCAGGACACACAGCTGGCAGAGGGAAACGCTGGGTTGCGGATGGGGAGGATGGGAGCAGGTGGCAAGCCCCCTAGGTGGTTATTAATGGAGGTGATAACCAATGGATTGTCAATCTATTACCTTGAAGCAAATGCACACAGATAGGAAAGGCATGAAGATAATAAAAAGGAAGCAAGAGCCAGATACCCGCGGCCTTGCTGCCGTGCCTGAGAGTGCTGAGTCGGGGGCTGTGCGGTGTGCACCTTTTCCTGGGCGCTGTGGCATCCCAGCCACCCTTGCTGGGGTGTGCTCTTACTGTAGCCACTGCACAGATAGTGTGGGAGAGGCGTGGGGCAGGGTGCCCCTTGCTGAAGACCCACTCAACCAGTGCGGGGCTGAGCCTGGACTGAAACTCAGGCTGGTCTGTGCTCAGCCACCGGCTGCCCTCGTTCCCGACAGGGTCCCCCTGTGCTGCCTGGGGTGGAAGGAGAGGGTCAGGCTGAAGCACCGGGTGCCCTGGGATTGGGTGCTCGGTCAGGTAACTGAGGGGTCGGGCACTGTGCTGTCTTCACGTTGGCCTCCGCCGATGATCCCACAGGTGTGGGCCCTGAGGTGCCCGAGCACGTCCTCACCTTCGATTATGTGCTTCCTGGACAGGCCCCGCTCCGTCTCCGCCCTGAAAAACAGGCCGACCGCATGTGATGTTGCTAGCGGTTTTGGCATCCTGACCCCTCCCAGAAAACATTTATGATGCGATGTTAGGTGCAAAAACTGGGTCAACAAATGCCGTGTGCAGTCGGATTTCACTTTGGAGTAGGTACCTGAGGCTACAGGGCTGAACTCCCAGAGGCCCGGGGGAAGCCTGGTCACAAGGCTTAAAGGGGAGGTGGGCAGCCATAGGGGATGAGGGGGCTTTTGTTTTTCAACTTAACCTGTCTGTTTGATTTGGACTTAATTTTTTAAAAAAATTAAGAATGAATGAGGCTGGACACAGTGGCTCATGCCTGTAATCCCAGCACTTTGGGAGGCTAAGGCAGGAGGATCATTTGAGCCCAGGAGTTCAAGACCAGCCTGGGCAACATAGTGAGACCCCTTATCTTAAAAAAGGACAAATTAAGGCCAGGTGTGGTGGCTCACACCTGTAATCCTAGTGCTTTGAGAGGCTGAGGTGGGTAGATTACTTGAGCTCAGGAGTTTGAGACCAGCCTGGACAACATGATGAAACACATCTCTACAAAATACACACAAAACAAAAAAAAATTAGCTGGGCATGGTGGCATGTGCCTGTTGAACCAGCTACTTGAGGCAGGAGGGTTGAGAATCCAGGAGGTCGAGGCTGCAGTGAGCCGGGACTATACCATTGTACTCCAGACTGAATGACAAAGTGAGATCTTGTCAAAAAAAAAAAAAAAGAAAGGAAAGAAGAAAGAAAGAAACAAAGAAACAAAGAAAAAGAGAGAGAAAGAAGGAAAAGAAAGAAAAAGGACAAATTAGTCAGGCATGGTGGCACATGCCTGTAGTCCCAGCTACTCAGGAGGCTGAGGTGGGAGGATCGCTTGAGCCCAGGAGTTTGAAGCTACAGTGAGCCATGATCACCCCACTGTGCTTCAACCTGGGCGACAAAGTGAGACCCTGTCTCAAAAAAAAAAGAAAGAATAAATGAATTGTAGTTATAACTCCTATGAGCCCAAGTGTGTCCAGCCCCCAGAAACTATGGAGCGGACACCTGGAGACCTGCAGGGCTGACAGGCGGCGCACAGGATTTGGAGTGGTTTGGGCAGTTCACAAATTTTCTGTTTTCCTTAATTTTTATGATGTTACCAAAGTGACCAGAAAAAAAAAATCCATGAAGGTAAAAAGAAAAGTTAAGCAAGGTTTTTGTAAAAGGCAAACTCAGCCACAGCTATTTTTTTTGACGTCCCTTAACAGGGACGGGCTCCAGGCATAGCTGGTGGCTACACCAATGCCAGCTGTGCCCCTGATGGGGACAGGAAACAGCACTGGGCCAGGGCTGTCCAGGGTGGACCCCGACCACTCTCCCTTCCCAAGGAGAACTGTCCTCCCCCCACCCCAGGAGCCTTCTAGGTTAGGGGTCTCTGGGGAGCGCAGGGCTGTGGCTGCTGGGCCCGGACTGGAAGCTTTGCCCGCTGTTGCACCTACTTTCCGCCCCAGAAGATCTTGGTGGTGATGACGAGGCTGGATCGCCTGCAGAACAGAAGAGAAGGAAGGAGTGTGATGGGGCCCAGCCCCTGGGGGTCCTCTTTCATCCCCGAAATCCTCATCTCTCACACAGAGGTCCTGAAAGCCTGGGAGCCTGGGGCAGAAAATGGGTGCTTCCCCATCTTTTGATGTGTGCCATGTGCCAAGCCGGGGTATGTAGGTTCCTCATTGAACCAGGAGGCAGCCGCTGAGGCTGTAACTGTGTGTCAGGCAGTGGGAGTTGGACAGTGGCGGCCCAGGGTGACAGGATCCCGGAGGAGATGCCTTCTGCCCAGGATGTGGGAGTGGGCCTGGCTCAGGGAATCCTGGGGCACATGGATTCGGAGGAGGCCGGGTGTGGGCCAGGGGGCTCTGGCAGGAGTTGAGGATGGTAAGATTTGGGTGGGAGGCAAGCAGGGAAGCTGTCGGCAACGTTCCCTACAGAATGTGACATGTGTTGCAGAAAACCTGTGTGGGACAGCCTGGTCGAGGGAACTTTCGGGGCAGGGTGGCACAGGGGGCCCAAGTGTGGCCAGACTAATGGGGTTCTGGGTTTGAGTAGCTGAGGCAAAGAACCCTGAGGATTTGGGCTTGAGCAGAGCGAAGGGAAGGAATTTGTTCTTCTGCCCTGAGTCCACACAAGGCAACGCTCATACCAGCGGCTTTGTCCTGGTGGGATGGGGGATAATGATGGGCCCTCCTGGCCACATTTGACTTTGACCCCTCCCAGAGGAGGGGATACCCCTCATCCAGGGGTGACAAGGACCTCCTGGTGCCCCATGGTTGAGCTCCTTTCCCACCAGGGTCCTGGGCTGGTCGGGGAAGCAGCTCATGAGGCCAGAGCAGGAGGCCTCTTTGCCCCCGAAGCGTTGGCCACCGAGCTCTGGCAGGGGCAGCATCACCTCCAGGCAGAGGAACCAGCACACATGCACATTCACCTCCATGCACACTCACTACAGACATGATCAGGGATTTGTAACACATGCGATTTCCTTTAACTAAGGGGTGAGGAGGAATTTGTGAGTTGCCAAGAGACAAATGAGATGGGACAAGAAGGGGTGTCAGGAATCCATGGAGGAGGGAGTGGGGGCTGCCCAGCAAATGGCCCTCAGAGGGGAGGGAGGACGGAGGCCCAACTTTGTAATTGCTTCGGATGTTTCTGAAAATAAAGAAACACTTATTAAGAAACAGGGCCCTGGGGCTTCTCAGCCCCTTCAGATAAAGCTGTGTCCAGGGGTCTGGGGAGCCCCCAAAATGTAGGAAGTGCTGATCCCGGTTGGTCCCAGGGAGGGTGATGACCTTGGCCTAAGAAAGGCCCAAAGGCTCCTGGGAGACCAGGGTGAATGGCCTCCAATCTGTGACCTTTGGACTCCATCACACCTGGAGACCGCTCCTGCTGGAGGTCCCTGCTGGAGGGCTAGCACTTGCATGTCCAGCCCCGAGCTGGATGAGTGATTTTCAGACGTGGGGCCACTGACCCTCAGGATAGCCCACCAGGGAGGTCTGACACACACCCCCTTACAGGTGGGAGCAGGGAGCTCTGGAGAGGTGGAGGCTCTCTGAGCCATCCTCTCTCTGGCCTGCTGGCTCCCCTGACCCTAAGTGCTCCAGCTAAAGAGGTGGAAGGGCTTTGCACCCCATCTTCTGTAGTAGCACCCCTCTGCTGTACCCAGGCCCATCAGGGGGTTCTCACTCCAAGCTCTTTTTGGCCCGCTTCTTTGCAAGCGGGGATCTTGGCGTTCTGGATCTCTGGATGAGTTGGAGGTGGAGGCTAAGGTGGGGGTGGAGGCTAAGGAGGGGGTGGAGACTAAGGTGGAGGTGGAGACTGAGGTGGGGTGGAGACTAAGGTGGGGGTGGAAGCTAAGGAGGGGGTGGAGGCTAAGGTGGGGGTTGAGACTGAGGTGGGGTGGAGACTAAGGTGGGGTGCAGGCTAAGGTAGGGGTGGAGATGAGGGGGTGGAGACTAAGGTGGGGGTGGAGACTAAGGAGGGGGTGGAGACTAAGGTGGGGGCAGTGGCTAAGGGGGGAGCGGTGGCTAAGGTGGGGTGGAGGCTGAGGGGCTGAGGCTAAGGAAGGGGTGGAGGCTAAGGAGGGAGTGGAGGCTAAGGTGGGGGTGGAGACTAAGGTGGGTGGAGGCTAAGGTGGGGTGGAGACTAAGGAGGGGTGGAGGCTGAGGGGGTGGAGGCTAAGGTGGGGTGGAGGCTAAGGTGGGGTGGAGACTAAGGAGGGGGTGGAGACTAAGGTGGGGTGGAGACAGGTGGGGGTGGAGACGGGGTGAGGGCTAAGGTGGGGGTGGAGACTAAGGAGGGGGTGGAGGCTAAGGTGGGGGTGGAGACTAAGGTGGGGTGGAGGCTAAGGTGGGGTGGAGACTAAGGAGTGGGTGGAGAGGGTATCCCACCTCCCCTCAACTTTCTTCTCAAGCAGAGTCACCTTCTCCTCTTGGAGAACTTAATTTTCCTCTCCACTTCCCATCCAAAAAAAATGTGGGGACCTGGAGGCCTTATGATGCCTGCACCACAGGCCGATGAGGCAGACCTGGGGACAGTTGGCTACGCACCCACCCGGGACAGACCACAGAGAGTAGAGTCATTACCTCCATCCTTTCTTCTTAATGATGTTTCCCAGCACCACTTCAGCCCTGCAAAAAACAAACACTGAGATCGCATCACAGCCAAACAGAAAAATCAAACCCAGGCCCACCGTGACCACCGGCCACTTGGTTCCCTCTGTGGAAATGTCACTGGGGCCAGAGAGTCAGGCTGTTAACATCTGCCTTGGCTCAGTAGCTCATTCCAGAGAGAGGGCTGGTCCGAGGGAGCGGGAGCAGTGGTGTTACTGCCCCCGCTAGGATGGCTGTGGGCATGTGCCCCAGCAGGTGCTTGTCTAAGCAGGGGCAGCCCCAGCTCTCACAGGGAAGGAAGGCGCTGCTGTCATGCCTGGCAAGGTCAGTGTCCCATTTCCTAGTTGGCTGAAAATTCACCAGGGAAAATGCCTGGCGACATTAGGTGGGCAAAATTTCCAGAAAAGTATTTTTTGTTTTTGAGATGAAGTCTCACTCTGTCACCCAGGCTGGAGGGCAGTGGCACTCTGGCTGTGGCACGATCTCAGCTCTCTGCAACCTTCACCTCCTGGGTTTAAGCAATTCTCCTGCTTCAGCCTTCTGAGTAGCTGGAACTACAGGTGCCCGCCACCATGCCCAGCTAATTTTTGTATTTTTAGTAGAGATGGGGTTTCACCATGTTGGCCAGGCTGATCTTGAACTCCTGACCTTGAGTGATCCGCCCACCTCTGCCTCCCAAAGTGCTGGGATTACAGGCGTGAGCCACAGTGCCCTGCCAAGTATCTGTTTTTAAAGGTAAATTATTCATCAAATGCATCCTCTGTTTTGAGAGATGATCAACATGTACTCAGGGCCAAGGGCTAGATTTCCAGCAGACATGCCTGCTTGCATACGTGTGTGTACATGTGTGCATACATGTGCACAGGTGTGTGCATGTGTGTGGGTGCACTTGTCCCTCTCATTTCCTGCATCTGAACAGCAGAGTCAGATGCTAGGCTGACTACTATCTGTCTTGTTTGGCATCACTCTGGGTCCTGAACCAAACTCAGGCCAGCTGGGGGCATGGGCGGCCTTCCAGCCTCGCTTGGCACAGCAGCACTGGATTAACTCTGAAGAACTTTCTGCTTGTAGCAAAATGTTTCTGAGTAAAAACAACAGACGGAGAATGATCCATACCCTGTGCTACATTCCACTTATAAAAGCGCCTGAGTCATCCACTCAGAAAGAATGGGCTCTGATCTGCAAGCTGTTTAGCACACGCTCTGAATGCTACTCGTTTATGGTAAAGATGCACCGAAACTTCACTCAGCCTTCGGAAGAGAGAAAAGCTAGCAGTGGTCCCTAGGGCAGAGGAGTGGCAGACAGTGCGTTACCTAAGCCTGTGGCATGTGGCTCTGGCTGTGAATTTGGTAGGACTCACATGTGTTTGGGGGATACAGAAATCCTACAGCTCTCTGAGAAGAGTACAAATGAGTGTCAGCAGGAGAAGCAGGGGGCCTCAGGAAGATATAGGCTTGGTCCCCTTCGAGCTGCCTCTCGCCCTCCCCCAAACTGCCCAGAGAAGTTTCTCCCTGGCTATGCCTGGCACGCAGTGCCCAGCTCCCCTGTAGGGCACTGATGGCATCCACTGGAGGCTCAGCTCTGAGCTGGACAGAGGGACCGCAGTGGCCAGCCCGGGAGCAGGGGGCAGATCCCACAGTAATGGTGACCTGAGGGGAAGCTGCTCCCTGACTCCCAGGCTTTCTGGCAAGCTGCTTCTGAGGGCCCTGAGGCTGCCGGAGACCCAGTGAGCTTGCCCAACGCACCCGCTCTGGGTGTCCAGTTAAACATCGGAACATGAAACTTCGAGTGACAGAAGACAGAGTGTGACCTAGGGTGTGCCTGGCGTCATCCATGGGGGCTGCATGGAGCTGCCTCCCACATGTTCTTCTGGGCAGCAAAACATGTGCCTGCCAGGCCAAAAGCAGGCAGTGAAGAGGCGGGGATTGGGTTGGGTGGTGCCCCTCGGCTTGGCATCTGCACTGGGCTTTTTGACCTCACACCCCTCTGCTAGGCTCATCTGTCTGGAAAGCGGTTCACTTTGATGGGAAGCTGCTGCCAGTTTGGAGGGGGTGGGAGGGGGCTGTGCTATCAGGAGGGCCAAAAGGGCCGCTGAAGGGGGCTGGAGGCGGTTTGAGGGTCCCAGCAGCGGCTCCCAGGGCTGTACGTTCTCCAGGCTCTGGCTGGGTACTTGAGCAGGGCCCGGTTGGGTTCCCTCCTGCAGGGTGCTCTGGGCCCCGCCGCAGTTGCAGGTAACCACCCAGGGCCCACGAAGGAGCTTCCCGCCCTGCAGCTACCGTGCCAGCAGCCCAGGCCTGCTGCCCACCTGGCCGACAGGAACTTGGCTGGCCCCAGGCAGGAGGGGGCAGAAGGAGGATGAAGAGAGGGCCAACAAATGATTTCACAAACAAAAGCTGACTTCTGGAAACCCGACGCAGGAGAGTGGATGATTTGATTACAGCCAGTCTTTAAAACTGAAGCCAACAGCCTGGCTGAAGATGGCTGAGCTTTTACATAATTGAGCAGGAAAGTTCACTGCCAAGACGCGAAGCGCTCCTCATAGCACTCGGCCGCAGCCTGCCCTCCCCAGCTCCGAGAGGCCCTGCAGGCCCTGCAGCCCTCACTGCACAAGTGAGACATGAAATGTCAAAATGTCAGGCATGTCAAGAGCGCCCAGGACAACAACATCATCGCGCCTCTCACCCAGCACAGCCTCTTGGCACCAGAGGGACTGTGGTCCCCTTGGTGACTCCACGGGGAGTTTAGCAAGTGACCAGTGCCCAAGCGTTCTGCAATTCCAGCCCCATGAAAATAATACCTCCTAAAGCCATTCAGAGTTTAAAAAAGAAGGCAGAGTGCAAGTGTGTTTGTGAGCACCCCTGGGAATGCGAGCAGCAGGGGTCCCTGCAGCCCCGGCTCTGCCCGGGCTGTCTGCGACACTTTCTCCCGTGTGAAAGGACACGTACTTGCCGGCTGCGTAGACTTCTGCCGTATCGAAGAGGTTGATGCCATTATCGTAGGCCAAGGTCATGAGCTGTTCTGCCATCTGAAACGAGAGAACTGGCACTGTCCTGCCAGCCGGGATGGGGCCCAGAGGCTCTGGAGCACCACCCCCTCGGCCTGGGAGGCCTCCCCATGTCCAGCCCCTGCCCCCCGAGTCCGACAGTCTCCTTGTGGGCTCTCTCCTTGCCCTCTCCTGCCACAGGACAGGGATGGAGGCAGCTCTCAGTAACAAACCCATCAAGAATAAAGAGGGCAAAAGGAATAGACACTGCCGAGGACTGTGAATTTCTTGAGAGCAGGGGCCCTATCAGTCGGGGTCATCACAGGGCTTAGCACCTGCAGTGGGTTAAACAGTGTCCCCACAAAATTCATGTCCTCCCAGAAGCTTAGAGGTGATCTCATCTGGGAATAGAGCCTTCGAGAATGTAATTAGCGAAGTCAGGTGGTACTGTGTTGAGGTGGGCCTAAACCCCATGTGACGGGTGATTTACAAGAAGAGAAGATGCAGACACGGAAGTCCATGAGACTAGGAAGGCAGAGACCGGAGTGACTGGTCTACAAGCCAAGGACTGTCAGCAACCCCAGGAGCTGGAACAGGCATGGACAGCCCCTCCCCCAGAGCCTTTGCAGGGAACGTGGGCCTGCCAACACCTTGGTATCAGACCTCTGGCCTCTTGTCTCTTGTTTCAGGCCCCCAGGTCTCTGGGAAACGAAGCATTCCTAGGAAACTAAGCGCTCCCCAGCAGGGGCTGTGTAGACATTGCTGGGGTGAGTCTGTGTCCTCAAAGCCAGGGCTGTGCATTCAGCTGTAGCTCATTGAGTCTTTCCCAGCACCTGCTCATGAGGACTGAATTGTTATTTTTGTGGATGGAGAAACTGATGCCCCACAGCTGGTGCATGGCGGGTTGACATCCACGCTGGTCTCTTGGTCTGTTTCTCCAACGCCATGCGCTCCCGGCCCAAAGAGACACAGCTGTGGTGGTGGCCACCTCGGAGGCAAGATAGATCATGACTGCCAAGTTGAACACACTATTCCTCAGACTCTGCTCTGTGGGCTGCTGTCAGGACACGATTGTGCTCCATGAGCAAAGAACTGGTAGTGGGCTGGGACTCACGGAGCCAGGGGAGCCCCTCTGCAAGTGACAGCTCCCTCTGAAAGGCTGGAGAGAAAAGCGTCCCTGGACTGCTGACCCTCAGACAGGGCTGCCTTCCTCTGAGTGTCACACTTAACCAAGCGCAGCTCAGAGCACTGGGCCTCTCCCACAGCAAGCCCAGGTTGGGTAAGTAATTCTTAATTAATCCTCAAAAACCGCAGGACAGAAATCCAGCCAGGGGTGGCTTCACTGGGCTTCGTCTCTCCTTTCTGAGATCAGAAGCCCCTGTGGGTAGGAGGTGTGGAGAGTGAGGACAATGTCCTGTGGGGATCATGGGGTAGCCACCATTGGGGGGCACCCATGGGAGAAGGCCCTTGCCAACTGCTGCCCGTGGGCAGGCGGGCCTGCTGCTACAGATCTGCCGACTTTCCAAGAGAAGCCAGAAGGGCAGCATATTTGTGGATTGGGGGGGCATGGAAAATCTGGCCGGCAGCCTGGCAACATTGGCACTCAGCCCCAAATGTTTCAGAGACTGAAATGCAGTGCAGCCGAAGCTGAGCCCTGGTTAGTTAGGGGCTCAGGATTTCAGTCAGGAACTGTTTTCAGGATCCACTTGCTCGGCTCTGTTGCTTTCTTCCCACTGCAGCTCCACTGCCCCGAGATACCAAATGCACCCATGCTGTGGCTGCCGAGTCGGAGGCACCCACTGTTGCCCCCCAGCCTTCTCCTCCTGGATGCGCCCACCGAGGGAGCAAGGGAGCGCCCAGGAACCTTCCCCACCTCTAGCCCTTTTGTTCCCAGCACGAGGCTCCAGATGGGCAGGCGGGCAGCTGGTTCACCTGTTCACTGCTTCCTCCTCATCTTCCTCCTGACTTTTCCCGGATGCCTCCCATGACTAGGCCCTAGAGAGCCCAGGAGGGCAGGGTGCGCCAGGCCGGGCCGCAGAGGCTACGTCCATGGTTAGGGCACTCACATTCCTGGCAGGGCTTCTCAGAGGAGGGGACTCAGGGTTCCATTTTTTGTTTCTGTATTTCAGACATGTGGGTTTTCTTATCCCCGCATCTCTCTTCCATGAGGGTGGCGTGCTACCCATACGCTTCTGGACTTTGAGTTTTTTCACTCACAATACATGCTAGAAACCAATCCACACCTGCTCGTGAAGACCCCTGTCATTCTTTCTGTTGAATTAAAACATTACTGCATTTATCAAAGAGATTTTTTTAAGTTGTAAAATATACATAATGAAAAAATTTACTATTTTAACCTTTTTCGACTACAGCTCAGAGGCGTGAAGTACATTCACACAGTTGTGTAACCATCGCCACCGCCTGGCTTCCTGTCAGGTTCCTAACTGGAAACTCTGTACCCCTTGAACAATCACTCCGCTTCCCCACCCCAGCCCAGCCCCCAGCCCCAGCCCCAACCCCCAGACCCCATCCCCCGGCCCCGGGCCCCAGGCCCCAACCCCCAGACCCCATCCTCCGGCCCTGGGCCCCAGCCCCTAGCCCCCAGCCCCATCCCCCGGCCCCGGGCCCCAGCCCCTAGCCCCCAGCCCCATCCCCAACCCCCATTCCCAGCCCCAGCCCCCAGCCCCAGCCCCCGGCCCCCAGCCCCAACCCCCATTCCCAGCCCCAGCCCCAGCCCCAGCCCCAACCCCCAGACCCCATCCCCCGGCCCCAGGCCCCAGCCCCCAGCCCCAGCCCCCAGCCCCCAGCCCCAATCCCCATTCCCAGCCCCAACCCCCATTCCCAGCCCCAGCCCCCAGCCCCAGCCCCAGCCCCAGCCCCAGCCCCAACCCCCAGCATTCTCGGGAATTTGTGAATTTAACTACTCTAGGCACCTTACACAAATGCAATCACATGGTGTGTCCTTTTCATGGCTTGTTTCAATGAGCCTAATGTCCTTAAGGTTCAACTTTCATCTGGCGGGTAGCACATGTCCAAGACTGGGTTTGTTTTTTTGGAGTCGGAGTCTCATTCTGTCTCCAGGCTGGAGTGCAGTGGCATGACCTTGGCTTACGGCAACTTTTGCCTCCTGGGTTCAAATGATTCTCCTGCCTCAGCCTCTGGAGCAGCTGGGACTACAGGCATGTGTCTTCAAGCCTGGCTAATTTTTGCATTTTTAGTAGAGACTAAAATGGAGTTTCATCATGTTGTGTAGGCTGGTCTTGAACTCCTGAGCACAAGTGATCCACCTGCCTCAGCCTCCCAAAATGCTGGGATTACAGACATGAGTCACTGCACCCAACAAAGACTGGGTTTTGAAGGCTATTTAGGAGTGTGTCAGATAGGCAAGGGGAGAGTGGGTGGGGGAGTGGCTCTCCAGGCCTTGGGGCTGCTGTGGGCCAGGGAGTGCAGCCTTTGGCAGCATCAGCTCCCCCGAGGATCGCTCACCCGTGCTCAGGTCAAACCCCGGGAGCCCTCCTTGACTCCCTCCCATCACTGGAGCGTGACATTCAGCCAATGCTGTGGCTTCCCTTGCAAATTAGTCCAGAATCTGACCCCCTCCACCTCCGATGTGCCCACCCTGCCCTGAGCCTCCAGCGGGTCTTGGGTGGTTGCTCACAATAGCCTCCTGGCTCTCTGCTTCCATCCTCTCTCCCTGCACCTTCCCCAGGCAAAGCACTGTCCGAGGACCAGCATCAGCATCACATCAGGAATGCAGCATCCAGGCTCCACGACAGCCCTGCCATATCAGGACATGCCTTCTAAGTACATCAGGTCGTGCACACACTGAACTTTGAGACACCCCCATGACTGGCTATTCCCAGGGCAGCAGCCAGGGCAGGCCTTGGGAGACCTTTTAATCAGGTCAGATTTCCTCCTCGCAAAAGCCCTCCAGTGGCTTCCATCTCACAGAGGGTCAAAGCCAAAGTCCTCCCCAGATCTGCACCCTGACCCCGGCTCTATCCCTTGCACCCCCTTTGCCTCAACACTTGACCTTAGGGCTTTGCCCTTGTTGTCCTCTTGGGCCCCGGAAGCCTCTTTCTCTGGATCACCATGTGGCTTCCTTACTCGATTCTGCTTCCTGACCGCCCTGTTGTCAGGACCCCACCCCTCGCCCTCCTTTTTCTACTTTCTTCTGCAGGCAACTAAATAATGGTTCTCCAGGCTGGGCGTGGTGGTTCACGCCTATAATCCCAGCACTTTGGGAGGCTGAGGTGGGTGGATCACAAGGACTGGAGTTCGAGTCCAGCCTGACCAGCATGGTGAAACCCTGTCTCTACTAAAAATACAAAAATTAGCTGGGCGTGGTGGTGTGTGCCTGTAGTCCCAGCTACTCAGGAGGCTGAGGCAGGAGAATCATTTGAACTGAGGAGGTGGAGGTTGTGGTGAGCCGAGATTGGGCCACTGCACTCCAGCCTGGGTAACAGAGCAAAAAAAAAAAAAAAAAAAAGGTTCCCCAAAGGTATCAGGTCCCTTGAACCTGTGAATGTGACCTTAGGTAGAAAAAGGGAGTTTGCAGATGGGATTAATGTGAGGACCCAGGGATGGGGAGAATGTCCTGGCTTAGCTAAGTGGGCGCTCAGTGCCATCACAGGTGACCTTATGAGGAAAAGGGAGACGGAGACTTGACACAGACAGAAGAGGAGGAGGGAAAGCGCCCACAGGGGCAGAGCCTGGGGATGCAGCCACAAGCCACGGAAGGCCAGCAGCCCTGGATGCTGAAGATGCCGGGAAGGGTCCTGGCCTGGAGAAGGGAGTCCAGCCTGGCTGACTTCTGGACGTAGGCTCAGGGATACCGAATTTGGATCTCCAGTCCCTGGAGCCCTGAGTGAATACGTTGCTGCTGTTTTCAGCTGCACATTGGTGGCTATTCGTTACAGCAGCCACGGGCAGCTGACGCCCTCTCCACAGCACACTCGACCACTGGAGACTGTGTCCTGCTTCTTTACCCTGTAGCCCTCTCTAGAAAGAGTGACTGGAAAGAGGCTGGAAGAGGACAGGGAGCTGGCGGTAGGCAGGGGCTCCACAAGCATGAGCTGAGTGCTGCGGCGGTCCCAGTTCCTGGGGCTGCGTGGGGGGTAGGTGGCCCTGGCGGCTCCTGGCTCTGCTCTGCCCACCGGGAGGCCTCCCCGTCCTGCTCACAGAGGAAGAACAAAGGGTTCGGTGCTCTCCACACCAGAGCACAGGGGTCCTGAGCACACCTGGCTCCCTCCAGGGAGGAAAGCCTGGCCAAACACAGAAACCTGTGGTCACCACAGACCCCCAAGGGCATGCAGGCAGCGAGATCAGCTGGCAGAGCCGACAGCAACCCTCACCTCACCTGTCCCTCAGAAAAACAAAGCCACAGTACAATTCCGGCTGCATCCAGGGTGGCACCTGGGATTGGGAGGACCAGAGGCAAGAAAGACAGGGAGGGGCCCGGCACTGTGGGGCTAAGCTTTCTTACTATTTTATTTATTTATTTTTACAGCTCTGATTTTGCTGCAACTTCTCCTCTGGGTTTTTCCTCCCCCTCCCTAGAAAACTGCGGCTCTCCTCCATAGACTGCTGTCTATGCCGCTTTTCCATTTGCTCTCATGGGCCTTTCCCATGATGTTCTTTAAAGACCTGCGTGCTGTGGCCATATCCTGGTTCATTTTACGGAGACTTTATTTTGTGATGTTTTGGTTCCTTCCAGTATCTGGGTCCCAGACGCTGAAGTCAGAAGGAAGCTTGGAGACATACAGGCCATCTCCCTGTCACCCCCATTTGGGGGACAAGGAATCCGCCCCTACCCCAGTACAGTTATCCCAGAGCTTCCTTGAGCACTGGCCATGAGCTTTGAGGCAAAGAGCACCAGGTGGGACCCTCGTGACCAGTGGCCAGGTGAGACTGCTGCGCGTTTATGGCCTGAGGCTCAGCTTCCTTGAACTGGGAATAGCACCTGCCTCCCTGGGTCGATGGAGGATTAGCTGAGATAGTAAGTGTAAGGTTCTCAGCCACTCCTTCTGTTACATTTTTATTGTCCAGCTTGTCTTGAACACATGCTTCTAATGGGGAGTGTGAGGCCACAGAAAGGCCACCTACCAATGGGAGGTTTGGAGACCTGAAGCCACTGTGGTGGCTCCAACAGGTGCCCGGTCATCTTACGATTCCTAGCGTGGTCTGGTCCCTTCATGGGTTCCTGTGAGCAGCGCTGGCTGAGAATGTGATGGTGTCCTACAAACTGTGGGCTCTGTCCTGTGCCACGTGAGGATGGCTGTCATTCCTGCCCCACCAGGTGGTTTGTTCTACTCCTGGGCAGGCTTTCATTTGTCCCTGGTGTGGTACAGAACTGGGCTGAGCTGCTGTTCGAACGATAGCCCTGCAGACACTGCAGGGCACAGCTGCTGTGGCCTATCGAACAGGGGACGTCAAACGTTTCTGTAAAGGGCCACACAGTAAAAGCTTCAGGCATCATGGGCCAGAGTCTCTGTTCCAGTTACTCACCTCTGCCCTTGTGTAGTGAAAGCAGCCACAATGTGTAAATGATGGGCGTAACTATGTCCCAATAAAACTTTATTTTACAAATTGGCTGCAGAATTCATTGAGACAGGAAGTAGATTAGAGGTGACGGGATGGGGAGTTATTGTTTAAGGTACAGAGCTCCTGTTTGGGCTGATGAAATATTTTGGAAATAGATATTGGTGAGGGTGGCACAGTAATGTGAGTGTATTTAATGCCACTGAACTGTACACTTAAAATGGTAAACTTAATGATTCACATAGGTAATAAAAAAATTGAAAAACAAAAAGAGTAGGCCGTCTCAGTGGCTCATGCCTATAATCCCAGCACTTTGGGAGGCCAAGGCAGGCAGATCACCTGAGGTCAGGAGTTCGAGACCAGCCTGACCCACAATGGAGAAACCCCATATCTACTAAAAATACAAAAAATTAGCTGGGCATGGTGGTGCATGCCTGTAATCCCAGTTACTTGGGAGGCTGAGGCAGGAGAATCCCTTGAACCTGGGAGGCTGAGGTTGGGGTGAGCCAAGATGGTGCCATGGCACTCCAGCCTGGGCAACAAGAACAAAACTTCATCTCAAAAAGAAAGGCAGTCCAGGATGGTCCCCCTGAAGTGCACAAACCCAGGCCCTTTTCTTCTGAACTGCAGCCAGGCGGGCCCCCTGTTCTGGACGTATTGCTTTCTTTTTTGACACTAACTGTAGGATTAATACAAAAATGTGTCTTGCTCCTTTGCTTAGCCATTTTCACCTGCCACAACCATTCAGAACCCCGACTCCATCATCTATTTAATTCTCTATCCTTCCAGCTTGGTGTCATCTAGAAACAACCTCCAATATCTTCACACATGTCCATTACTGTTCCTGGTGGGGACACTACAGAGGCCTGCGCCAGCGAGGCTGTCCCTGCGCCATTCATCAGTGCCCCGAGGGTGTGGCCAGTTTGCTGGTGAAAATGTCACCTCGCTGGGTGGGGCTAGTCTGCTTGTTTATACCTTTCCCATGAGGACATCACAGGCACCCAGCTAAAACTATTCGGAAATGAAGTTATGCCCTTATACGGAATTCTTCCATCCTGCTTTAGAAGCCACATGGAAAGGGAAATGAGGCTGTCAGATAAGGCTGATTCACCGATAACCACAGGGGCCCCCAGGCTCCCACCGAACCAATCTGATGGGTACGGTAAGGTGATTCCTTTTGCCTTAAAAACTCCAGACTTCACCCTGTGATAGAGCCTATCCAGCAACTTCAAAGCAAGGGGCAAATCATTCTATAACCAGCTACTGTCTTTTTTTTTTTTTTTTTTGAGACAGAGTCTTACTCCATCGCCCAGGCTGGAATGCAGTGATGTGATCTCGGCTCACTGCACCCTCCGTCTCCTGGATTCAAGCAATTCTCTTGCCTCAGTCTCCTGAGTAGCTGAGATTACAGGTGCCCACCACCATGCCTGACTAATTTTTGTATTTTTAGTACAGATGGGGTTTCACCATGTTGGCCAGGCTGGTCTTGAACTGCTGACCTCAGGTGATCCGCCCGCCTTGGCCTCCCAAAGTGTTGGGATTACAGGCGTGAGCCACCACACCTGGTCAGCTACTATCTTAAAAATAAAAATGACCCAAACACAAATTATATGCATTGAAATTTTGCTGGAAGCAAAGCTTTCCCTTGGAAAACTGAGCAATCACAGCTAACAAGGTCTCACGTCAACTTGCTGATCAATTTTTAAACGCAACCTTTCCAATATTAAGTAGGGCAAATGCGAAAACTGCTTCTCGTGCAGAAGCCCAGAGCTCTCTCAGCAAATGCCACTGCTCTCATTTCTGAGACACTGCCTTGCTGTCCGGAAGCACACACGCCTGGATGTGTGCCGTCCCCATCCTTCCGAGAGATCCAGAGGTGCTGGTGGCATGTAAGCTGGCTTTTCCTTAGTGTTCACTTTCCTGTTCTAATGGTGGGGACATGAGCCCCAGCAAACACATTTGACTGCGACCCACGCGGTTCATGGCGGCTGTAGGAAACAGATGGGGGATGCTTTGTGAAATGCAGATCTCAGATTCTTTAGCTTGCAGCAAGCTCTGCAGGGGCTGCATTCCAAATGACCTCGACAGATAGTCACTGGAGTCTCCACCGAGTGTGGGCAGCTTCGATCTGCATCCAGCTTTGGAATTTGGGAAGCAAGTGCATCCTGAATTCTCCTTGTTAATTGTGTGGAATGGGGGTCACACGTGTGGGAAATCTGAGTCCTAGGGAGCTTGAGGGACATGCTGAGGCTCAAGGCATCCACTTCTGGGTGGTGGCACCAGACTCGGCATCCCCTTTGGCCACCTGGCTCACCTTTCTATCTCCCCTGGGGCAGGGCACCCTTGCAAAACAGAAGGAGGGTGGGAGGCTCCAGGGAGCATGTGCACACTGGTCCATGCAGCAGACTTAACCGTATGCTCTGGTGAGCCTGTGCTGAGCTCTGGGGTTCTGGGAGAGCCCCGTCTTACCTCATCGGTGATCTGGCCTCCGAAGGTCACCCATGTTCCTGGAAGGAGACACAGGGGCTAAAGTTAGGGACCCAGAAGGAAGTTAGATTCTCCTGTCGGTGCTCAGACCTCAGGCTGCAGGGCCAGGGGGCAGCCACAGGTGTCCGTCTGTGCTGCTCTGCGGCCAGGGTGTCCTTGGTGTGTGTGGACACCTGGCCTTCAGAGAAAGTCCTGCTGTCCCTCTCCTTTTTTTTTGAGACAAGAGTTTCACTCTTTGTTTCCCAGGCTGGAGTGTAGTGGTACGATCTTGGCTTACTGCAACCTCCACCTCCTAGGTTCAAGTGATTCTCCTGTCTCAGCCTCCTGAGTAGCTGGGATTACAGGTATGAGCCACCATGCCTGGCTAATTTTGTATTTTTAGTAGCTGGGATTACAGGTGCCTGCCACCACACCCGGCTAATTTTTGTATTTTTAGTAGAGAAGAGGTTTCACCATGTTGGCCAGGCTGATCTTGAACTCCTGACCTCAGGTGATCTGCCGGCCTCAGCCTCCCAAAGTGCTGGGATTAAAGGTGTTCGCCACCGCTCCCGGCAGAGAAAGTCCCGCTCTCTTGGGGTCACCAAACTGAGGGGAACAAAAGTCTCTAGAGCAGGCTGCTGGCTGTGGGCCCAGGAGGCCTGGGGCCTTTGAAATGCTTGTCTGAGCTGTGCTGAGGCAGCTCTCACTGCCGGGACGTGCTGCAAGGAATGACACAAGGGACGCCTCCCTGAAAACAGCTGGTCTGACACAGCCGCATCTGCGTGCTTGTGCTGGGACGGAGCCGGGAGGAGAGTGTCAGGACAGCGGGGTGTGTGTACTGCGTGCACATGGGAGGTGAGGACTGCACCTTCTGGGAACAGGGCTCACATCTGGCAGGAGAGAAAAAAGGGCCAAATCCAATGGCATTCCAGAAGGGACTCATGAGCTGAGCCTGACACCAAAGGAAAGGTGTCTTCCCTGCACTCCTGGTGCCAGGAGGGCCTCTGATTTTGTGGTGTGGGGTGGGGACTGTGTGTGTGCAGGGGCCCCTGGTGTCCACCTCACCTCCTCTGATGAGGCTGTGTCTCTCTCCCTCTCTATCCTGGGTCCCCTCCCACCTGCCTCTTTGTTGCCATGGCAACTGAGGCCCCCTGCATCCTGGGGTCTGGGAGCAGCTACTCCCTGGGGAGTGCCGAGGGCTGGGCCATGCTGCTACCCAAGGGGTGTCCAATTCAGCTCATGCCTGGCCCTCCCACAGCCTGTTTCCCTAGTGGGACAGAGGGGACCCCACACTCACCAAGTCCCAGGCAGGAGACCCGTAGGCCAGACTTGCCCAGGTTCCTGAAAAACAAACGTCACATGAGTTCTCAGCACCTGGGCAGGACCCTGCCAGCCAGGCTCAGGTCCCGCCAGTGCCAGCCCCCACCCCACTCCCACACCAGTCCGTGTGTGTTTGGAGGCTCCGAAAGGCACCGGGGACCTTCAGAGAGGTGCCTCTGCTCGCCAACCCTGAGGGTAAAGTGCCAACTGCCCCCAGCCCACACCTTGCTGCTGGCATGAGCCCTGCTGGTGCCCAGTGTGGGTCTGCAGAGTGGTCTTGAGGACAGATGGAAGTGCAGAGGGATGCTGTCTGTTTTATGGTGAAGCTGGGCTGGTCTCAGCCCCATGGCACCATCCATGCAGTGCCTCTTGCTGAGAAGCCCCCTCTTCTCTCCTCTCTGAGGCTGCATTTGTGATTCTGTGTCTCTTGTTCCTGTCTCCAGAGACTGGCGTAGGAGATCGTCCCACTTCACCAGGACCACATGGACTGAGCATCTATCCCTCAGGATGTGGGAAACTCCATGGGGAGGACTGCCAGTTCTCAAGCAAGGCCAGCCCTTCCTTCGTTACAGATATAAGCAGGCCTGACAGCAGTGGCAGAGCCTGGCAGCCCAGGTCCCCTAACCAGGCACAGCCGCCCGGGCTCCTTCCTGGGGCCACTGAGGTGCCCGCCCGCTGCATCCCAGGGTCCACAGGAACAGGCCTTGGGCCATCATGACCGTCCATAGGAGGTGAAGGAGTGTGGCTGAGGATTGGCATGCCCCTCTGTCCTGATACAGGTCGCCTGGGAGCCCGCAGGGTCTCAGCAGGCCAGGCTGTCCCCAGGCACCCTTACCCCTGTGTCCTATGCAGCAGGCACCTTGCTTGTTGTGGCACTGATTCCCACATTATGAGACCTGCCCAGCACGGGGAGAAGCTGGGGTTCCACCCAGGCAGTTGGCTCCGAGGTGACGTTGCCCACCATGGTGGCATGCATCCCACCCCCAACCCATTTAGCAGGAGGGTGTGATCTGCCCAGACGGTGAGGTTGACAAGTGGTCGGGTGGGTCTCACAACTGCAGCCAGGCCTTGACCCATCCGGGGTTGGATTCCACTTCCCTCATGGGATCCAGCTGCCAGTGTCTGGTCAGAGGGTGGATGCCTCTCGGGGGTGGGGAGTGAGGGCCACGAGGGTTGCCAGAGGGTGAAGCCCAGCCTCCTGGCCCAAAGGCCCCGCACTTCCCTGGGGCCACAGCACTTCTAACTTAGGAGGATGCTACATCCTCAGTTTATTCTCTTTCCTGTCCCAAGCCTGGCCCCTGGGAAGGTGGCGTGGGGCTTAAGCCTCATTCTGAGCCCCCCACTTCTGACATGAGCCCACTCTAACCCGCCCAGCCTTGGTTCCCTGCTTATAAGACCCCTGGACTCCTCCTATATCATGAGTGGATCTAATACTTGCAAGCAGCTTGAAAATAGTTGATTGTGTCACCAAATTGAAAGTGTTTTACAACCCAGGTTTATTTTTAAATTTCCTATTAAAACCAGTCCAGCTGCCAGACTATTGCTCCTGTAGGTAAAGCCGGGATTTTCCATAAAAAAGAACGTAAGAACAGCTTGGTTTTCTTTTAGGAATGGGGGTGCTGGGTAGTGGCTATGGGCAGAGGATCTGAAGCCAGAGCTCAAATATCCTGGTTCAACTTTCCTGTCTGGAGGACCCCGGGCATTTTATGGAGTGGTCTGGCGCCTCAGTGTTCTCATCTGCAGAATGGGCTCACGAGGCTGCCTTTCTCACAGGGGTTGCCACGAGGACAGAAAGAGATCCACGAGGATAGAAGGTCACAGGACAATGACTCACATATGTCTTAGTTCACAAAGAGAGCAGGAGGATGATCTTTATTTAAAACCAACAGACAAATCAATAAGCTTGAACTATTGCCATGTCAAAAAGGAATTGTGTTTCCTTTTTGCTCCTTATGCATCAATGAAATAATCTGATGGTACCCTCTGCATTGCTTGCATGTTCCAACCCAGAATAACTCGTGTCTGCAGCTGCTATCGAGAACAGCCCGACTGCACCACTAATGCATTCTGCACGAGCCTGGTCACTTCAGAAGTTTAGGCAATTTCCCCCATGCTGGCTAGAAAGTGACTGTGGTAAGAAATTACAAAGTTGTTTAGCAGGAGTCCGATAAGGAAGCCAAGGGCGGGAGGTTCTGACCGGCGCCTCTCAGCAGCTCTGGGGTCATAACCCCTTTGCAAAAATGGATAAAGCCTGGCAATATGCCCAGAGACGAACGCCCTCAGAACCTTGCTCGCAATGTCTGGCTGTTCTCAGAGCCCTGGACCTTGCTGGTCTATATACATCTGGGCATCGAGAAGGGAGGCCTGGCCCCTGCCTCTGCAAAGCCACCTCCATGAGTGACTGAGGAACAGTTGCTTGGAAGGCTCTGCTACAGGCAAGGGTGGGGCTGAAGAGAAGACACACCCCTTGGTTGTCAGTTTGGGGAGGGCTGGCAAAAGCTGCCCCTGTCCCTTATTCTGTGTCTTTCCCTGGTCTGACTGGTGGGAAATGGACTCGCTTCCCCAAGTGGACTCCAGGTTCAGCCACTTTTCCACCCATCACCCCCAGGAATAATTTAACAAAACTAGGACACCATGTGATGCTGAAATTACCCCACTCAACTTGTTTCCCTGTGAAAATGATGGTATTGGTTCTGCCATCCTCTGCCAGGCCTCGGGAGAAGAGATGCGAAGGGACAGGGCACCTCCAGGCTGAATGCTTTATACTTGAGGCTACTGTGTGGGGGTGGGGAGTACACGTTTCAGCCGGCTCTGGATAGGGCTGCTGCCTGCTGCACTGGAAACTTCCCAGACACAGAAGCCATTTCCTACAGATTTCCTCCCCATCATTAAAACTTGACATCCTAATGAAGCAGCTGGTGAGCATCTCAAAAGCCAAACACTGTTGGTCTTCATGAATTTCCCTCATGTCTCTCCTGGTCTGGAAAACGCCCAGTGAGGACGCACAGACAGAACCTCTGCCGAGGGGGAGTGCCGATGCCCATTGTGGAGACCTTGGACGCTGTGCACCCCCAAAAACTGCACTTCAGATGCGGGAAGGGCCAGAGCTGGAAGGCACCAGAAAATGACAGGTCCTTTTAAAAAGAGAAGTCTGGGGTCTTTCAGTGAAGCCACCCGGGCAGAGGACAAAACTGTGATCAGGTGAAGTTAGCAGCATGGCCCTGGAGAGCTGGTCTGGGAGGAGGGCAGACGGGATGGCTCCTGTTAGTGCCCGGCTGGCCTGTCGGCTCCATGCAGTGACGGTCTGTTTGCATGCCCATGCTGCTCCCAGATTCCAGGCCCCCTAAGGACAGGCTGGGCTTCCAGTCCTTGTCTTCCAATTGGAGCTGGCAGTGGCAGGGTCCCAGAGAGTACCTGTCTGGGTTGATCTTAGGGAGTAATTCAGGAGTGAGAAGCCCAGGCCCTGGGTCAGACTCTCAGGACTAAGCACAGATCCCTCCCTTATTTACCTGCCCAAGGGCCCAAGGGGTGCTCAGCGTGACTTGGGCTCTCGCAACCCCACACTGAGCATGGCTTGGGCCCTTGGGCAGGAATGTGTGCCTGGTACTGGCCATGCACTGTCAGTCTCCTAATACCCGTGGACTGTGCACGTCACTGGACAGCTGTGCCTGGAACATACCACTGGGAAGGGCCAGCCTCCCAGGGAGGTGGTCAGAGTCATAGGGAGGCTGGGATCAGGCCCCTGCTCAGTCCCTGCTGTTGGCTACCTACACCCTGGCTGTGACCCTGGGACAGTCCCTGTGCAGCAACTCACTAGGCAGGTTCTGCATGAGCCGGATGGGAGAGGCATGGGGCGGGGTGCCTGATGGGGCAGGCTTTGGATTCCAAGGCCCATCTCAGCCCCTGTGAAACTGCACCTCATCCCACAAGGCTATGAACCCACCACTCGCACGTGACAGCAGCAAGGAAAGCTTCCATGTCTGGCCAGGTATAAGGCTCTGTTTGCAACTCCATTGGAGAGATGGGGTCCCTCAGTCAGAGTGCTGGGGCGAGGATTTGAACTTAGGTCCTCAGACTGCAAACCCACCAGCCCAACAAATACCCCCCTTCACTGCGCTGTCTGCTCTCCCTGCCTCCAGGGAAGGAGGCTCTGTACACGTCTGTGCATGCACATGTAAGCACACACGGGGATCGTGAGCACTCACCCTCTGTGAGATCCACTCCTCAATGAGCTTTAGGAGGAAAACCGTGTTAACAGCCACACTTTCCAATTACATAGTCCCTTATGTTTAGAAACAGTCCTGCTTTTAACTCCTTTGAGATCCTAGGACTGACATAACAGTCGCAGAAGGCAATAGGTATCTAAACCAAAACATATTCGTATACATGTTCCGTTTACTCCTACCTTTATTTATGTTTTTTTTGAGACAGGCTCTCATTCTGTCACCCAGGCTGGAGTGCAGTGGCATAATCTTGGCTCACTGCAACCTCTGCCTCCCGAGTTCAAGTAATACTCCCACCTCAGCCTCCCGAGTAGTTGGGACTACAGATGCATACCACCATGCCCAGCTTATTTTTGTATTTTTTTGGTAGAGATTGCATTTCACTATGTTGGCCAGGCTGGTCTTGAACTCCTGACCTAAAGTGATCCGCCCACTTCAGTCTCCCAAAATGTTGGGATTACAGGCATGAGCCACCTCACCTGGCCCTAATCCTAGCTTTTGATCCCTACTTAACAGAAGATGTAAACTCCAGAGCTTCTAGAAGAGAGAATTCCATTCTGGACTGTCCTTGTTAAGCCTAGAGGATGGGACAAACACTTTCACCGTGGAAGTTCATTAAAGCACATCCAGCCCTCCCGGGATGCAGGGAAGGAAGAGACACGACTGCGTATGCAAAACCCGAGTCATCCCAGAATTCACCTCCGGGAAGGGCTGCCTTAGATGACACGGTTTTCTCACATGCCCAACTCTCAGGCACTGGTTTTGGAGAGGTTTAAGCCACACAGGTCAGGCCTCAGG